CACTACCACCCACTACCACCACCACCCACCACCACCCCCACCCACCACCCCCACCCACCACCACCACCCACCACCACCACCCCCCCACCACCACCCCCACCATCACCACCACCACCCCCCCCCACCACCACCACCACCCCCCCAACCACCACCCACCACCCCCCACCACCACCCACCACCACCACCCCCCACCCACCACCACCACCTACCACCACCACCTACCACCACCACCACCACCCACCACCAGCACTACATTATCAGTGGTGGTGTAGTAACTACATTATCAGTGGTGTAGTAACTACATTATCAGTGGTGTAGTAACTACATTATCAGTGGTGTAGTAACTACATTATCAGTGGTGTAGTAACTACATTATCAGTGGCGTAGTAACTACATTATCAGTGGTGTAGTAACTACATTATAAGTGGTGTAGTAACTACATTATCAGTGGTGTAGTAACTACATTATCAGTGGTGTAGTGACTACATTATCAGTGGTGTAGTAACTACATTATCAGTGGTGTAGTAACTACATTATCAGTGGTGTAGTAACTACATTATCAGTGGCGTAGTAACTACATTATCAGTGGTGTAGTGACTACATTATCAGTGGTGTAGTAACTACATTATCAGTGGCATAGTGACTACATTATCAGTGGCGTAGTAACTACATTATCAGTGGCGTAGTAACTACATCATCAGTGGCGTAGTAACTACATTATCAGTGACGTAGTAACTACATTATCAGTGACGTAGTAACTACATTATCAGTGGCGTAGTAACTACATTATCAGTGGTGTAGTGAACTACATTATCAGTGGCGCAGTAACTACATTATCAGTGTTGTAGTAACTACATTATCAGTGGCGTAGTAACTACATTATCAGTGGTGTAGTAACTACATTATAAGTGGTGTAGTAACTACATTATCAGTGGTGTAGTAACTACATTATCACCCACTTCGTCTCGCACGGCCGCACCTCGAGGCTATACGATATCCCGGCTCTTCTTGCCTAATCACATTGCTGCATAAGTGTTGTTGTTGTTGTTCTTTGACACTGTTGTTGAAAACATATCTCGTGGTGGTGGTTGTCTAAAAAGGGGGGGCACAACTTGTAACTTTGGCCACCAGGGCGGGGGGCAAGGTACCCCCTCCTGCCGCACGCCCGCGACTGTCTTACGAGCAGAGGCAAAGCGTTGTTCAATCAATCGGTTGGGTGCTGCGCTGGCAAAACGCCGATCAGCCGAGCAAGTAATGAGGCTCGACCTCTAAGTACTCAGAAGAATCCGAAGATCTCAGAGACCTCGTTGGTGCATTGAGATGGGATCAGTTCCTGCAAATATTGAGGGGCTAACCCATTAAGGGGCTCACCCATTATGTTTGCGTCTCTCTATCTTCGTGGTCGCGTGGATTTTTCTCCGGGTCCTCCGGGTTTCCCTTTCACATTTAAGAAGCAACATCACCACGCGTTTAGGGTATTTGGCCGCTATAAATGTCCACATGATAAGCCACTTGCTTGACCTATCATTTGTGGCCAGATTGCTTCTGACAAAGAGCTACAAAGCTCAGTGAGGCCTTACCTGGTAAAATAAAAGTGCCTTGTAGGTCACCAGCATACACATTCATCATTCCTCACAGGCGGAGGTGGGGGGGTTAGGGGGGCAGTACTACCCCAGCCGCTCTGCCACCCTGAGTAATGTTCGGAGCACGGTGCTCAGTAAAGGCCGAGTCGACCTAGGGGAGGGTCCCAGGACCGGTTCAGATATTCGCCGCCGATATTTTCGTCGCGAGCCGGACGTGAACTCGGGTCGGCGGCTTCATGGCGCAGAGTTGTTTGAGAGCACTTATTAAGACATTAAGACGGGCGTCCCTTCACGTCTCTCTTGACACACGTTGGTGACTTCACCATCTCACCCGACTCTTCCTCCGGTCATCCTCGCAGCAGCAGCAGCAGCAGCTTGTGGCTACTCATCGCACAGAGATGGCGGTCACCGCATCATCGCGCGGCGCTTTCAGACGCGCTCCTGTGGCCGTCTGGAGCTACGCACTTTTAAATCATCATCTAGACTGACAAACTAATTTCTTTAACTGCTTTTTGTGTTTAGTTTGTTGTCCTTCCTCCGCATCTCTGATTGGCACGGTTGTCTTCGTAGTGTGCAAAATAAGTTAAAAATACAGACGTGCAAACTCCAAATATACAGCAGGCATCAGGGTCCGGATCGAACCTACGACCTCCTGTATACTAGGTGAGGTAGTTAACATCTCACCATGAATAAAATACAGAAAAAATTATAACTGCACAGGGACACAGAAGCAATGCATCACTTTTCAAGTTATATTTATAATTACACCACGATTTCATTAAGACATTGTAAATCATTTATTTATATTAATACTGTACTTTCCCGCCCCCCACCCCCAACTTTAACCATCTTAAATATTACAGAAAATCAGAAAAGGTGAGCAGCTCCCATCACGTAGATACCTGAAGCGCGGCCGTGTGCCCAGGCAGCCTGACACAAGTTCACAGATCGTGCGAATCCAATCGGCGCAACCCCATCTATGGTGACATCGCTCCCAGCGATCTTCCGCTGCTTCTGCCACCGACACTCGGCACGTCCCGTGTCAAGAACAACCAACACTAACGTCGACTATCACAACGTCGACTATCACAACGTCGACTATCACAACGTCGACTATCACAACGTCAACTATTACGTCGGCTATTACAACGTCGACTATCACAACGTCGACTATCACAACGTCGACTTTTATTCGTATGTTCTTCCTGTCAAGGCCCACCGTGTTATTGACGGGTGTGTCGAGCTGCGTTGAGCTGCGTTGGGGAGCAGTAGTATAGAGGGTAGCGCTATGAACCCGGCGACCCGAGTTCGATTCCTGCTCATGGCCAACACCGGTGACGATTATCTGAACAGGTCCTGGGCTTCCCCTAGGTCGACTCAGCTTCAAATTAGTACCTGGAGCGGTGTGTAGTAACCATCACTACTGGGAAGACAAAGGCGGCCGGGCGTGGTGCTGGCCACCCACCTCGTGTGCCATTACGGCCTTCATAGGTGTTATTCGCTAACAGGGCTTGCCCCAACAGTCTGCTAAGGCTACACGGGGGATCTTTACCTTTGTCTATTTGTAAACTACAAGATAAGAGCTGCTCCCGTTTGTAGGAGCGAGGCTTCAGTAACGTCCCGAAGCCGCGCTTGCTTACGTTGTGCGTAATAAGCAAAGAGGAATTAAACATGTTCCGGTTGGTGGATCAGGCGGAGATCGTAGGGATGCCCGGCAGAGGCAGCGCACGAAGCGGTTTGCTGACCTGCGCGTGTGGATTTTTGGACGAGAGGTTAAATTCCCTTACTCTGGCTAACTCTCGTTTCGTTTGTTGTCCTTCCCCGCACCTCCGATTAGCACGGTTGAATAAATACGGGGCGCTAGAGGTTCAACGTAAACTATTTAAATTTCACCAGGTACACTGAGCTGTATCGGTCTTTTTGATAAGTGACCTAGCCACAAATGATCGCTCAACGAAGTGGCTTATTATCGTGTTGGAAATTTATAGCAGCCAAATACTCTAAATGCATCATTCCAAATGTGGAGGGAATAACCGGAGGACCCGGAGAAAAATCCACATGACCACGGGGAGAGAGAGAACACGCAAACTCCAAATATACAGCAGGCGTCAAGGTCGTGCTAGAACCCACAACCTCCTGTATACCAGGCGAGGTAGTTAACATCTCATGGTGCCCTACATACACACGTACTCTGGTGTCCTGCTCCCACGTGCAAAGCGAGAGTAAAACATCCCACAGCAGGACCCTCCTGAAGAAGAGTCTTGAGACTCGATGACCATTTCCTGCGTAGATAATTTTACAATCCTGGCGAGGCGTTACCTCCCTCGCCTGGTAACACAGGAGCCCGTGGGTTCGATCCCGGACCCTGGTGATGCCTGCTGCTGTATATTCGGAGTCTGCGTGTTCTCGCTCCCCGTGGTGGTCGTAGCGTCCATCGGTCTCTGGGTTCCTCCTCCGAGCTTTGCCCTCCTCCTCCTCCTCCACATTTAGAATCAACACGCAGTCAGATTAATTGGCTGCTGCTATGAACTCCCACGTGCGATGATGTTGATGAGCTACCATCACGTGTGTCCAGGTTCCCTCTGAACGAGAGCTAACAGCGCAGTGGGCTTTACTTGCCTGAATAAAACAGGGCTTATATTGAATTAATCATTCAATATCTTGATAATGTACCAGCAAAGGATCCTAAAGATCAAATAGTTTAGTTTATATTGAAGTCGACGTAATAAAGTAATTCAAGACTAATTTTTACACTCCACAATGTATACCTAAACTGTTCAATCAGGAGAGGAGGGTCCTGCATTGGGATGTTTGGCCAAGCCCATTGATGGGAGTTTGGCGTGTGGGACGAACACCAGCATCCGGGAGAAAACGCTCAAAATAAGAGGGGACAAAGCTTTGCACAGATGGAATCAAGAATCCATTGCTGTGCTGCCATCTCCTGCCTGCCACGCATCCCAGCTTGATCCACCAACCCCTAGCTCAGAGGTCCTCGATTTACCGGCTTGCGTCCCCCACCCCATCATCGGTCAAATACCCAGTCGAGAATTCAATAAAACGATCGGTCAGCGATACAGCGATGAGTAAAGGAACGACATACCAGCACAACGCCGTTCTCCGTCTCCACAAAATACGTTTCACTGTCGTTGTTTCCGCTCGTTTACCCCGGAAGAAAGCCTCACCGAGTCTCAAGATACCTTTCAGGAGGGTCCTGCCACGTTTTCGTAGTAGGGGGGTGATGATGCTGCTGCGTGCGATAGCCGCGGTGGCGGGATGTTAACTACCTCGCTTGGTATGCAGGAGGTCGTGGGTTCGACCCCGACCCTGATACCTGCTGTATATTTGGAGTCAGCGTCTCTCTCTCCCCGTAGTCGTGTGGATTTTTCTCCGGGTCCTCCGGGTTTTCCCTCCACATTTAGAATCAAAGTGCATTTAGAGTATTTGGCTACTGCTATCAATGTCCACGTGATAAGCCACTTCGCTGAGCTCTCATTTGTGGCCAGGCCGCTTCTGAAAAAGAGCTATACAGCTCAGTGGGCCTTGAGCTATAAGAAAATATAAAAGTCATTCGCAGGTAATCTCTCAGCATTGAGTTGTTTGGCCAACACCAGTTACATTTTACGTGTGTTTTTAGCTAGATTAAAAAACATTTTAGCTGAACGGAAATGTTCAGTTAATCTGCCAATCATCGGCTTTCAAGACCAACTTTATCCAGCAGCATTTGTTCAACCGACCAAAATTCGGGACCGGTTTTGACCTTCGGTGTCTGGTCGGCCCGACTGTGCTGAGGTCATGTTGGTCTGGAGAGTCAAGAGGCTGACGATGTAGAATTTTTATCTTCACCAGAATCATCGTCATCGTCGTTCATGCAAATGGTACGACTCACCACGACCGCTGAGGAACCACCCAGCTGGAAGGCAGCAGCAGCAGCACGCGGTGAGCCGGTGCCACCAACAGTTGCCTGAGCTCTGCAGTGCTCTCTACATTAAGATGTTTTCACCCAATAAATGAGCGTCTATAGATGGTGGCCTAAAACGCATTTGTATTCTACTCTTGCGGATGATAGGAGCAGCGATGTGGTTCAGGAGCTCAGTGACAATGTGTAGCTCTGCTACGGCTGCTGTCACGACGAGAGGGCTTGTGTGTCACCGTGTGTGTGTGTGCGCGTCGCACTGTGCGCGTGTGTCGCTGTGCGTGCGTAGGACAGGCTACCTGGGGGACCTGTGTCTATTGTCACCCCCACAGGGAGAGGCGGCTGGGCTGCAGGAAGGCGGTGAGGGCCGACATCACCTGCGCCGGGCGCTCCGCGTGGACCCAGTGCCCGGCCCCGGGGATGTGGGACACTCGCGCCCCCGGGAACAAGCGAGCAATCACAGGCAGGTCCTCGGGGCTACGGAGACACGGGGGGGGGGACAGACGGGAAGATTTGCGGAGACACAGGGGGACACGGGAGACACGGGGGACACGGGGAGACCGGGGAGAGACGGGGAGACACAGGGAAATGGGAAGACACGGGGAGACACGGGGCGAGAGGGATGGGGAAGACACGGAGAGACAGTGCAGAGAGAGCAACAGGGAGATACGGGGTGGCGGGCATGGGAGAGGACAGGGGAAGACAGGAGACAGGTCAAGACAAGGGGGGACAGATGAGACGTGGTAGACAGGTGGACATGGGAGGGAGAAGGACAGGGGAAGTCAGCATCCCGGGAGAGAGAGGGACAGAGGGAGAGAGGTATGTTATCAGAATGGTTGTAACGATGAGAAGACATCGCTGGTTTATATCATGAGACCTCCTTTGCCAGTAACAAGATATAGTAACAGGTTTTTACCCCTTTATCTGCACAAAAACTGACACCTTTATACAAGGGATCATGTTTTCAATAACCCACAGCACAAGTAGTCAAAATGCAAACAAAAAAGACAACTCTGATCATATGCACTGTCCTTGAATTTGATTGGTCCACACCCGAGACGGCTTTTCTTAGAGCCCAGTCTCCACTGGTGTTGGACCAGAAGACGCCAAAAGGCGTACCACTCAAAAACAGCGCACTATCAGAGTATTGAGAGCTCGGACGAAGCACTTACATTATGAGACCTCCTTTGCCAGTAACAATATATAGTAATAGGTTTTTACCCTTTTATCTGGCACAAAAACTGACACCCTGTTACTGGCAAGGGAGGTCTCATAATGTAAGTGCTTACCCCGAGCTCTCAATACTCTGATGGTGCGCTGTTTTTGAGTTGTACGCCTTTTGGCATCTTCTGGTCCAACACCAGTGGAGACTGGGCTCTAAGAAAAGCCGTCTCGGGTGTGGACCAATCAAATTCAAGGACAGTGCATATTATCAGAGTTGTCTTTTTTGTTTGCATTTTGACTACTTGTGTTGTGGTTATTGCAAACATGATCCCTTGTATAAAGGTGTCAGTTTTTGTGCCAGATAAAAGGGTAAAAACCTATTACTATCGCTGGTTTATGTTGAGTGAACCGCACTTGAAGAACTTTTGAGTGAATCTATTCACACCGGGAGTACGCAAAAGCACAAAACAATACAACCATGAAATACGTTCACAACGTCGTGGGAAGCTGACATCGCGATAATAATCGCGTCGTAAAGATTTATTATGAAAAATCATCTCAATAGTTAACTCATTCACTCATCCGTCATCTTTATACAGTAAGGGAAAAAAGTATTTGATCCCCTGCTGATTTTGTACGTTTGCCCACTGAAATTATCAGTCTATAATTTTAATGGTAGGTTTATTTGAACAGTGAGAGACAGAATAACAACAAAAAATCCAGAAAAACGCATGTCAAAAATGTTATAAATTGATTTGCATTTTAATGAGGGAAATAAGTATTTGACCCCTTTGCAAAACATGACTTAGTACTTGGTGGCAAAACCCTTGTTGCCAATCACAGAGGTCAGACGTTTCTTGTAGTTGGCCACAAGGTTTGCATACATCTCAGGAGGGATTTTGTCCCACTCCTCTTTGCAGATCTTCTCCAAGTCATTAAGGTTTCGAGGCTGACGTTTGGCAACTCGAACCTTCAGCTCCCTCCACAGATTTCCTATGGGATTAAGGTCTGGAGACTGGCTAGGCCACTCCAGGACCTTAATGTGCTTCTTCTTGAGCCACTCCCTTGTTGCCTTGGCCGTGTGTTTTGGGTCATTGTCATGCTGGAATACCCATCCACGACTCATTTTCAATGCCCTGGCTGAGGGAAGGAGGTTCTCACCCAAGATTTAACAGTACATGGCCCCGTCCATCGTCCCTTTGATGCGGTGAAGTTGTCCTGTCCCCTGAGCAGAAAAACACCCCCAAAGCATGTTTCCACCTCCATGTTTGACGGTGGGGATGGTGTTCTTTGGGTCATAGGCAGCATTCCTCCTCCTCCAAACACGGCGAGTTGAGTTGATGCCAAAGAGCTCCATTTTGGTCTCATCTGACCACAACACTTTCACCCAGTTGTCCTCTGAATCATTCAGATGTTCACTGGCAAACTTCAGACGGGCATGTATATGTGCTTTTTTGAGCAGGGGGACCTTGCAGGCGCTGCAGGATTTCAGTCCTTCACGGCGTAGTGTGTTACCAATTGTTTTCTTGGTGACTATGGTCCCAGCTGCCTTGAGATCATTGGCAAGATCCTCCCGTGTAGTTCTGGGCTGATTAGTCACCGTTCTCATGATCATTGCAACTCCACGAGGTGAGATCTTCCATGGAGCCCCAGGCTGAGGGAGATTGACAGTTATTTTGTGTTTCTTCCATTTGCGAACAATCGCACCAACTGTTGTCACCTTCTCACCAAGCTGCTTGGCAATGGTCTTGTAGCCCATTCCAGCCTTGTGTAGGTCTACAATTTTCTCCCTGACATCCTTGGAGAGCTCTTTGGTCTTGGCCATGGTGGAGAGTTTGGAATCTGATTAATTGATTGCTTTTGTGCACAGGTGTCTTTTATACAGGTAACAAGGTGAGATTAGGATCACTCCCTTTAAGAGTGTGCTCCTAATCTCAGCTCGTTACCTGTATAAAAGACACCTGGGAGCCAGAAATATTTCTGATTGAGAGGGGGTCAAATACTTGTTTCCCTCATTAAAAGGGAAATGAATTTATAACATTTTTAACGTGCGTTTTACTGGATTTTTTGTTGTTGTTATTCTGTCTCTCACCATTCAAATAAACCTACCATTAAAATTATAGACTGATCATTTCTTTGTCAGTGGGCAAACGTACAAAATCAGCAGGGGATCAAATACTTTTTCCCTCAGTGTATGTAACCAGAAGCCCATTGAAAGTTACTATCTCGTTCATTCCATCATTCATTCACGCATTAACTGTTGCTTTACATTACACATAAAGACATTGTCCCATTATGAACTTATAGAAAGCATCTTTGGGAGTGCCTCTGTGCGTGACGCCCGTTGCGTCATTGAAATCTAGTGCCCGCATCACAACCGCTGGAAAATCGGATTGCAGCGACCGCGTTGGGACGCCACGGTGGCTAGGAGATGTTAACTACCTCGCCCGGTGTACAGCAGGTCGTGGGTTCCATCCCGACCCTGACACCTACAGCTGCTGCATATTTGGAGTTTGTGTCTCTCTCTCTCTCTCATCATCACCACTGTGGCTAGGAGACGTTAACTACCTCGCCTGGTATACAGGAGGTCGTGGGTTCTATCCCGACCCTGACACCTGCTGCTGTATATTTGGAGTTTGTGTCTCTCTCTCTCTCTCCCTGCAGGGGTCGCATGGATTTGTCTACGGGTTCTCCGCTTTTTCTTCCCTCGAAATTTATAATCAACACCACGCGTTTAGAGAGTTTGGCTGCCGCTATAAATTTGCACATGATGATAAGCCACTGCATTCGACTATCATTTGTGATAGCCAGGTCACTTCTGATAAAAGAGCTACGTAGCTCAGTGGGCTTTACCTGGAAAAAACAATAGTTTAGTTTAACAGTTTAGATTTTTTTTAGTGTATAATTTGAAACATATTCTTCGGGCGTCACCTGATGTAGGGAGAATCGCCGCCGCCGATGAAGAGCGTGGGCCCTGAGTAGGAGGCTCCCTCGGCCGGCCGCGGGAAATCAAAGAGGCAGTCGATGTGTCGCACGATGGCCTCCAGGTTCACGCGCCAGCCAAACCGCGCGCCGTCGCCACCGTCAGCGGCCCGCCGCTCCGTCACGTTGGTGAGAAGGAATTGGCGGATGGTTGAGTCCTACACCAACGTCGTCATCATCATCATCGTCATTCCCATCATCATTATCGTCATCATCGTCGTCGTCAAGGTCGTCATCATCATCGTCGTCGTTATCATCATCATCATCATCATCTTCGTCATCATCATTAATGTCATCATTATCGTTTATTGTCATCAACATCATCACTATCGTCATCGTCGTTATTCTCAGCATCAGGGCTGGCACTGGAGGTGCAGTACCGCGTGCAACCGCCGTTGCGATCGGTCGTGGGCCTCCCCTAGGTCTACTCAGCCTTAAATGAGTACCCGGTGCAGTGTGTAAAGATCAGCACTTGGGAGGCAAAGGTGACCGAGCGTGGTGCTGCCCCTTGCGTGCCGTGCCAGCCTGAATAAGTGCTGCTCGCTAACAGCACCTTTCCCAACGGTCTGCCAAAGGCTACACGGGCGATCTTTGTCTCTATACGTACGTACGTACGGGTATGCGCGGGGCGAGCTGTGAGTCCACGAGGGCACGCGCCTGCGAGCGCGTGCCCTGCGCCCCCGCGAACGACACGCGCTCCATTGCGCCGATGAAGTCCCGGAACGGAGTGAACCCTCGCGTGAGGACCGGAGCCACGTCCAGCACCACCAGGCCCGCCACCAGCTCCGGCTGCGGACGCGCGCACGCACGCACGGACAGACATATGAACGTACGTATGTTACATGCGGACGTACATACCAGAGAGTGAGTGAGTGAGCGAGTGCCTATTAACCATTTCCCGCTCCGACACGTTCGCAAGTTGCAGGGTCTGAGTCTCGTTCACCGCTGAATGTGGGAACGCACAAGCGGTTAGCGTTAATTTCATTTAGGGAGGCGTAGCAGGGCCGTTGTTTTTAAAGCCACTGCAGTCACCGCAGAGAACCGTAGCGACATGACCGCCACGCTACGGTAGCCGGCTCCAAACTGTGCCACACGCCCTCCGGCATGGCCTTGTGGGAGCCTCGGTGTTGATCAAGTTATTTTTTTCTTCATGTTTCGTTCTGATGACGTACGTGTACATCATCCCAATGGGAAAGGGTTAAGGCAAGGTATGGGGAGTGGTGGTGCAGCAGTTATCGCGCTGCGCTCCGAACCCGACGACCCAAATTTGATTCCCATTCACGGCCACCAACACCAGTGACAATTATGTGAACCACTGGGGAGACAAAGGCGGTCGGGCGTGGTGCTGGCCACCCACCCCCTCGTGTGCAGTGCCGGCCTTCAATAGGAGCTACTCGCTAACAGCACTTGCCCCAACAGTCTGTTAAGGCTATACGGGGGATCTTTGTCTGTGCGTGTGCGAGAGAGACAGCATCCACCCACCCATTGCAGCGCCGTTGCCATGGCGACTTTGCCCCCCATGGAGTGCCCCACGAGGACCGCGGGGCTCAGCGGGGGGAGGGGCCCCGATGCCTCCCGCTGGTCCCCTCCGGCTCCTCGTACCCCGGTCGCCCCCACCCTCACCGGGGGGCCCCCCTCCCCTGTCAGCAGCGCTCGCACGTCCAGACTCTGCTCCGTGTAGCTCATGGTGGGGGCGTGGGCGCTGTCTCCGTGGTTACGAGCATCCACCGTTACCATCTGATACGGACGCAAAGAGACGGACGCGTCGACTTGGAAGAGACACGGGGAAACAGAGGAGCAAGGAGACGGACACCTGGGGTTATAGACACACGTAGACACAAATATAAACACACACAGTGAGACAGACAGCGAGGGTTAGAGACACACAGACATTCAACTAAACTCATGATTAACAACGTAGGCTTTCGCGACCAATATCATCCATGATATAGGTTTGTTTTCGTTCGGTTCGATCGCGTAAATATAAATGTGTCGTTCACCCACCACCACCAGACAGAGCTAATTAATAAGGTCTGTCACGTAAACAAAACGTGCCAATTAGTTACTACTTCAGCCCGCCGATGTTTTGGAGAGTAAATCCGCAACATTTATAATGTGAAAACGACGTTTCGCTGGCAATTACATCGAGGATGAGATTGGAGGCGGTACGGATTGGACCGCTGATGCGGTCGCGGGTGAGAGGTGCCGGCCGCGGTGCGCGGCGTCGTTTAAAACCGGCAGGCGCCGGATTCGAGGAGGAAGCGGGGATCACGGCTACGGCGGTCGATTCGAGATGCGACGACGATAAGGGTTTTAGTGGCGGATGCAGCAAGAGCGTGGCGGACACGGGAGACGTTGCGCAAGGCACACGCAGGGGGTTGCATTTCGGTTACCGGTCCACAAATATAACTCCACAAGACTCTCAAAACCGTTTGAGGAGGGAGTCCTGCATTTGCCGTGTTGGGTCCCAATTCGCTTTTAAAGGAGAGCTTCGCGCGTGCATGCGCACGTGTGTGCATGTACGTGTGTGTATGTACGTGTGTGAATGTACGTGTGTGCATGTACGTGTGTGTATGTACGTGTGTGCATGTACGCGCGCACGTGTCAGCGCGGGGAGCGGTGGCGCAGCGCTTAGCGCACTGCGCTACGCAGCTGGCGGCCCGGGTTCGATTCTCGCTCACGGCCAACATTGGTGACGAATGTTTGAAGCGGGTCCTGGGCCTCCCCTAATGTCGACTTGGCCTTAAGTGAGGACCAGCACTGGGGAGAAAAACACGGCTGGAACGTGGCGTTGGTCACGCGCCCCCTTGTGCTTCGTGTTGGACTTCATAGGTCCTACTCGCTAACGGCACTCACCCCAACAGTCTGTTAAGGTTGTAGGGGTTTTTCTTTGCGTGCGCCCGCGTTCGTGCGTGTGTGCGTGTGCGTTCGTGCGTGTGCGTTCGTGCGTGTGCGCGTGTGTCCTTGCGCGTTCGTGCGTGTGTGCGTGTGCGTTCGTGCGTGTGCGTTCGTGCGTGTGTGCGCGTGTGTCCTTGCGCGTTCGTGCGTGTGTGCGCATGTGTGCGTGTGCGTTCGTGCATGTGTGCGCGTGTGTGCGCGTGTGTGCGCGTGTGTGCGTGCGCGTTCGTGCGTGTGTGCGCGTGTGTGCGTTTGCGTTCGTGCATGCGCGTGTGTGCGCGTGTGTGCGTGCGCGTTCGTGCGTGTGTGCGCGTGTGCGTTCGTGCGTGTGTGCGCGTGTGTCCTTGCGCATTCGTGCGTGTGTGCGCGTGTGTGCGTACACGTTCGTGCGTGTGTGCGTGTGTGCGCGTGTGTGCGTGCGCGTGTGTGCGTGCGCGTTCGTGCGTGTGTGCGCGTGTGTGCATGTGCGTTCGTGCATGTGTGCGCGTGTGTGCGCGTGTGTGCGTGCGCGTTCGTGCGTGTGTGCGCGTGTGTGCGTGCGCGTGTGTGCGTGCGCGTACGTGCGTGCGCGTTCGTGCGTGTGTGCGCGTGTGTGCGAGCGCGTTCGTGCGCGTTCGTGCGTGTGTGCGTGCGTGTGTGCATCCGCGTTCGTGTGTGCGTGCGTGTGTGCGTGCGCGTTCGTGCGTGTGTGCGCATGTGTGCGTGCGCGTTCGTGCGTGTGTGCGTGCGCGTGTGTGCGTGCGCGTTCGTGCGTGTGTGCGTGCGTGTGTGTGCGTGTGTGTGCGTGCGTGTGTGTTCGTGCGTGTGTGTGCGTGCGTGTGTGCGTGCGCGTTCGTGCGTGTGTGCATGTGCATGTGTGCGTGTGTGCGCACCGTGCGGCCCGTGCGCTGGGCGAGTGCGCGAGACAGCGACGTGAAGTTGGCCCGGCTCCCGAAGAGACCGTGCAGGAAGACGACGGGCGGGCGGGTGGCTCCCTCCCCGCTGGCCGCCGCCACGTCGTACGCCAGCTGCACCGGCCTGCTCTCGGCACGAGACCGTGGCACACCGTGATGTCATACCGTGACACCGTGCACACCACACGCCACAATACATCATAACATGACGCCGTACGTACCACACCACGATACATCATACCGTGTCATCGTCACACCACAACGAAACACGCCACGCCGTGACATCATGACGCATCAATGCAGTGGCAACACCCAGCTGGAAATGTCATAGGGGGTAAAATAGTTATGGAGGTATTTGCTATTTTTACCTTTCAGAAAAATCTCAGAAATGCTTTACAGCATATTGTCGGCTAAGAATCATGGGCGGCATGTCACCGTGTGCTAGTGCGGTGTCACAGCTTGTCGTGGTGTGGCCCATGATGGTGTGGGGTGTCACGCTGTGCCGTGGGGTGGTCTGTCACCTTGACACAACACACCACGAGACAACACAAACCGCACCACCTTGCACAGACCACAAGACACGCCACGCGCTGACAATATTCTCCTCCGCACCATGAGGTGTGATTGACACCTACGCTCCACCGTGACGTGTGAGAGTGTTGATGCAGGTGTGGGTCAGAGTGTACAGATGCGCGTACAAATAAGTGCGCTTTGTGTTCAGTTTGTTGTCCTTCCCCCGCACCTACGATTAGCACGGTCGGCTACGTACGGTGCGAAAGAAGTGCAACGCACAGCCAAACGTGCCCCGCTCCATGCCATACGATGTCCATCAAACTCTGCTACACAATCCACGCGAACGTGAGATGCAATAGTCGCGAGCCGCGTCGGGGAACGGCGGCACGGGAGAGAGAGACCCAACCAGAACTCGGAGCTCAGCGCGAGCGGTGGACGCGCTGGAACGCCACGCAGCTGGGCGCGCGCCACACGAGTGAGGAATTCCCAAGTGAGAGGGGCTCGCAGGTCACACAGGGGAGCGCAACACGGGTGAGAGGGGGCAGGCAGGTGAGGTCAGGCAGGTGAGGTCAGGCAGGTGAGGTCAGGCAGGTGAGGTCAGGCAGGTGAGACCAGGCAGGTGAGAGAGGCACGCAGGTGAGGTCAGGCAGGTGTCGTGCACGTATGGGATACGCAGGCGAGCGATACGCAGACGAGAGGCACAGGTGAAGGATAGGCAAGCGAGGGACACGGAGGTGACGGATACGCAGGTGAGAGGGGGACACACCAAGAGAGACGAGCCGGACGTGGCGTCTCCGAAGGGCGCCGCTCACCTCGCATCGCCGTGCGCCGCCATCGCCTCCCGCCAGACTCCGCGCGCTGCCCCGCGCCGCGCGCCCGGCCTCAGCGCGCACGGCCTCAGCGCGCCCGGCCTCAGCCCTCCCGGCCTCAGCCCGCCCGGCCTCAGCCCTCCCAGCATCGCCCCGGGCAGCCAGCCGGGCCACCCTGGACACAGACTCCAGACCGGAATTAAATATCTCACCAAATAAGTGGCTCACTGAAGTGCTTGACGGATTGATTCACTCGGCTTGTTTACTTCAGTGATTGCAAAACTAAACCTGGCGGACGATTAACTCGGTCACCGATACGTTGAATAAATGTCTGCTTTTCGTGACGAGCTGAACAAATCACGAATTGTCCGGCTGAATGACTGTTAATCTGACCAGGTATGTGTCCGAGTTACCGAGTGACACTGCCAGACACCCCGTGTCTGTCTGAGTCTCTGTCTGAGTCTGAGTCTCTGTCGATGAGTGTCTGTCTGAGTCTATGAGTCTCTGTCTGAGTCTCTGTCGATGAGTGTCTGTCTGAGTCTATGAGTCTCTGTCTGAGTGTATGAGTGTCTGACTCTATACGTCTCTGAGTCTCTGTCTGAGTCTCTGAGTCTCTGTGACAGTCCAGCCGCGGTACAGTAACCGGCGTGCCCTCTACAAGCACTGTACCCGCGGCTTCCGGTGGGGCCGAACCAGTGAACGGGGTAAAAAAAATACAGTACCATGTAAAATTAATGATCATAAGTTTCATTAAGTCTCAGGTGCACACTGAACGTAACATTTAAAATTATAATAAATTGTAAACGGTTATGCCGTGTTGCCCCGGAAAATCACCGATCCGTATAAACAAATTACGTAGAGACGCTGCTGTTGCGATGGCAGCGGTGCACAAACAACAACACAACACATTCGTAAATAACAACAACAATAACAATGGATGTGGCCTTAAAAGGAAGAATAAAAAATTATTATTGTAACTTAATCATTGTAAATGTTGAGGTGACTGTGACGCCACCAAGCTGCGACGCGCGTTGCTAGGCGACAGCCCCCCCACCTCCTTGCCCAACATGGCGGACGGCCCCCACCCCCTTACCCAAAATGGCGGACGACGCGTCAGTAGCGTGCTGAAGTCGTCGCTCCAACAGGCGCCGGTTCCGTCGTTAAATTAAAAACTTCACCGCAAGAGGCCATATTACATTCATTATATTATTACATTCATTATATTACATTCATATTATTACATTCATTATTATATTACATTCATTATATTACATTCATTATATTACATTCATTATAATATTACATTCATTATATTACATTCATTATATTACATTCATTATATTATTACATTCATTATATTACATTCATTATAATATTACATTCATTATATTACATTCATTATATTATTACATTCATTATATTATTACATTCATTATATTACATTCATTATAATATTACATTCATTATATTACATTCATTATATTATTACATTAATTATATTATTACATTCATTATTATATTACATTCATTATATTATTACATTCATTATATTACATTCATATTACATTCATTATTATTACATTCATTATATTATTACATTCATTATATTATTACATTCATTATAATGCATTCATTATATTACATTCATTATATTATTACATTCATTATATTACATTCATTATATTATTACATTCATTATATTACATTCATTATATTACATTCATTATAATACATTCATTATAATATTACATTCATTCTAATATTACATTCATTATATTACATTCATTATATTACATTCATTATAATATTACATTCATTATAATATTACACTCATTATAATATTACATTCATTATATTACATTCATTATAATATTACATTCATTATAATATTACATTCATTATAATATTACATTCATTATAATATTACATTCATTATAATACAAAAAAACTGTAAGTCGTCCATCATTGAGGTTTTTTTTTGGGGGGGGGGTAGATCACGTGAATATAAATGTTGTGTCGTTAAACCCGCCACCACCCGACACAGCCACTGAGTAAGAGGGGTTGTCACGTAAACAGAACGTACCAATTAATTTACAACTCCAGTAAAGCCACTACAACGTTCACAATGCGAGTACCGTGACGGTGATTACAACCAGCTTCATCAGGCGGTTAGACAGACAGATCCGTCATGTTTATAACGCTTGTTTACATTCACGCCGTCTTGCTGTACGGATACTTTTAGCCGTACAGTAATAGTGTTATCACAGAACTGTACAAATACTATAAGCCACTTCGTTGAGGCGCCATAATTTGTGATGGCCAGGTCGCTTTCTGCAAGGAAGCTCCGTAGCTCAGTGGGGCCTTGCTTGGTAAAATACAAAGAGTCAAAGCACATTGAGTAATTTTTATTGAACATGTTGGACACCGTGAAAACATACAATGCTTCAGACGAGTTGGTATCGAGACCATGAGGATACACTACAGTGCTTCACAAAACAAAAAGCCGTGGTAAAGCAGAGCGTGGACTACACTGCCGTGTTTCAAACGTGAAAAGGCGCAATCACTATGAACAGGGATAACTCACTAAAGCACTAACGTCAACTAACATCACAACATTCACTACAAATCGGGTTAGTCGATAAAATCCCGATAATTCGGATTGATCCTAAAAATGACGTCACCATAAATGACGTCACCGAAAAATGACGTCGCCTTCCCCCCCGCCAAGTGGTTACGCGGCTTGGGGTGACGTCACTTGTCAGCACGATGCCGCGGTGACGTCATCGCACCGTGCCCAAGATCCCAAAGTGTCCTTAGGACTCATCCCATGGACTTGTCAGAGCTGTCAGCCCACGCGGCGCACAGCCCTGTCAGTACGGGCAAAAAGACGTCTCTCGTCTGTGTTTCTGTTTCACCCTCGTGATGGGGCTTCGTGGGGTGGACGTTGAGATTTATAAAGGGCACGGGGTGACCAATACGGTCTGAGATGGTCTTTAATAAGGTAGGGGGCAGTGATCAGGGGTTGACAGGTATTTTTTATATCATCGTAATGATGATAAAAAAACAATAACTATTGCTTTTTATTTTACTGGATAAGGCCCACTGAGCTATGTAGCTCATTTTCTGCAGCGACCTGGCGAACACAAATCATATCTCAACGAAGTGGCTCATCTTTGTACAGTTCTGTGACACTACTACTACCAACGCAGCTATGATAGAGGCGCACAATACCTTTGATAAACATGTGCTTAGATTAATTTAGAGTATTGTGCTGCTATAAATGTCCACGTGATGAGCCACTTAGTTGAGCTATCATTTGCGATAGCCAGGTCGCTTATGTAAAATAAGCTAATAGCTAAGTCGGCCTTACCTGGTGAAATAAAAAAATAGTTAAGTTTCGTTTGTATGTTTTAAAAGTGATTTGTTTACCTTCCCTATACTTTACACTCCTGGCGTGTTTTTTTTTTTAATTGTTGTAACGTTCTGGCCCGTCCCTACTGGACATCTATGAAAAAATAGTCTTATAGCCTCATCGGATTCCTAATTATCTGATCCTGTTTATTATAATAACGTACAACCCTGTTGAGGCATGAATACTCAGCAACAGCAGCAAATGAAAATGTAAAGACACAAGCCACAGCAGTGCGACCGTCCAACCCAAACTATGGGCCATATAGTGAACCCAACGATACACGTAGAGATACATAGATACACATAGATACATAGATACTAACAGAGATACATAGAGACTCACAGAGATACATAGAGACTCACAGAGATACATACTCACCGAGATACATAGAGACTCACAGAGATACATAGAGACTCACCAAGATACATAGAGACTCACAGAGATACATAGAGACTCACAGAGATACATAGATACACATAGATACAGAGACTCACAGAGACACATATGGACTCACAGAGATTCATAGAGACAGAGATACATAGAGACTCACCGAGATACATAGAGACTCACAGAGATACATAGAGACTCACAGAGATACATAGAGACTCACAGAGATACATACCGAGATACACAGAGACTCACAGAGACTCACTGAGATACAGATACTCACAGAGATACATAGAGACTCACAGAGACTCACAGAGATACATAGAGACTCACAGAGACTCACAGATACATAGAGACTCACCGAGATACATACTCACCGACATACATAGAGACTCACAGAGACTCACTGAGATACAGAGACTCACAGAGATACATAGATACTCACAGAGACTCACAGAGATACGTATAGACTCACAGAGATACATAGAGACTCACAGAGACTCACAGAGATACATAGAGACTAACAGAGATACGTAGATACACACAGTGAGCCATTATCTAGACAAGCCACAGCAGTGCGACTGTGCCCATGGCACCCACACGAGCGACCGCCACAGTAAACCCACTGCGGTCTGCGCTCCTACAACGGAGCAGGAGGAGGAGGACAGCAACAGGAGACAAACTCTCTCCCTGCTCAAGCCCTCTCGTCGTGACAGTAGGAGCAGCAGCAGGAGGACAGCAACAGGAGACGAACTCTCTCCCTGCTCAAGCCCTCTCGTCGTGACAGTAGGAGCAGCAGCAGGAGGACAGCAACAGGAGACGAACTATCCCCCTGTTCAAGCCCTCAGCAGCAGCAGGAGGACAGCAACAGGAGACGAACTCTCTCCCTGCTCACCCTCTCGTTGTGACAGTAGGAGCAGCAGCAGGAGGACAGCAACAGGAGACAAACTCTCTCCCTGCTCAAGCCCTCTCGTCGTGACAGTAGGAGCAGCAGCAGGAGGACAGCAACAGGAGACGAACTCTCTCCCTGCTCAAGCCCTCAGCAGCAGCAGAGCCCCTTGACTCACATCGCTGCTGCTGCTGCCGTCACTCGCAAGGATATAAGAGTGCAGCAGCAGGTAATCAGGCAGCAGGTAATCAGGCAGCAGGTAATCAGGCAGCATGTAATCAGGCAGCAGGTAATCAGGCAGCAGGTAATCAGGCAGCAGGTAATCAGGCAGCAGGTAATCAGGCAGAGATCTCAGCACCACCCCCAGACTCAGCGCCTGGCCCACTACGATAACACCACCACCACCACGCACTGGACTGTACATCCACGCACACACCACATACCACGCACACCACACACCACGCACACACCACGCACACCACACACCACGCACACCACACACCACGCACACCACGCACACACCACGCACACACCACGCACGCACCACGCACACACCACGCACACACCACCCACACACCACGCACACACCACGCACACACCACGCACACACCACGCACCACACCACGCACACACACACCACGCACACACTACACCACACACACCACCCACCACGCACCATGCACCACACCACGCACACACCACGCACCATACCACACACACCACACCACACACACACCACGCACACACCACCCACACACCAGGCACCACGCACACACCACGCACCACACCACACACACCACACCACGCACCACACCACGCACATACCACACCACGCACACACCGTACCACGCACTCACCACACCATACACCACGCACACACCACACCACGCACTCACCACACCACACACCACGCACACACCACACCACGCACACACCACGCACACACCACACCACGCACTCACCACACCACGCACACACCACACACGACGCACACACTACACACCGTACCACGCACCACACCACGCACTCACCACACCACGCACACACCACACACCACGCACACACTACACACCGTACCACGCACCACACCACGCACTCACCACACCACGCACACAGTCCTCGGGACTCGTTCACGATACGCGGTGTGCAGCTCAGCTCCGCCCTGACTTTTCGAAATAGTAAAAAAAATAATGATAAATATAATTATATAAATGTGTTGAAGGCTCCTCGCTGTTTCCGGATCTCGCGTGTTCCGGGTGCCGAGTTTCACTCAGCCCAGCCCGAACCGACTCGGTCCCAAACCCAAGCCAGAGGGACCAGGGACTCCCACCGGGACTCGAGAGGAGGAGGAAGAGGAGGAGGAAGAAGAAGAAGAGGAGGACTGCCATCTTCGTCACCCTGTGAAGCTCTGCGTCGCTCTTCATCCTCGACCCTCCTCCATCGTCGCCCCGAGCCGCCGCCGCTGAGGCCCGACCCGCGTAGCTCTGCCGACAACAGCACGGGGACAGAAGACGACATTTGTATGGAGCCCGCACGCTGACGGGCAGAGAGAGAGAGAGGAGAGAGAGGAGCGAGAGGGGAAAGCAGCAGCAGCAGGGAGGGAGAAGGGAGAGATAAGGGAGAGAGAAGGGAGGGAGGAGGCTTTGCGAGAGCGCTCTTCTCGTGAACGGATTCCGAGGTCGGCGAGGCTGGTCGAGAGTCGGGCCGCAGAGCTCCTCGACACATTTGTCAAGGTCCCGAGGCGAACCATCGCTCGGCGTTCATGTTGTAATCGTCAATGTTGACCAGTTAGTCTAGTGGGGACATTCGGCGTGCAGCAGGAGTAGCGGGCGGCCCGGTCGGTGCGCTGCCCCTCGTGGTCACAGCGGAAATCCCAGTCGGAGTGGACAAGACGCGTGCTGCTCCTTCCTTTAAACCATCGTCACATCTCTCGCCAGCCGCACTCGTTTCGTTAACCAGACCCCGCTCGGATAATTAATATTTCAATTAATATTGGCGCTGTGTGTCGCCAGGGCGCGTTGTGGTCGCGATTCCTTCCGCTAGCGCCAGATGCGTGCGCGGTGCAGCACAGAGCAGGCGGCACGCTGCTGAGTGAGGAGTGTGTCAGTGTGAGTGTGTCAGAGTGTCAGTGTGAGTGTGTCAGTGTGAGTGTGTCAGAGTGTCAGTGTGAGTGTGTCAGTGTGTGTCAGTGTGTGTCAGTGTTCGTGAGTGTGTCAGTGTGTGTCAGTGGTCGTGAGTGTGTCAGTGTGAGTGTGTCAGTGGTTGTGTGTCAGTGTGAGTCAGTGTGAGTGTGTCAGTGTGTGTCAGTGTGAGTGTGTCAGTGTGAGTGTGCCAGTGGTCGTGAGTGTGTCAGTGTTCGTGAGTGGTCCCGATTGGGTTGGGGTTTGATTCTGTGCGTGTTGCAGTGCCGAGGTTAATTTGCGTGATAGCCGTTCACTGTTGTAGAGGGGTTGGTAGATCGTGGAGGGAGGGGGTGGTGGTGTTGGCTAGCGGTGGCTGCTGCTGCAATGGCTCGCGAATACGACCACCTCTTCAAACTGCTCATCATCGGAGACAGCGGTGAGTGGCGAGACATTGACGCCTCGCCCCCAAGTCACAACACCAACAATAACCCCGCAATTACACCAACAACAACAACACTGTGCCTACATTGTATCATACCACAGCTGTACACTCTAATACTACACTACAACACCAACAATAACCCCGCAATTACACCAACAACAACACTGTGCCTACATTGTATCATACCACAGCTGTACACTCTGCTACTACACTACAACACCAACAATAACCCCGCAATTACACCAACAACACTGTGCCTACATTGTATCATACTACAGCTGTACACTCTAATACTACACTACAACACCAGCACTGTACACTGCTAACACAATATACTGTACCGTATCAGTGATATACTATACAGTAACACACAAGCACTGTACACTCGTAATATTTACACTGTACTAACACGATACACTCATATTTAATATATTTACACTCCAGTTAAAATACTACTATATTATAGTCTATGGACACTGCATTTCAGTAGAATACACGACAGTACTAACAGTACCAGTCGGAGTGATATTAACCCTCAGAAAACTAGTCCTAACACTATCCACTATCTGCTAACATTGTACACAATCACACTACTGATGTTACACTAACACACTACCAGCAACATTCACATTACTCACACTATACACGAACACATTACTAACACTACAATGACCATACCATACACGAGGTTAATACCAAGACAACATACAGTACTGTACTAACACTGTTCACTTGGCATCGTTATAACATACACGACTCGCACTGACCTCTTGTGCTAACACCACTAAAGTTCACAGCCTCATAGTACCAACAAACACAACTTGACAGTAACACTGCTAACACTACTCACGACGGTGTACAGTACACAATACTACACGTGCACTATTACCCTACGACTAATCAATTGTTAACCCCACACGATTCTATAAACTTTAATATTTACCCTATGAGTAACCACACAATCCTATAAACTTCACTATTTACCCTACGAGTAACCACACAATCCTATAAACTTCACTATTTACCCTACGAGTAACCACACAATCCTATAAACTTCACTATGTACCCTACGTGTAACCACACAATCCTTTAAACTTCACTATTTACCCTACGAGTAACCACACAATCCTATACACTTCACTATTTACCCTACGTGTAACCACACAATCCTATAAACTTCACTATTTACCCTACGAGTAACCACATAATCCTATAAACTTCACTATTTACCCTACGAGTAACCACACAATCCTATACACTTCACTATTTACCCTACGAGTAACCACACAATCCTATAAACTTCACTATTTACCCTACGAGTAACCACACAATCCTATAAACGTTACTATTTACCCTACGAGTAACCACACAATCCTATAAACTTCACTATTTACCCTACGAGTAACCACACAATCCTATACACTTAACTATTTACCCTACGAGTAACTACACAATCCTATAAACTTTACTATTTACCCTACGAGTAACCACATAATCCTATACACTTCACTATTTACCCTACGAGTAGCCACATAATCCTATACACTTCACTATTTACCCTATGAGTAACCACACAATCCTATAAACTTCACTATTTACCCTACGTACACTGTTAACACTGTGCAGTAACATGACTGTACCGTGTTAATGTGCAGCTAGTACCACAGCTCCAATACTGCACTATCAGTCAAGTAATACCCTGCTGCACTATCACTGTCAAGTAATACCCTGCTGCACTATCACTGTGAAGTAATGCCCTGCTGCACTATCAGTCAAGTAATACCCTGCTGCACTATCACTGTCAAGTAATACCCTGCTGCACTATCACTGTGAAGTAATGCCCTGCTGCACTATCACTAATGTGAAGTAATACCCTGCTGCACTATCACTGTGTAGTAATGCCCTGCTGCACTATCACTGTGAAGTAATACCCTGCTGCACTATCACTGTGAAGTAATACCCTGCTGCACTATCACTGTGAAGTAATACTCTGCTGCACTATCACTGTGTAGTAATGCCCTGCTGCACTATCACTGTGAAGTAATACCCTGCTGCACTATCACTGTGTAGTAATACCCTGCTGCACTATCACTGTGAAGTAATGCCCTGCTGCACTATCACTGTGAAGTAATGCCCTGCTGCACTATCACTGTGAAGTAATACCCTGCTGCACTATGATGTGTAGTAATGCCCTGCTGCACTATCACTGTGTAGTAATGCCCTGCTGCACTATCACTGTGAAGTAATACCCTGCTGCACTATCACTGTGAAGTAAAACCCTGCTGCACTATCACTGTGAAGTAATACCCTGCTGCACTATCACAGTGAAGTAATGCCCTGCTGCACTATCACTGTGAAGTAATTCCCTGCTGCACTATCACTGTGAAGTAATTCCCTGCTGCACTATCACTGCGAAGTAATGCCCTGCTGCACTATCACTGTGAAGTAATGCCCTGCTGCACTATCACTACTGTGAAGTAATACCCTGCTGCACTATCACTACTGTGAAGTAATACCCTGCTGCACTATCACTGTGAAGTAATACCCTGCTGCACTATCACTGTGAATACCCTGCTGCACTATCACTGTGAAGTAATACCCTGCTGCACTATCACTACTGTGAAGTAATGCCCTGCTGCACTATCAGTGTGAAGTAATTCCCTGCTACACTATCACTGTGAAGTAATGCCCTGCTGCACTATCACTGTGAAGTAATGCCCTGCTGCACTATCATCGTGAAGTAATGCCCTGCTGCACTATCACTACTGTGAAGTAATGCCCTGCTGCACTATCACTGTGAAGTAATACTCTGCTGCACTATCACTGTGAAGTAATACCCTGCTGCACTATGCCTGTAGTGTGATACACGGCAGTGAGACGCAGTTGTCATTGCTGCACTGCACGTCCTGTGTGAGATCCACTGCTGGATGATGCTCCCCGCACCTCACCCCGTGGGGCGAGGTTATTTGACCATACTTCACCACGCTGGTCAATGCAGCGGTGTAATGTACTGTACTCAATGTTAGTACAGTGTAAGTCCTGCATACACAGCATGGTAACGCTGCACTGTCCTGTGTTACAACCACACAGACACTACAGGAGAATTTCGATTTAAAGCTTTCGTGACTGCAGGGATTCATATTCTTGGTTCTTTCGGTAAAGTCACGTAGAAGGGAAACAATAAAATAATAAAAATATAAAACAATAAAATTCTCACGACGTTTCGACTGCAACACAAGCAATCATCATCAGGTGTGAAAACCACGGCAATAAAATTTGAAAAAAAAGTGGCGGTTATTTTTAACGTTAGCACCACGGAGAGCGATTTGACAGTTTGTTCAGATGGACGAGTCCATCTATGTTCGGAAAAGAGGAGGGGGGAGACGAAAATAATGGATGCAGTCTGAAAGCCACCTTAAGCGTGAACAATAAATTAAGACCCGAAATGGTTGATCAAATCCTTCCAATGATTGCTAAGCCAGAATCCATCTTCTCGGTTGAAATTGTCTCTGTGTTTGTATATGTGGATAGCCTCATGAACGAATCTCTCATGGTAGCCAGATGGCTTGCAAAGAACCTCTGTCTTGGAGAAGTCAATGTCATGTGAGCCTACTGAATTATAAAAGTGATCTGCCATGGCCGAGGTGTTGGTCCTACCGTGTTTTAGGTCTGCTTTGTGTTCACGAATGCGGTCCGAGACATGTCGTTTGGTTTCTCCAATGTAACTACTACCACAGAGGCAACTTAGTTTGTAGACGCCAGGGTACTGTATGTCCGGAATCACATCTTTTACAGACGGAACCAGATCACGGATCTTATGTAATGTGTTGAATCGGACCTGGATCTTGTGTTTATTCACACTAACGTGTGTGTTCATCGTGGTTGTACTACCAAAAACTCCACCCCCTCAGCTCCCCATTGGTGATGGAGCTGTTGTGGACAGAGTGGAGAGTTTCCCATACCTGGGCAGTGTGCTTTTATGGCCAGCTATGGTTTGACAGCAGAGGTCCCACTGCGAATCAGCCGAGCGGCATTATCTTTTAATCGTCTGCTTAACGCTGCTGTGTGGAAGCTGCCTGGTCTGTCGCTCCGCACGAAGCTTCGGATCTTCTCGGCCATGGTCATGCCCTCCCTTCTCTATGCTTGCGAAACGTGGACCCCTCTAACAGAACATCTCTGCGCCTGTTAGAAAGATTCAGGCTGGCCTGCCAACGATCCATCCTGGGTTCGGTCTTACGGGCTGGATTGTGTGAGGAGCTCACAAATCCTTGAAAGATCCTGGACACAGTCCCATCAGTGAGGTCCTACGGCAGGCAAGGCTGCGTTGGCTGGGCCATGTAGCCCGCATGCCCAGCCACCGCATGCCTAAACAGCTTCTGTTTGGCCGCATCGAGGGGGCTAAACGGGCACGGCACGGGCTAGAGAAGAGATGGAGTGATGTGGTACAGGAGGACGTGGAGCTGAGTGGAATTGCCGATGACCGGTATCAGCGGTGTCAAGATCGGCCTCTGTGGAGGAGGCTCGTGAAGGATGCTACTGGGCAGTTGGAGGTAGTCGCCCTCCAGCAACAACGGAGGGCGGAGGAGCAACGCTCACAACAACGAGCGGAGCGCCGGGTGGCTAAAGCAACAGCAAGTTGGCACAGTAGGGGGCAAAGCTTGTGCATCTACCAGTAGTCATCGCAGTCAGCCAACCCGTGGCACCTGCAGGGTCTGTCCCGAGACCTCCTGTCAGCAGCGAGCCTTCGACACTTCACGTGGCAGCCTCAAAGTGCACCTAGCCTGGCACAGGCGCTGTGGCGACGTCATCATCACTTAGTGGCGAATGGCGGCTGTCTTGGTATTGTTAATGTGGTTGTCGTCTTAGTGCAGTGTCGTGTTAAAGTCTAGACCAGTGCTGGGGGTGAACAGGAAGCTGTACTTGGTAGTGTTGTGTAAACTGCCTACACTGCAGTGTGGCATTCCTCTGCCACGGTGTGTGTTGCAGGTGTGTATGGAGCATGCACGGTGTGTGTTGCAGGTGTTTATGGCACATGTACGGTGGGTGTTGCAGGTGTGTATGGCACATGTACGGTGTGTGTTGCAGGTGTGTATGGCACATGTATGGTGTGTGTTGCAGGTGTGTATGGCACATGTACGGTGTGTGTTGCAGGTGTTTATGGTACATGTACGGTGTGTGTTGCAGGTGTGGGCAAGAGCAGCTTGCTACTACGTTTCTCAGATAACGTATTCTCAGGTGAGCTGGCACTTTCAATACACGAACCACACAAAGACAAAGATTCCCCCGTGTAGCCTTTAACAGACTGTGGGTGCAAGTGCTGTTAGCGACGAGCAGCACCTATCAAGGCCGGCACGGCACACGAGGGGGTGGGTGGCCAGTACCAGGCCTGGCCGCCTTTGTCTCTCCAGTGGCGAAGTTTATACACAGCACCAGGTACTCATTTGAGGCCAGGACCGGTTCAGAGCGGAAATCGAACTCTGGTTCGTATCGCACTGCACCACCACTCCCACACAATGACATCCCACACAATCCCCAATACGCACAATCACACAAACTCAAGATCTGATAATAAACCACACGCATAATCGTGCACTGACATGCACTCTATAATAACACACACGATCACACAGGCATGAATTCACGTGTCAGACGCAGGAATCTAAGGAGGATTGAACCTGGATCAGTGGTGTAATTACATTATCATTGGCATAGTAACTACATTATCAGTGGTGTAACAACTACATTATATCAGTGGCATAGTAACGACATTATCAGTGACGTAGTAACTAAATTATCAGTGGCGTAGTAACTACATTATCAGTGGTGTAGTAACTACATTATCAGTGGTGTAGTAACTACATTATCAGTGGCGTAGTAACTACATTATCATTGGCGTAGTAACTACATTATCATTGGTGTAACTGCATTATCAGTGGTGTAGTAACTACATTATCAGTGGTGTAGTGACTACATTGTCAGTGGCGTAGTGACTACATTATCAGCTCGGGGTGCAGCAATCGGTCAGGTGGGGTACCCAATCTTGTGATTTGTCTCTTGGCACGGTTGCACCTCGAGGCTGTTCGGTGTCACAGCTCGTCCTGCCCCCATCCCATCGTCGTCGTTACGTTCACGGTCTTGAACATTTAACGCTGTAGGGGAACGCTCCGCCTTTGCAAAAGCAGCCACTACAGCTCCATAGTCGTAGTGTCTTTTTGCAAGATTATGTTACTACTCTAATTACAGATTTAAAGCTTTCGTGACTGCAAGGATCCATACTCTTTGGTTCTATTCGGTAAAGTCATGTAGGTAAAAAATAAAACAACAAAAATCACGACGTTTTGGCCACAACACAAGCGGCCTTCATCAGGTGAAGGGACCAGACTGTCTCGAGGACAGCGCTGGAGTGAAACACAGCCACGCTCAGACCGCGACCTTTAAGCTGTGTGCGAGGAAACAAGGTGCCTTGACAAAGGAATTAGCATAAAAAATTAGCATTTGATTGGCCGACTTAGCATGATGAATGGTGTAGAGGTGGTGTACATGCGGGTGAACATGCCGGTTGGCGAGGGGGAGTTTACCTATTGATGGTGTGAAAAGGGAATTTTTAAGAGCTGCGAATGCTAAGAAACCCATTAGTAACATCAGCAAAAATGAATGCTCTGAACTCGCGAATTTAAAAAAAACAGAAGTGATATAGTCATCCTCTCAGCCGATAAAGGCAACGCTACTGTAATTATGGATAAAGATTCATACAACAAAAAAATCCAGAATCTGCTCAACGATGGAAGTTACTCAAAAATTAAAAATGACCCTACCAATAGCCTAGCGATAAAAACCAACAAGATCATCACCAGTTCGACCTCCCTAATCGACCCAACTAAACGTCCTTCCCTAAAACCTTCTGCTGCAAGACCCCCTAGATTCTATGGTCTTCCCAAGATTCATAAAGAAGGCACCCCACTACGACCCATCGTATCCACGATCAACTCCCCTACCTATAGACTAGCCCGTTTTCTGTCAGATACCTTGCTGCCTTTCACTGGCAAGACCGCCTCAGCAGTACTTAACTCAGCCCAATTGGTCTCTATGGTCAAAGACGTTGTACTGTCCCCTGACGATATCCTTGTCAGCTTTGATGTGGTCTATTTGTTCACCAAGGTCCCAATACCTGATACCATTGAAATAATTGAAAATTTGGTCCAACATGGACTAGACCCTGATACACCTGCACTGGTTAGGCACTGCCTCAACAATACCTACTTTACTTGGAATGGCTCCTTCTACAAACAAAATGAGGGTACCCCCATGGGATCCCCCTTGTCACCAGTGATAGCCAATATTTTCATGGAGAAATTTGAATCAGACGCCATCCAGACTTCCACCCTCAGACCTTCCCTGTGGAAGAGATATGTGGATGACACTTTCGTCATTTGGCCACATGGCCTCCGAGCTCTGAACCTTTTCCTACACCACATCAATTCCAGACATCCCGCCATCAAATTCACCATGGAAGTGGAGAAAGATGGCAAGCTACCATTCTTAGATGTTCTGTTTGAGAGGAGACCTGATGGCTCATTGGGGCATTCTGTCTACAGGAAACCCACCCACACATATTCCTACTTGAAACCTGATTCCCACCACCACCCAGCCCAAAAGAATTATCTCATCAGAACTTTATACTATAGGGCTCATTGCATTTCGGACCAACACCACCTGACCAGTGAATTAAAACATGTACACCTGGCCCTCAAAAGGAATGGATACTCTGACCGTACCATCCGCCAAGCTGTTTCTCCCTCCATACAGAAACAACCACTTGATACTCCGGTCAAAACCATCACTATACCATATATAGCAGGCGTTACTAAAAAGATGTCCAAAATTCTAAACAAACACAAGATCCAGGTCCGGTTCAATACAGTACACAAAATTCGTGATCTGATCCCATCCGTGAAGGATGTCATTCCTGACTTACAGTACCCCGGGGTTTACAAATCGAGTTGTACCTGCGGTGATTGCTATATAGGGGAGACAAAGCGACATGTCTCTGACCGAATTCGCGAGCACAAATCAGATTTGAAACACGGCAGAACAAATTATTCTGCCGTAGCTGATCACTGTTACAACGCTGTGGGTGATCACGATATAATTTTCTCCGATACCAAGGTTCTTTGCAAACCCACGGGTTTTCATCAGAGACTTGTTCACGAGGCAATTCAGATCTACAAACACAGACACAATTTCAACCGAGCAGATGGTTTCAAATTAAGCAACCATTGGAAAGATGTTCTAAATCGAACCAAACATTAAACTAATTTTCAATGGTACAGTATATTTTTCAAGTAGTGGTACCCCAAACTTTTGCAGCTCTTAAAAATTCCCTTTTCACACCATCAATAGGTAAACTCCCCCTCCCCCCCTCGCCAACCGGCATGTTCACCCGCATGTACACCACCTCTACACCGTTCATCATGCTAAGTCGGCCAATCAAATGCTATTTTTCATGCTAATTCCTTTGTCAAGGCACCTTGTTTCCTCGCACACAGCTTAAAGGTCGCGGTCTGAGCGTGGCTGTGTTTCACTCCAGCGCTGTCCTCGAGACAGTCTGGTCGCTTCACCTGATGAAGGCCGCTTGTGTTGTGGCTGAAACTAAGTGATTTTTGTTTTATTTTTTTACCTACGTGACTTTACCGAATAGAACCAAAGAATATACTCTAATTACATTAAACCGCGTTGTAAATAAGTTGTTCTTTGACATTGCTGTTGTTGAAAACAAATCTCATGGTGGGTGTCAAGGTGGATGGGCCCCCAACTCGTCGCTTTGGCCACCAGGGGGAAGGGGTTGGTGGGGCAAGGCCCCCCCGCCTGCCCCCAACGCCGCTCGCTACGCCACTGGGCTGGAATGGCTGTACAATCAGGTGCAGTCATAGGCCTCATCATCAGAATCAGAATATGTATTTATACTACAGGAGGGATCCCATGAGTTATAAAACTTTTTCTATTTTTTACAGATGCCCAGTAGGGGCACAGGGCTGTACACTCCTTCGCAACCCAATTTCACTCACCCACATTGACCAGCGTGGTGAAGTATGGATGAAATAGCCCTCGCTGCCTGCACAGCATGGGAGTAGGGAGTCCCTCATCCAGCAGTGGATTTACAAACTGGCTGTGCATGCACAGTTCCACACACAAACAGAACACGCATTCACGCACACGCACAACGAACTCCATCACACACACGCGCACTCACACAACATACGCTCAGATACAGACCCTTGCACACACAGTACATATACACTGCATGAGCCAGTGAGCATAGTGACTCAAAAATATTGACCTTTATATAGACCCACACCTTGAATTGCAATGACAAAGACAAATGCAAAGATCCCCCGTATAGCCTTAACAGACTGTAGGGGCAAGGGCTGCTGTTAGCGAGCACCTATGAAGGCCGGAACGGCACACGAGGGGGTGGGTGACCAGCACCACGCCCGACCGCCTTTGTCTCCCCAGTGGCGATGTTTACTACACACCGCACCAGGTACTCATTTGAGGCTGAGTCGACCAAGGGGAGGCCCAGGACCTATTCAGATAATTGTCACCGATGTTGGCCGTGAGCGAGAATTGAACTCAGGTGGCCGGGTTCGTAGCTAACCGCTACTACACTACCGCTTCTCACTCACACTGCTCAACACAACTTCACAGTGACGCAGCTACACACATATATGGTGATATATAGTGACACACCTATACAATCACACACATACACACCCTCACCTAAATCTAAGTTTATCCCATCCAGTCAGACTGACAACCTTGCCACTGTCAAGGCGTCATGTTTATCGCGTTAATGATACGACAAACGTGAGACAAGTCACACTTAAACATTGGATTTTCGACTCCTATCTCTCAAATCAACATGCCTCGCTGCTCAAACATCCCTTGGGCTGGCATTCAACTCCCATTGGAGACAAGACAGCGGTGGAAATTCCACATTCCCAGACTATCCATAGGATGATGACTGTTGCCAGTAGAGGGATAGTGATGATTGAGATACTGTTGATTATGCTGATAATAATAGTGATGATGTTGATGGTGATAATACAGTAGTGATAATGGTGGTGATGTTCCTGATGATCATAGTGGTGATGGTAGCGATGTTTACGATAATACAGTCGTGATTTCACGACGGAAGTGATGTTGATGATAGTACAGTAGTGATGTTCCTGATGATAATTTTGATGATATTGATGTCCCATGACGATTACGGGGATGATGATGATGATGATGGTGGTGATGATGATGGGGGTGATGTTCATGTAGAATGATGGTGTGAGTCGACCCCTGACCAAGATTTGAACTCCGCGACCTTTCTGTTGCGAGCCGAGCACTTTGACCCACGGAGACCTGATGGGGACATGGACGCCGTTCACTTGTGGCGTTTAGATTGCGTCAAAACCACGCTGCTATTATTATTATTATTAGCCTCGGAAATTTCTTCTGCAGTACGCACCCAAAGGAGGACAGACCCAAGGCAACATGTGGCCGGGTAGTTCCAGAGTTGAACGATGTCACGCGGTCTTTAACGTCAGCCCGTCAAGCGGACTGCGTATAGTTATATTTATGGTTAAAGCACCTACAGTAATACCATTTTTTTCACAATTTTTTTATAAACTTTTCCAGGTAAGGCCCACTGAGCTATGTGGCTTTTTTTCAGTAGCGACCTGGCCATAATTGTTAGCTCAACGAAGTGGCTTATCATCATCACGTGGAAATTTATAGCAGCCATAAACTCTAAACACATGATGTTGATTCTGAATGTGGAGTGAAAAACCGGAGGACCCGGAGACAAATCCGCGTGCCCACGGGGGGAGAGAACAAACTCCAAATATACAGCAGCAGCAGGCGTCAGGGTCGGGATCGAACCCACGTCCTCCTGTATACCAGGTGAGGTAGTTAACATCTCCTAGCCACCATGGTGCCCCTGCAGTAATAACCAGGGCAGCCACCAGGTTGGAACCGCGAGCCACGAACGGAGTGACGGCACTGCTCCGCGAGCATTCCGACTGCCCTCAGTGTCTCGTGGCGTGGCGCCGATCGCGCGTTTGGAGTATCATTCCCGAAACGAACGAAAAGTATTCTCCATTCGCCATATAACTGCACGCGGTTTTCCTGCTTGACCTTTTGACCCCTTGCGACTCGGTGACCCTGTGATGATGTGACCCCCAGGTAGTCACATCACGACCATCGGGGTCGACTTCAAGATCCGGACGATGGACGTGGGCGGGGAGCGCGTAAAGCTGCAGATCTGGGACACGGCAGGACAGGAGCGGTTCCGCACCATCACCTCCACGTGAGCACCATCACCGACACAGTCGCTCGTATTGGCACGGTCGCACGTATCGGTACCGACACTCGTTATCGGCACGGTCGTCTGTATGGGCACGGCTGCCCGTATCCGTACCGGCACTCGTATCGGCACGGCCGTCTGTATCGGCACGGTCGTTTGTATCGGCACGGCTGTGTCCGTATCCGTACCGACACTCATATCGGCACGGCTGTTCGTATCGGCACGGCTGCTCGTATCTGCATAGATGCCCGTATCGGCATGGCCGCGCGTATCGGCACTGACACTCGTATCGGCACGGTCTGCTTGAAGGTAGATATCTGCGTCGGCACCCCGGCAGGACTCGTGTGCGCTACCAGAGGCGAGTGCCGCAGATTATTCCGGTCTCAAAGTTCAATTGAAGAGTCGCAAATGGTGTGGTGTCTCTGTGGTGTCTCTGTGGTGTCTCTGTGGAGCTCCACTTGAACTGCCCACGTCTCGCGAGCCGACCATTTGGCAATCTCCGCCCTAACGTCTATCTATGTACACGTACGCACGTGCCTCTGTATGCACGTGTGTGTGTGTTAGTGTTTCACGTGGGGTGCGGTACCGTACTGGTTAACGTGCTGCGCCATGCAACCCGGCGATCCGAGCTCGATTCCCCGTTTACTACCAATGTGGCGAATATCTGAACCGATGCTGGGCCTCCCGTGAGGTCGACTCAGCCTAAATGAGTAGCTGGTAGCAGTGTGTAAACATCAGGTGGCCCCACGTGTGGTGTTGTGTGTGTGCAATTGTGTAAAAGAGTTTCTGTCTGTGTGTGTATGAACGATTGTGTGTGTGATTGTGTGGGGAGTGATAGTGTCGACCCGGGTTCGATTCGCGCTCACGGCCAACACCAGTGACGATTATCTGAACCGGTCCCGGGCCTCCCCTAGGTCGACTCGGCATCAAATGTGTACCCGGTGCGGTGTGTAAACATCGCCACTGGGGAGACAAAGGCGGTCGGGCGTGGTGCTGGCCACCCACTCGCTCGTGTGCCTTTCCGGCCTTCATAGGTGCTGCTCGCTAACAGCACTTGCCCCTACAGTCTGTTAAGGCTACACGGGGGATCTTTGTCTTTGTGTGTGATTCTGTGAGATGTGTCTGTACGTCATTGTGTATGTGTGTGTGTGAGATGTGTCTGTACGTCATTTTGTGATTCTGTGAGATGTCTGTACGTCATTGTGTGTGTGTGAGATGTGTCTGTACGTCATTGTGTGTGTGTGAGATGTGTCTGTACGTCATTGTGTGTGTGTGAGATGTGTCTGTACGTCATTGTGTGTGTGTGAGATGTGTCTGTACGTCATTGTGTGTGTGTGTGAGATGTGTCTGTACGTCATTGTGTGTGTGTGAGATGTGTCTGTACGTCATTGTGTATGATTGTGTGAGATGTGTCTGTACGTCATTGTGTGTGTCTGTACGTCATTGTGTGTGTGTCTGTACGTCATTGTGTATGATTGTGTGAGATGTGTTTGTACGTTATTGTGTGTGTGTCTGTACGTCATTGTGTGTGTGTGTCTGTACGTCATTGTGCGGGAGCGGTGGAGCAGTGGAGCAATGGTTAGTGTGCTGGGATACGAACCCGGCCGCTCACGATTTTATGAACCGGTCCTGGGCCTCCCCTAAGTCGACTCGGCCTCAAATGAGTACCTCTTGCAATGTGTAAACTTTGCCACTAAGGAAGACAAAGGCGTCCGGCCGTGGTGCTGGCAATGCCACCCACTTGATGCGCCGCTCGGGCCTTCGTAGGCGCTACTCGCTTGCAGCACTTGCCCACAGTCTGTTGAAGGCTACACGCGTGGTGACCTTTGTGTGCGCGCGTGCAGGTACTACCGCGGCACGCACGGCGTGATCGTGGTGTATGACGTGACGAGCGCAGAGTCGTTTGTGAACGTTCAGCGCTGGCTCCAGGAGATCACGACCAACTGCGAGGACGTCTGCCGCATCCTCGGTGAGCACTAAAACACGACAACCTCACCACTCGTAAACTATTTTACGTTTTTACCAAGTGAGCTGTGTAGCTCCTTTTCAGACAAGTGACCTGGGCCACAAGTGATAGCGCAACAAAGCAGCTTATCATCATCGCGTTGAAATAGTTTATAGCAGCCAAATATTCTAAACGCACGTCGATTCTAAATATGGAAGGAAAAAAAGCATAGGCCCCGGAGAAAAAAATCCAAGAGCTACCTGCTAAAAATATAATATATCATTTAAATATATATTACAGACAATAAATCTTTGATGTGGGCATGAAGGTGGTGCCATACTCTGACTTGCCAGGAGAAGGCAGTACAGCAAAGTGCCGAATAATCTCATGTCCCTTTGGTGTGGGATAGAGCGTTGCCCCCTCGCACACACGTGAGTTTTCTGCAGGTGCTCCGGCTTCCTCCCACTTGTATAATAAACACTCATCATTAATTGGATGAAAGCATCTTAAAATACATACCCAATGTAGCAGTAGGAACCCTCCTGAAAAAGAGTCTTTGGGCTGTCCTGGATAAATAAGCAATTATGCTTCAGTCATCTTTGTTCGTTAATATTCTGGAATCGGGTATTTGTGTATAAAGCAACCGCACAGCATTCCCTGAATTTTAGATGCACTTTGCGGCTAATTGGGGCCTAAATTGTCATCAGGGTAGTGCAGCAAACTACATAGCTGTCTACCGTACTGTGCTCCCTGCCTTGACCAAATGGCCCACATGACCAGATGTGTCCGGGGAGACGGGGATAATGACGATCGCTCTGTGGGTGTGTGTGGGCGTGTGATGGGTACAGTAGGGGGCACAGGTGGTGCATCAGCCAGTCATCTCAGTCAGCCAAACCATGGCACCTGGGTCTGTCCTGTGACCTCCTGCCAGCGGGCGTTCGACACTTCACGTGGCCTTAACGTGCACATAGCCTGGCACAAGCGCCGTGGTGATGTCACCACTTCGTGGCGAATGGCGGTTGTTGATGGGCGCCGATACAGGTGGTGTAGCGCTGTGCTCCGAAACCCACACATGGGCAACATCAGTAATTATTATCGGAATTGGTCCTGGGCCTCCCCTAGGTCGACTCGGCCTCAAATTATTACCTGGTGCGGTGTGTAAACATCGCCACTCGGGAGACAAAGTGCGGCCGGGAATGGTGCTGGCCAGCCACCCACCCACCCACCCCCTCGTGCATCGTGCCTGCCTTTATAGATGCTACTCGTTAACAGCACTTGCCACAACAACCTGTTAAGGCTACATGGGGGATCTTTATGATGGGTGCTCTCTCTCGTCGCTGTGCGAAGTGGGAAACAAGGACGACGACCCGAACCGGAAGGTGGTGGAGACGCAGGACGCACGGCGCTTCGCGGAGCAGATGGGGGTGCGACTGTACGAGACCAGCGCCAAGGACAACATCCACGTGGAGGACGTGAGACGGGGACACACGGGGAGAGGGACACACGGGGAGAGGGACACACGGGGAGAGGGACACACGTGGAGAGGGACACACGTGGAGAGGGACACACGGGGAGAGGGACACACGGGGAGAGGGACACACGGGGAGAGGGACACACGGGGAGAGGGACACACGGGGAGAGGGGGAGAGGTGGGTGGAGACATGGAGAGAGTCTGTGGAGAGATATGGAGAGACAGATCGGTGGGAGAGAGACGTGGGGAGAAGCAGAGAGAGAGGTGAGCTAAGCGCATGGAGAGGTAGGGGAGAGATGCTGGGCAGAGAGAGAAGCGGGGTAGAGACATTCAGAGAGAGATGGGCAGGGAAACATGGCGTGGTGGGATCTAGACGAGACACGGGCATCCCAGGGTTGTTGAGGTCACGCTGATATACAGACAAGTAGAATCCGAGGGAGATTTGAGAAGGCAAGATTATGATACGAGAATGGCATAAGAAAAGGTTTGATCAAGTGGATAAGGTACACAAATCCACAGCAATGAGCGGGATAACACGAGACGGTTTTTGATGTGGCATGACAGTCAGGGAAGATGCTAGGTGCGGAGTTACCGGAAGACGCAGGAAGGTGTTATGAGAAACGAGCGGTGGGGGGGGGGGAGATAGGAGGGGGAACACTCGGGGGACCGTACGGGGGGGTGAAGGGGGGAGGAGGCACGGGAAGAACCGTGGGTGTCTCGTGGTTAGTAAACTAAACTATTTGTATTTTACCAGTTAAAGCCCACTGTGTAATGTAGCTCTTTTTCAGAAGCGACCTGGCCATCACAAATTATAGCTCAACGAAGTGGCTCATCATCACGTGGACATTAAAAGCAGTAGCCAAATTCTATAAATGCACGTTGACGTCGATTCCATATGATTTAACGGCCGTGCTCGTTCTCGCCGCCGCCAGATGTTCAAGGCCATCACGGACCTGGTGCTGCGGGCCAAGAAGGAGAACCAGGCCCGGATGCAGCAGCGGGCGGCCAGCGACGTCGTCAAGATCGGCCGCTCCTCGGGCCGCAGCCGGGGGAAGTGCTGCTGAGTGGTCCTCGCCGCTCACTCGGCCTACCGGGTTCAGCCTAACGTGGGGAAGGGGCAGGCAGCGGTTCAGGGGAACAACTTGGGGGTGGGGAGTCCGCAGGAGAGGTTTTGGCGGAGGGGCTGAAGGGAGCGAGCAAACGGGGAGGGGGGTGGGGATTGGGGCAGAGAATTGGGGCAAAGGAGGCTCTTGAAGCTCGAGATGACGGCGCGGTGATTTCGTGACTAAACCACATGGCGGCAAACGATAGGCGTGCCTTAGTTTGGCTCGATGAGCCACCAGGCTTTCGCAGATTGAGAATCGTCATTGATCCGGCTGCCGCTATGGGAGTGGGGGGGCGTAGGGAGGAGGTTGGAGGCCACCCGCGACTCGGCGGTGGATTTTGGTTCTTTCCCATCGCTCCACGAGCCGCCCCGTCCACACATTTTCTTTTTTGTCATCGTCGTCGTCGTTTGTATCGGGGATTGTCGGTCGGGGGGTTCGGGAGGCAAGTTTGCCAAAAAGATAAAATAAGAATGGTAATTTGAGAAACGTGAAATGAGTTCAGTGACATTTTAACCGTGAATTTTGGAGTGCAGAACTTAACGAGACGGAGGGCACTTTGTGCGCGCCGCGCCGTTAGCCGTACTGTACATAATCGTTAGACGTACTGTACATAACCGTTGCTGCGCGCAAATTGCACTTTTCAACCGATGCCAACTCCGCCGTACAAATGTCCAATTTTGTTGAGAAAATAAATAAAATAAACTTTTTATCAGCACTCAAATCGTAAAAGTCTTGTCGTTTTTACCGTAGACTCCACGCCAGGGAGAGAACTGCAACCTCCTCACGTTTGGTGTTCAAAGTCATAGGAGAATATTAAAAAAATAACTAATTCTCCCCTTGCCATCTTGAAAATTCACGTGGCCAGGTGGGTTCACAATGGCCATGTCAGAGCCACTGTGAATCCCATATTTAAGCCTTTAGGGCTGAGCCTTGAAACTAAACAAAAAAACTACACTTAAATTTTACCAGGTACAGCCAACAGAGCTTTGTCACTCTTTTTCAGAAGCGAACCTGGCTGCCACCAAGGAGAACTCAACGAAGTGGCTTATCATCACGTGGACATTTATAGCAACAGCCAAATATTTTAAACGCATGGTGATGTTGACTATAAATGTGGAGGGAAAAATCCACGTGACCACAGGGAGAGACGCAAATATTCAACAGGCGTCCGAGTCGAGATTGACCCTACGACCTCCTGCATACAAGGCGTGGTAGTTAACATCTCCCACAGGGTTATTGTAATGGACAAGACACCCATCCGAGTGTTGCTGGGACATGTAGGTGTGAACCCCTAGGGGCGAGGAGCTCTGTCCGAGGGGGATGAGACTGTAGCTGCGGTCGGCACTCCGTGCGTCCCCTCCTCGTGCACGCCAACAGCTGCGTGCGCCTGTGGGACAGGGTTGGTGGATCCCACGCAGATTTGGGAAGACGCCAGCGCGAACGTGGGATCACGAACCCATCTGTGCGGACCTTGCCGCCTTCGCGTCATCTCCTCATGCGTGAGGTTTTCGTCCAGGCTCTCCGTTTTCGTCCGACACGCTTGAGAAATATTTGTTCACGCAAATAATCAGAAAAAAAATCGGCCGAACAATCGAGAAAGTTAAATCGGATATTTATTCAGGAATACCTCGCCAAGCCACAATGGTGAGCGGGAGCTGCAACGGCGCTGTCGGGATTCCAGAGGTGGGCGGCTCGAACCGCAAATCTCGCAGCCTGGGGGCGACGTCAGCGTGGATCACGCGTCCCCATTGTGTCCCTGTGCTTCCTCTCTGCTGTGCCCGGTCCCCCCTCCCTCCCCACACAGACATCCCTGTTGGCTATCTCTGTGGGCACACCGCCTCGTCCCTCACCTCAGCACAAACACTGTGCATGCGTGACATCATTACGCAAACATCACACCGCCCCACCATCATCGCCTGTGCACTCCGCATTCGTGCGAACGGGAACGCCGCAGTCCGTCGGCGGAGGGGCGCGCTCAAGTGTGGGGGCCGTGGGGGAATTCTCGCAGGCCACGACGATCTCTGCCGTGATCCGTCAACCCCTGGGTGGATTTCTGGCGCTCGCCACCTGGTGTGGGCGACCCCCACGACGGCGAGGGTCGTGCAAGCGGCAGGACTGGGAGCGAGGCGGCTCGCTCCAGGCACTTTCATTCTCAGCAGAGGTGGCAGCTCGTGGCCAGAGCGGTCGGTTTGAGAAGGGGGCCGCGGAGTGCGGCGTCGACAAACGAAGACGAGATGGCGACTTGAAACCACCTCGTCAAAGGACTTCATTCATCTTGGTGGTGATGGTAGTGGTGGTGATGGTCGGGGTGGTGATATGTGCTGGTGGTGATGGTGGTGGTCGTGGTGGTTGGTGGTGGTCGTGGTAGTTGATGGTTGGCGGTGGTTGGTGATGGTTGGCGGTGGTTGGTGATGGTTGGTGATGGTTGGTGATGGTTGGTGGTGGTCGTGGTTGTGGTGGTTGGTGGTGGTCGTGGTGGCTGGTGGTGGTCGTGGTGATGGTTGGTGGTGGTCGTGGTGGTTGTGGTTGGTGGCTGCTGTGGGCCTGTTGGGAGAAACGTCTCCACATTCCTGTGGCGGGAGCCAACATCGGCCCTGGGAAGGTGGAATCCCCACCGCTGGGCTCCCTCGTGGGCTGCTGACGGATGAGCGCCCTCCACCACCCCCAAGATGAGACGCATCGTGCTTAGGAGGTGGAGTGGTGGCACAGCGGTTAGCACGCACAGTACTCGCCCCCGAGATCCAAGTTCCCCACCCCCCACACCCCGGTGAGCGGCTTACGTCAGTGGAAAGCGACATCCCAAGTGGACCTGGGCCCTCCCCCCTTCAGCAACCCTCACCGACCAGCGTGGTGAAGTATGGTCAAACAACCCCCGTGACCGGGGCACCGGGCAGGCCTTCATTGCCACTCGATTGGCAAAGAACCCTCGTCCGTCTTGTTGCCGTCCCTAGAATTTACGTGAAATCGGCAGGCAAAGAACCCCGTGCAGGGGACGAACCTTTACGTCGGGTAGTTTCGGTAATTACTCAACTGAAACAAGCCTCGTCGTATGGCTGACGTCGACCCACCGGCTAGAACTTCACAGCAGAGCTTCACGAGCCAGGTGACGCATCAGTCGTAGTGGGGGGGGGTATCTCTGTGATGATCGATGTCGCTTCCTCCGCATCTGTGAATGGGGCATCGAGTCGTTCGATGCTCCACGCTTCCCTTCTGAGTGGTGGCCACAGTCTACGCATGCTGCCCGCAGACATTTTTTTTTACTTTACTGTGCAGTAAATCGACAGCGCGCAGTCACCGCTCGTGACGGTCACCCGCAACAATAACCGGAACGTGGATCGCGTGCAGAGTCACAGGAGCCGTCCCAGCCGACACCATCTTGCACTCGGACCCAGAGGCGTCGTCCTTTTATTTAACCACTCGAGGGCCCCGCTGGCCTCCCCAACAGTGCACGGCTGCGCTGCTCACTCGCTCGGTGAGCAACGAGGAAGCCACGCCGATATCGACATCCGAGACATCCAGCCGGTGACACCGCCACCACCAAAACAAAAGACAAAGATCCCCCCGTGTAGCCTTTTAACAGAGTGTTGGTGCAAGTGCTGTTCACTAACAGCACCTATTAAGGCCGACACGGGACACGAGGGGGTGGGTGGCCAACACCGCGCCTGGCCGCCTTTGCCTCCCCAGCGGTGACGTTAACACACCGCACCGGGTACTCATTTAAGGCTGAGTCAACTTTAAAAAAGCCCAGGACCGGTTTAAATAATCGCCGGTGGTGTTGGTGGCCCCAAGCGGGAATCGAACTCGAGACGCTGGGTTTGTAGCACGGCACGCCGACCGCTGCACCACCACCACCACCACAATCAGCTCAACCCCCACCACCACTACCACCCTCTATTGGCAAATGTTTATGCCAATGTTACAACTGGACAACACTACTACGTGTTTAAAATTAACAGCTCGCACCTTGCAGAAAATTTACCACAGGACAAAACATCCCCCCCCCCCCGTTGTTACTCAGATGTCCGGGCAAGATTCGCCAGGCCTGGATTTGCCAGACGTCACTTTCAGAACATCATCCGTTCGGTTTTTCCGAGCTCCAATCGACTTCCGCTGACGATTTTATTTTGTTTAAACGCTTTTTAAACAATTCGTTTTTTTAAATCACCATTGCCCCTCATTCCCTACAATTTCAGGAATTGAGATCTAAATAACACAAAACCACAAGGCCTAGAAAACAAGACGAGTTGTACATTAAACCACTTCGTCGTCATTTTTCTGTTTTATATCTTAAACCGTGTTTCCCCACGTTCGCAGCATTATGAAATTCCCGTGTCAAAGGTGACCCCAGAATTTTGCTGGGTCCAGATTGAAAGTTCTTGGGTCAAGGGTTATGTATTGAAGAGGCAGTGTGCGTGTTTGTGCGTGTCCGTGTGTGTGCGCGTGTTATCTCTTGACCCGCGTGAGGCTGCCAGTCCGCGTTCGAACCGCGACAGATTCCCTCCGGGTTCCACTCCCCCCTCACTTCTCCTCCCCCCTACTCTCCTCACCCTTCACTCCCAGCCGCTTTGCCCAGGCGAGCCTGGGTGGTGGCGGTGGGGTCGGAGTTACGGACGCCGCCAGTCCGGGAATTGGCATCCTTGTTCGGCTGGCGCGCATGGATTTGTGCCGATGTCTGGTGGCGTTGTGCTGCGCAGTGCTGACAGACCAAACGCTGAGAAATCTCTCCAGGGTTTGCTCTGAAGTAGAAATTGTGACAACCTAATTGGGAGCGGACATCGGGAAAGTGCGCAAAAGGGACCTCGTAAAGTCTGTTTCATATTCGGCGTTGCGATGGACGCTGTGGTTGGAGCGCGAGACTCGCGACCAGGTAATAAGATTGTCTACGTGCCCGCCAGTAGCCATAAACCACCACCACCATCAATCCCTCCGGGGTGGAATTGCCACCTCTGTTGGTAATCCTGAAATCCAGTTGTGGAAATTCCACATTCTTAAAACAGGGGCCAGTCTCTCCGGCAGGACAGTCACTGCTGAATCCCCACAGAGCGAGTTCTTCCCGTTTCGGTTGATGGCGGAGGAATTAAGATGACGATCAATATGACGAGAGCGATGATGATGATGGTGCCGATCGTGATGAAATCATGATGACCGTGATGACTGTGATGATCATGAGAATTAAAATGGAAACGGAGGTGGTGAGAAGTTGCCTTGTCGCGATTTAGCCCCCTGCGATTTGAGGAACTCTCACGGTTGCGTGCTTTGCGATTCAAGAATCAAATATTTGTTTTTCCACCGTCGAATGTAGCGCCTCTCGTGGCTGCAGCCATCACGTGACCCCGAGTGACACGACGCCCCAAAGGTGGAACGTCACGCGCACGGTCCGCGGAGCGCGTCGGGATGAACCGACGGCATCACGGCAGCAGCAGCGACGAATCCGACAACGATGATCGTGACGATCACAACGCCGGTGATCAAACAACAGTAGCGACGAAGATGATGATCATGATGATAATTGTGGTGAAGACGGCCGTTGATGGTGGTGATCAAGACGACGTGACAATGCCATTGATGACGACATTGGCGGTGGTGTTGATGGGTTCAGAACTCCGTGGCCGACTCCACCGGTGCGAGGGAGAAGCAGGAAGAGGAGGAGCGGCGGAGGAGCAGCGGAGGTGGTAGGAGGTTAAGCTCGGGGAGAAGGAGCAGTGGGAGAAGGAAGAGGGGTGGAGGAGGAAGAGGGGTGGGATGTTGAGGAGTGGGAGGTGGAAGAGGAGTGGGAGGAGGAGTGGGATGTTGAGGAGGAGTGGGAGGTTGAGGAGGAGTGGGAGGAGTGGGATGTTGAGGAGTGGGAGGTTGAGGAGGAGTAGGAGGAGGAGTGGGAGGAGGAGTGGGATGTTGAGGAGGAGTGGGAGGAGTGGGATGTTGAGGAGGAGTGGGATGTTGAGGAGGAGTGGGAGGTTGAGGAGGAGTGGGAGGTTGAGGAGGAGTAGGAGGAGGAGTGGGAGGTTGAGGAGGAGTGGGAGGTGGAAGAGGGGTGGGATGCTGAGGAGTGGGAAGTTGAGGAGGAGTGGGAGGCTGAGGAGGAGTGGGAGGTTGAGGAGGAGTGTGATGTTGAGGAGGGGTGGGAAGTGGAAGAGGAGTGGGAAGCTGACGAGGAGTGGCAGGTTGAGGAGGAGCGAGAGGAGGAGCGGGTGCTCGTGCCTGCGGGCGAGGCCGTCACGTGAGGATGGTGTCGTCGATGTGCTCGGCGGGCTCCGGCTGGCTGGCCAGCTTGCGCAGCGAGCGCTTGCAGCAGTCGTTGAGCAGCTCCAGGCTCGTGGGGTCCAGCTCCTTGGACATGGCCTAGAGGGAGCGACAGTGAGGACGGTGTCTCCTCACCCGGTGATAATCTCTTCTTCCGGTGAGAAGCTCCTCACTCGGTGTGCAAGTATGACCGGTGCTGGTGGTGCTGGTTAAGGTCGTGTTGGTGGTGACGGTGGTAATTGTGGTGGTGGTAATGGTGGTGGTGACGGTGGCAACAATCTGGTGGTCATTACTAGAGTGTTGGTGGTGGTAACGGTGGTGGCGGTGACAGTAGGGGAGGCGGTGGTGGCGGTGACAGTGGCGACGATGGTCACGGTAATGTTGGTGGTGGCGACGGTAGTGGTGGTGGTGGCGACGGCGACGGGGCCGGCGTGCCGTGCTCACCTGGCAGGTGGCGTCCCCGTGGCGCAGACGCAGGAGGCTGACGAGCGCCAGCTCGCTGGCGGCACGCACCGCCGTGTTCTTGTCCTTGTAGCCGTCCAGCAGGGCCTTGAGCAGCGGCTTGGCGGCGCCGGCGTCGGCCGGCTCGGGGCCCGGCGCGCGGTGCACCCAGCACGACACCTGCGCCGCCACCAGCCGCACCTCGCTCGACTGGTGCTGCAGGCCCTGGGGGATTGAGCGGGCGAGAGGGGAGGGTGGTACGCGGTGGGTACGTTGGCGCGTGCGTGGGTGAGGTAGGCAGTGAGCTGGTGTGTGGATGGGCAGTTGGGAGAGGGTGGGTGAGTGAGCAGGGTGGGTGAGGAGAGTAGGGTGGGTGGTGTGGGTGGGGTGAGTAGGGTAGGGTGAGTAGGGTAGGGTGGGTGGGGTGGGCGAGTGGCGTGGGTGAATGGGGTGGGGTAGGGTAGTGTGGTGTGGAGTGGGGTGGGTCTTGGTGGGGTGAGTGGGGTGGGTCTGGGTGAGTGGTCTGGGCGAGTGGGGTGGGTTGCCTTCTCCAACACGGGGTGACACGCCACTCTGCCAGGGTGCCCAATGGATTCGTCGCCCCGTGAAACAAACGGCGCAAGTCAGTGACGTCGCCAACAGTGACAACAACAACAACAACAACGCAACGCGAGAGATCCAGGAGGAGGAGGCGGCACCTTGACGAGCACGGTGATGAGCTTGGGAGAGAAGCCGCCCCCTTCACGCTCCATCTGGTGCCTCATCAAGTAGCCAGCCGCTCGTACGCCGCTCACCGCGATCAACACCTACAAATACAAAGATCCCCCCCGTGTAGCCTTAACAGACTGTTGGGGTAAGGCCGGCACGACGCACGTGGGCGGGTTCCCAACACTGCACCCGACCACCTTTGTCTTCCACCTCGTCTTCTCCTCCCCCTCTCCACGTCTTTCCTCTCTCCCAGTCTCCATCCTCTCTCCCCCATCTCCCCCACTCCTCTCCGCGCTCACCCGGTCGGCGTTGGCGTTGGCGAGGATGCAGTCGAGGACGCGTGGCGCCCGCTCCGGGGAGTACACCGCGCTCGGGCACGACTTGAGGGCCACGCAGAGCGCGAGAGCGCGGCCGGCGCGCGTCATCCAGTCCACCGCCTGCTCGCTCACTGGGCACGCAACACAAACTATGAACAAGACTGTTGGGGCAATCGTTGAGTATTAAACTAGGTGCGTGAGTGTGTCCTTGAGTGTGTATACTTGAGTGTGTATGCATCAGTGTGTGTACGTCTGCGTGTGTGTGTGGGGAGCGGCAGTGTAGCGGTTAGCGTGCTGCGCTACAAACCCGGTCACCCGGGTTCGATTCCTGCTCATGGCCAACACCAGTGACGATTATCTGAACCGGTCCTGGGCCTCCCCTAGGTCGACTCAGCCTCAAATGAGTAAACATCGTCACTAGGGAGACAAAGGCCAAGCGTGGTGCTGGCCACCCACCCTCTCGTGTGCCGTGCCGGCCTTCATAGGTCCTTGCTAACAGCACTTGCCCCAACAGTCTGTTACAGGCTATATGGGGGATCTTTGTCTTTGTATGTCTGTGTGTGTGTCTGTGTGTCTGTGCGTGTGTGAGTGAGCGATTCACCCAGCACGTGCTGCAGCAGCACGTGCTGCAGCTCCTCCTCGGACAGAAATGCGCACAGCTCCCCCAGGCAGCCGGCTCCCACCGCACGCGTCGGGTCCTGCACCGTCACACCGCACCGGCACCCCACCGTCACTGTAATCGCACCGCTCACCCCACCGTCACTGTAATCGCACCGCTCACCCCACCGTCACCGCACCGAGCCGCTCCCTGAAGCACAGTCACACGTCCCGGAAGCTTTTTCGCCGCCGATGTTGAATACTCGGGGAATACTCTCCCGATTCGGATTCCGGGTCCGTAGCGCGGCGCGCTCAACGCTTAACTGTCTTCCCCGTCCACGTGCACAAACACTCGAACAGGCACCCCATGACCACCGAGCTGTTAGCGAGCAGCCCCTATGAAACACTCGCACGCAATCGCTCGCGTACCTCCTCGTGTCCCAGCATGCCGAGCAGCGCGGTCGTCACGCTACGCCGCACGGATGGATCCACTTTGCTGCCGGCGCCGGCGATGGTGAAACGCAGCGCCTGCAGCGTCGTCTCCCTGCAGCGGCCGAGGGGGGAGGGGGTGGGGGGGAGGAGTTCCACATGGGGCAAGTGCAGTTAGCGAGGAGCACCACCATGAAGACCGACATGGCACAGGAGTGGGGTGGCCAGCACCACGCCCGGCCGCCTTTGTCTCCCCAGTGGCGATGTTTACACCGCACCAGGTGCTCGTTTGATGCCGAGTTGACCGAGGGGAGGTCGGCCCAGGACCGGTCCAGATAATCGTCACCGATGTTGGCCACAAACGGGAATCGAACTCGGGTCGCCGGGTTCGTATTGTGGAGCGGTAACTGCTACCCCGCCGCTCCCCACACGCACAGACGCACGCACACCTCCCTGCCACCCCACACTCCCCCCACGCTCACCGCACGCCAGCGTCCTCGGCCGCCCTGGCTCCGGCGAGCAGCTCGGTGAAGAGGGGGTCCACCTTGGCGTGGATGGGCACCAGGTGGCCCAGCGCCTCGGCCGCCTTGAGGCGCACCAGGCGGTTGGGGTCCTGCAGCGCCTTGGTGAACGTCGTCTGCAGCTGCGGCAGGAACGGCTTCAGCTGCACGCCAACCTGCGAGCCGCCGGGGGGGGGGGGGGGGTCAATGGGTCACGTCGGGAAGGACGGTCGAAGGGAGTGGCGGCGACCCGGCCCAGCCGCTCGTTGCGGAGGGTCGCGGTTCGTGCGTGCGTGCGTATGTACGTGCGTGACCGCACGCGGAACCCCGACGAGCGGAATTTTGTCTGTCCGTGCGTCTACCCACGTGTGCTGCGTTTGCACGTACGGGTACGCGTGCGCCGTGTTTGTGCACGCGCTGCGCACGTCACCTTGGCGAGCAGTAGAGCGAGCGTGTCGAGCAGCGCCACCTTGACGCTCCATGCGAAACGGTCCCCCAGGATGCGGATGAGCGGCCCCGTGATGCTCACGACGGAGGGGCGCAGCGCGTCGGGCGCCGTGAGCCGCACCACCTCGCCCAGGCCGTGCGCCGCCTCCTCCTTGAGCTCCGCACCGCCGCTCAGCACGCCCTCGCGCAGCACGGGCAGGATCGACGACGCGCCCTACGCACGCACAAAGACGAAGGTCACCCGTGTGGCCCTAACAGACTGTTTGGGGCACGTGCCGTCAGCGAGTAGCAGCACCTATGAAGGCCGGCAACGGCACACCAGGGGGTGGGTGGCCAGTACCACGCCCGGCTGCCTTTGTCTCCCAGTGGCAAGGTATACACACCGCGCCAGTTAACCTAAGGGAGGCCCAGGACCGGTTCAAATAATCGTCACTGGTGTTCACCGTGAGCGGGATTCGAACTCGGGTTGCCGACTAACCCGAACCGCATGCACAACAACAACCATTCGCCACTAAGTGGCCGTGACGTTACCACGGCGCCTGTGCCAGGCCAAGTGCACTTGGAGGCCACGTGTGTCGAACACCCAGGTGCTGTGGGTGGACTGAGATGACCGGCAGAGGGATCGCACACAGACGCACTCGAATACGCGAGCGTCAGCACCACCGTGGCCTTCTCCAATTGGTCACGCAGCAGAACCGATAATCGGTAGCGCAATCCGATAAGATTTTTTTTTTAAATATATAATCGGATAGCGGTGCACCACCAGCTGCATTGCTCCGGGACGATGGGCGCGTCGTGCTGCCGCACCTTCTTGGGAAGGCAGAAGCCGGGCAGGTGCTGCCCGGGCTGGAGGTCGGACGCCGCCAAACGGATTGCCTGGCGCAGCTCGCGGATGTAGCGCATCTGCTCCGCTGCGTCCAGCTTCTGCTCGCGAGGAACAAAGACACGCACGGATTAACACACGTACGGACACGCACGCGTCAACACATTAATTCATACATGAACACACATGTTGACACAAAGACCACCCTTTAACAGACTGTTGGGGCAAGTAATGTTAGAGAGTAGCACTTATGAAGACCGGCACGGCACACGAGGGGGTGGGTGGCCAGCACCACGCCCGGCCGCCTTTGTCTCCCTAGTGGCGATGTTTAAACACCGCACCAGGTACTATTTTGAGGCTGAGTCGACCTAGGGGAGGCCCAGGGCCGATTCAGAAAATCGTCACCGCTGTTATCAGTGAGCAAACTCGGGTCGCCGAGTTTGTAACTCGGCATGTCAACCACTACGCTCCCGCTGCTGACTAAACACACGAACTCATGGACACGCGCGATAATCGTCCCTGGCTGCCGGCGATTGCCGCGAGCGGGAATCGAACTCGGGCACGCCGGGGGTTTCGTAGCGCGACACCGGACAACGACGACGAGGACGACGCGCCTTGATGACGGCGTGGAGAGCGTCCCAGCTGTTGTTGAGAACGACGTCGTCCTCGTCGGCGAAGAGGCGGAGGAGGCCGCGGATGAGCGAGGGGATGTGGTCCGAGAGGTCGGCGCGCCCGCGCGCGCAGACGGCGCCCAGCAGCGCCGTGGCGGCGCGGCGCTGCGCCAACGCGGCCGCGTCCGGGGAGCGTGACGCCTCCAGCAGCGTGTCGACGGTGACGCGCACGCCCGCCGGGTCCGTCACGCTCAGCAGCACCGCCTGGCAGTGCTCCAGCTCCTGTGGCGGAGGAGGGGCAGGGCGTGGGGAGTGAGGTCAAGGGGCGAGGGGGTCAGGGAGCGGGTGAAGGGATGGGCGAGTGAACAGATGAGTGAGCGAATGAGTGCGGAATTATGGAGACCGGATAGGCAATGGAAAACATTCATTGATGAGCGAGATGAATTAATTACTAAGTTATCAGCCAAGCGGGCGAGCGAGAAATCGGACAAATGATAACTCGATGAAGTGGATTATTATCACGTGGAAATTTATAACAGCAGCCAAATTTTCAAAATACGTTATGTTCATTATAAATGTCGAGGGAAAAATCAGAGAACACAGAGAAATAATCCAAGCAATCACGTGGAGAGAGACACGCAAACTCCAAATACACGGCAGGCATCAGGGTCGAGATCGAACTCAGGACCTCCTGTATACCGGGTGAGGGAGCTAACATCTCGCCACCATGGCGCCCCAACGAGCGGTCGAGCAGGCAGGCGGGTGAGCAAGCAAGCCGGTGATCGAGCGGGCGGGTGAGTGGGCAGGCGAGCGAGTGAGCGGGTGAGTGGGCGGGTGAGTGGGCAGGCGAGCGAGTGGGCGGGTGAGTGGACGGGTGAGTGGGCGGGCGAGTGGGCGGGTGAGTGGGCGGGCGAGTGGGCGGGCGAGGCAGGGCACCTGCTGCTCCCCGGGAGTGCCGCTGGCGTCACGCAGCGCGGTGAGCAGAGCGGCGAGCACCACCGGCAGGTGGCGCGTCAGGGCATCGCCGGCGACTGCCGAGAGGAACGCCAGAACACGCACGCTCACGGGGGGCGTGGTGAGCTGGAGCGGGGGACGGGTACGGGGGGAGAGAGCGGGAGGTGGTTGAGGTGGGTGAACACACGGACGCGCGCGATCGCATGACGTGACACAAATACAAAGATCCCCCGTATAGCCTTAACAGACTGTTTGGGCAAGTACTAAATTAAACTTTTAATTTTACCGGGTAAGGCCGACTTTTTCAGAAGTGACCTGGCCATAAATGATAGCTCAACGAAGTGGCTCATCATATGGATATTTATAGCAGCCAAATACTCTAAATCCATGTTGATTCTAAATGTGGAGGAAAAACCGGAGGATCCGGAGAAAATCCACGCGGCCACGGGGAGAGAAACATGCCAACTCCAAATATACAGACGTGAGGGCTGTGATGGAACCCATTGTATACCAGGTGAGGTAGTTAACATTCTGCCACCGTGGCGCCCGTGTCCTGCTAGCGAATAGCACCTATGGCTAGCACCACACCCAGCCGCCTTTGTCTCCCCAGTGGCGATGTTTACATTCCGCACCAGGTGCTCATTTGAGGCTGAGTTGACCTAGGGGAGGCCCAAGACCAGTTCACAATCGGTACTGTTGTTGGCCATGAGCAGGAATCGTCAGGTTTGTAGCGCGGTGAGCAAAATCGCTACACTAACGCACCACACACACGCGCCACACATGTGCATCTACACGGACAAGTGCTGTCGTTGTTGTTGTGAATGCTCACCTTCGGGATGAGGTAGGGCAGCACAACGCGGCTCTTGACGGCCATCACCTGCTTGAGGCCATCGAGCGCAAACTCCGACACTGCGTCGTCATCCTGGGTCCGCGACGGAGGCAGAGAGAGGGTCGATACGCGTGCACACACATGCACGCACACGTCACACATGCACGTACACGCCACATGCGCAGGCAGGCACGCACACACGATTGCACACACCACACACCAACGACAATGATCCCCCCCCCGTATGGCCGTAACAGACTGTGCTATTCACGAGCACCGATGAAGGCCGGAACGGTACACGCGGGGGTGGGTGGCCAGTAGCATGCCTGGCCGCCTTTGTAGTTGCCACACACGTACCACACACGCAACCCACACACACTACAAACATTCATGCATACGCGCGCACAAACACGCACACCGCATGCACACGCGCACGTTGCATACGCCCGTACACCACACACACGCACAGCTGGTGGTGGAGAGGGAGCGTTTTCGGTGGCAAGGTAGTGGAGGGGTTACGGGTGGCGCATAGCTGCCGGTGGTAGCAGCGAGCTGCTTTGTGGTGTTGCGGTCAGGTGGGTGGATAATTGGGTGGGGGGAGGTCGGGGGGGCGGCACCAGCTGCTGGAGCATGCTGGGTAGGATGTCGTCGAGCGCCGTCTGCCCCACGGTGGTGTGCAGCTGCTCGAAGGTTCGCGCCGCCGCCTCGCGCACCTCGGGCAGCGGGTCGCACAGCGCACGCCGCACAGTGGGCACCAGGCTGCCCGCAAACAGCAGCACCTGTGGAGCGCACGCACCGTACGCACGCACACACACGCCAGACGCATGCGCGCAGGCATACGCACAAAAAAATAAGTGACACGCATGCACACACACACACGTGTGTATCCGTGTGCATGCGAGTGCGTAACCACGCGCGTGTATCCGCGTGCGTGTGTATCCGCGTGCGCGCGTGCATGCGTGCGTTACCGCGTCGCGGCTCGTGGAGCGCATGATCTCGCTGAGGCCGATGCACACGCCCTGGCGCTCGTCGCTGTGCTCCGAGCACAGGCCGGCCTCCAGGATGGGGATGATCTCGGGGAGGATCTTCTCTCCCAGCTTCCGCACCAGGTCCCCCAGCGTGCGCGCCGCAATCTGCGGCCCCGCACAGGCAACACCGCGACGACGGCGGCGAGGTTTGCGATGACGGTGACGGGGAGGACAGCAAATATGTTACGTACCGCCCCCGACTACAGGCACCCCCGACTACCGCCACTGCCGGTCCCAACTACCGCCACCACCATCCCCTGACTTCCACCACCATCGCCCCCAACTATCACCACCCCCAACTGCCCCCACCACAGCCAGCAGCAGCAGCAGCGTGACCACCGCACCTGCCGCTTGTCATAGTTGGTGGAGGCCAGGAAGCCGAGGAGCAGGCCGAAGAGCGTGGGGAGGATCTCGCGCAGCGTGCGCGGCGTGTTGGCCACCACCACCTTCCACACGTGCAGCGCCGCCTGGCGCACCACCAGCGCCACGTCCGAGCGGCCCATGTAGAGGCCTGAGAGGACGCGGTTCCGGCGCTCGGGGCCCAGCGCCGAGATGATGGCCTGGGGGTGGAGGAGATCGGGGGGGGGAAGCGGTGTTGATTCCACACATGCACACATGTACACACCCAAATACACACTCGCACGCACCCACACACACACCCTCAAACACACGCACGTACACACTCAAACACACACTCACAAGCAAACGCGTGCCCACCCACACATACAAACACGCGCACATACCCACAACACCCAGCCACACTCCAACATACGCAACACAACACACAAGTGCTACGGCTAAGTGTAGTGTTAGCGGTTTAGCTGGCGCTGTGGGTGTAGTGTTAGCGGTTTAGCTGGCGCTTTGAGTGTAGTGTTAGTGGTACAGCTGGCGCTGTAGGTGTAGTGTTAGCGGTATAGCTGTCGCTGTAGCTGTCAACGTTCGCAGTATAGCAGGTGGTGTACGACATCGATATTCCACCGCATCTCAACACGCAATACACAGGTAGTGGGCACGCTTATTTGACGGAGGCAGGCAGCGATGGGTCTCTGGGCAAGCGAGCATGCAAGTGAGCAGGAGGAGAGAGCGGGCAGGGAGGGGGAAGGAGGAAGGAGCAGGAGGAGGGGGGAAACGGGGGTGGAGCAGGAGGAGGGAGGAAGGTGCGGGGAGCAAGAAGAGCGTGGAGGAGCGGCGAGGAGCAGGACACCTTGGTGGACTGCACGGTGCCGAAATTGTCGTCCTCGGACGCCGTCTCGGTCGTCATCTTCCCCGAGACGCCCGAGATGTGGAAGAGCAGGTCGCCCAGCAGCTGCACAGAGCTGAACCTGCACACGGCACGGTCACGGCGCTCAGCGGGGCTCACGTCGGCTCGCGTCGGGTGTGAGGGTGGTGCCTCGGCTACGGCCGAGGCAATGAAACGGCGCCGGTGTTTGATCCAGGGCTATGGTCCCTACAAGTTTGGTATTGCTGTGATGGTGTCAGTGTTAGCAGTTTAGCTGGCACTGTGGGTGAGTGTCTGTGGTGGCGGTTTAGCTGCCATTAAAGGCGAGTGCCGGCGCTGCCCTACCGGATGCGCCAGCTGTCGTTGAAGAGGCCGTCCTCGAGCTGGGGCAGCAGCAGCGTGATGGCCTTCTCCGCGTATGTGGAGATGATGCGCTGACCCGCGCGTAGCGCCGTGTCGCGCACAAACTCATTCTCATCGGCCAGCGCCTGCACGGGGGAGCAGCGGTCGGGGGGATGGGGAGTGGCGGTGGTTGTGGGGGGGGGGGGACGTTGTGAACAGCAGAAAAGGTGAAAAGAAGAGAGGGAGATATTAAACACCGCTGCCTTCACGACAGTCGGGAGAGAATCGACCGAAACCCTTGCACAGCGGACGGCAATCAAAATAACAAGAGGTGCCTATTTTATTTCGGTAAAAATAAGAAACACAATGCACAGAGTGAATACGAGACGGCGGTCCTTGATAACTAACGGTCACGAAGCAGTTCCTGAAAGAGCCACACGCGGCTCCGGAGCCGCAGGTTGCCGACCCCAAGCCAATCGGACACTATCCCTAACCACACTAGCCAATCAGACACTATCCCTAACCACACTAGCCAATCAGATACTAGCCCTAACCACACTAGCCAATCAGCCACTATCCCTAACCACACTAGCCAATCAGACACTAGCCCTAACCACACTAGCCAATCAGACACTAGCCCTAACCACACTAGCCAATCAGACACTAGCCCTAACCACACTAGCCAATCAGACACTAACCCTAACCACACTAGCCAATCAGATACTAGCCCTAACCACACTAGCCAATCAGACACTAGCCCTAACCACACTAGCCAATCAGACACTAGCCCTAACCACACTAGCCAATCAGACACTAGCCCTAACCACACTAACCAATCGGACACTAGCCCTAACCACACTAGCCAATCAGACACTATCTCTAACCACACTAGCCAATCAGACACTAGCCCTAACCACACTAGCCAATCAGACACTATCCCTAACCACATTAGCCAATCAGACACTATCCCTAACCACACTAGCCAATCAGACACTAGCCCTAACCACACTAGCCAATCAGACACTATCCCTAACCACACTAGCCAATCAGACACTAGCCCTAACCACACTAGTCAATTAGACACTATCCCTAACCACACTAGCCAATCAGACACTAGCCCTAACCACACTAGCCAATCAGACACTAGGCCTAACCACACTAGCCAATTAGACACTAGCCCTAACCACACTAGCCAATTAGACAATAGCCCTAACCACACTAGCTATCAGACATTAGTCCTAACCACACTAGCCAATCAGACACTAGCCCTAACCACACAAGCCAATCAGACACTAGCCCTAACCACACTAGCCAATCAGACATTAGTCCTAACCACACTAGCCAATCAGACACTAGCCCTAACCACACTAGCCAATCAGACACTAGTCCTAACCACACTAGCCAATCAGACACTAGCCCTAACCACACTAGCCAATCAGACACAAGCCCTAACCACACAAGCCAATCAGGCACTAGCCCTAACCACACTAGCCAATCAGACACTAGCCCTAACCACACTAGCCAATCAGTCACTAGCCATAACCACACTAGCCAATCAGACACTAGCCCTAACCACACTAGCCAATCAGACACTAGCCCTAATCACACAAGCCAATCAGGCACTAGCCCTAACCAGACTAGCCAATCAGACACTAGCCCTAACCACACTAGCCAATCAGACACAAGCCCTAACCACACTATCCAATCAGACACTACCACGACCACTAACCAGACTAGTCAACTAGACACTGCCACTAATCATGACCTTAATGTAACCCTAGGTCGACTCAGCCTTAAATGTGTACCTGGTGCGATGTATAGACATTGCCACTGGGGAGACAAAGGCGGCCGGACATGGTGCTGGCCACCCCTTCGCATGCTGTGCCAGCCTTCATAGGTGCTACTCGCTAACAGCACTTGCACCAACAGTCTGTTAAGGCTATACAGGGGATATTTGTCTTTGCGAGCGTGTGCGCGTGACGTGATGCATACCACACTCCGTGGCCTAGAAACCACATCCTGCTTCCATCTATCACCCATGAACACGTGTGTTTGCGCTCTGTGCATGTGTGTGTGTATGCGTGTATGTGTGTGTGTGTGCATGTCAGTCAGTCTTCTCATGGTGGCTTGGTCTGTCCCGTGACCTCCTATCAGCAAGCCTTCAACACTTCACTTGGCTTCGGAGTGCACCCGGCCTGAAACTTAGTGGCGAACGGCGGCTATTGTTGTTGTTGTGCGTGTCTGCGTGCGTCTGTGTGCATGAGCACGTGCATGCGAGTGCCTCCCCCGTGCCTCTCACCTTGAGGATGGCCGGGATGATGGGCCCCACATAGGGGGTGAAGCGCTCTCCGAACGTGGCGGGCAGGAAGATGAACATCATGATGTAGCCGTCGCGCACGTGCGGTGCAAGGTCGGCCTTGGAGGCATTGGCGACGATCTCCGGCATCAGCTTGTCGAGTTTCTCCACGCCCAGGCTCACCAGCACCTCCGAGAGGCCTGAGCACGTGTGGTGATGCACGCACGCACGGAGATGCACGCACATAAACGCACGTACGCAGACATTGACTGCACGGCACGTGCGCGCTCATGAGCACACTCGTGCACACACACATCATAGCAAAATAACCCCCCCCCCCCCCCCCACATAGACTGTTGGGGTAAGTGCTGTTATAGCAAGCACCAGCTATGAAGGCCGGCACCATGCCCGGCGATGTTTAAACACCACACCAGGTACTCATTTGAGGCTGTGTCGACCAAAGGGAAGCCCAGAAACCGTTCAGATATTCGTCACTGGTGTTGAGTGTGAGCGGGAATTGAACTTGGGTCACGAGGTTTGAAGCGCAGTACGCTCACCGCAACACTATCCGCTCTGCTACACTATGATCACACGCACACACACACACGTACAATCATACACGGTGACTACACTTCCAATTAGCACGTTTGGCTATGTATGATGTTAAAGAAGTTCAACATATGTCCTGCCCCAATATGATTTTTTCACACCATGACGACCATCACGATATCGGTTTCCCGTAACTTTTTAGCTGCATTTCTCAATTGGTGTCGTTTTGGTTTTGTGCTGTGCTGGACTTCCAGCCCAACAAAGATTCTCTCAAATTATCTCTCAAATGATCTTTCATTGAACAAGCGGGAGAATGAGCGAGTGAGCGACGTGGCGAGCAAAGGCCGAGTTGCTCATCTCACCCTGCGCGGCTCCGGAGCGGTCCACAGAGCTCTGCTCGGAGGTGAGCGTCTGCATGAGCCAGGGCATGAGGTCCTCAAAGCTCTCCTCGCCCATGCCCTTCACCATCGCGCCCAGCGCCTTGGCCGACACCGCACGCACCTTGCCGGGGTGGGGGGGAACGAGAGGACACACGCCGGCACCGTGTGAACACACGCAGCTCGTACCGCGTACACACACGCCAACAATTAAAACGTGCGCGCACAGAGCGTACAGTATACACACAGCACGTGCACACAAACATACAGCACATGCCGCACACACTGTACACACACACGGCACGTACGCACGCAAGCAGCAAGTACACACGCACACACACAGGCCGTACGCATGCACATACAAGCACGTATCACACACACAGCAGCAGCACGTGCGCATTTACAAACGTACCACACACACACAGACAGCGGGTACCCCACAGTACGTAGTGTACAGGTATATGTAGGAGCATTTGATTTTGGTCTCTGGGTCTAGGGCAGGGGTCGGCAACCAAAATAGCAACAAGAGTAATTTTCCTTGAATTCGGTAAAAAACTCGATATTTCGAATGCATGTGAATACAAGATGGTTCTTAATGAATAATGTCAAACAGTACGTTTTGTAACCCCTATTTTAAGAACGGCAGAGGCACAATGATTTGTAATGCCGCATTACTAATCATTTTTGGCTTGTTGGAGTTCACCACTTATCGAAAAAACTAAACTATTTTAAATTTACCACTGAGCTATGCAGCTCTTTTTCAGAAGCGACCTGGCCACAAATGATAGCTCAACGAAGTGGCTTATCACGTGGAAATTTATAACAGCCAAACACTCTAAACACGTGACGTTGATTCTAAATGTGGAGGAAAAAACCAGGAGATAATGCACGCGACCACTAAAAGAACATGCAAACTCCAAATATACAGCAGGTGTCAGGGTCGGGATCGAACCCACGGACTACTGTATACCAGGCGAGGGAGTTAACATCTCCTAGTAACCGTGATGTCCCTAGGCACTGGGAGTCGTGCGGCCTCACCTCTGGGACGGGATCAAGCAGCGACGTCTTGAGGCCCGGGATGACGCTGGGCAGGTACGGTGCCAGGTCCTGCACACGCGTGCGGGATGGGGGAAAAGTCAGGTACAACACCAAGCGAGGGTTCCGTGTTAACGTCCATAAGCGAGTCGCCGGCAGGGGTAGAGGTGCCTGAAACTCTCCGCCCACCATGATTATCTCTCAATTGTTAGGGTACAATGTGACAGGTCATCCTGTCGCGCCGTCTGTGGCACTGAAGCTATTCTGCTACCATCTGCTGCACGTTATTTCGTTTTATGTTACTATTAACGCAACAAATAAGTTTAATTGCTAGGCCCCGGTCCTTCCTCTTTAGGCCACGCCCCTTCCCACTGGACACTGGGGCGGGGCCGATTGGGTCGCGTGAAGGGAGCAGCAGGAAGTTGGTTGCATGCCACTGATCGCCTAAGTGAGGCGCCGGCTTGGCGCCCGATCTGGCGGTGTATACGCGTGCGGCTATCCCTCTCTCTCTCCCTCTCCCTTTGCCTCCCTCCCCCTTCCCTTTCCCTCCCACTCCCTCCCTCCCGCCAGCTCTCGCTCTCCCCGTGGCTGCGCCACGCCGGGCGACACACCTTCTGGTCGGTGAGCGAGTACATGTTGCCGATGATCTGCGCCGCCATCTTGCGTGTGTCGGTGGAGCGGTCGAGGAAGGCGCGCTGCACGATGGGCATGATGAGGGCGAGCGACGGCGCATCGATGAAGTGCACGAATTGCGTCTGTAGCAGCGTGTGCAGGCAGCGGTGCACCTGGCGCGACGGGTCCGTCAGCGCCTCCAAGATCACCGGCGTGATGGCTGGCGCAGCGGCAACGCCGTTTGTCGCGCGACGCGGGGGTGGGGGGGAGGGCAGGTTTGTGGGGGGGGGGAGGTGAGGAGGGGAGTCAGGGGGCACACAGGGAAGGTACGGGGGGTGGCAACCGGAAATCAGGGAGTGGCACGGCCACTCATTTTGTGCACGTTATAGAGTGCGTTCTTGTTGTTTTTATTGTAACGATCAGAACGAATACCCCCTGAGCGAGGGCGACTGATCTGGCCAGGGGACCACCACCCCACGGATGGACACGTCGTCCAGCAGGCATCTCTCGCAGTAGCACGACCCATCGTGTCTCCGTCCCCCCGTCCCCGCGTCCCCACGTCCCCCGCGTCCCCATGTCCCCCGCGTCCCCTCACCCTGGATCTCTGGGTTGCGGATGACGCTGCTGATGAGCTTCAGCGCCTGCTGGCCGGCCTGCTGCACCTTGACGTGCGAGTCGGTGAGCACCTGCGTGAGCTTGGGCACGATGCTGGGCAAGCACGCCGACAGTTGCTTGGGTGCGCAGTACGCCATCGAGCCCAGCAGTTCCACCGAGCCTACGGGCGCACGCACAGACACACGTGCATACATACATACATGCACACACGGGTGCACCCGGGCATCGATCAGCCTCCCATTGTATCTGTACCAGATGGAAATTCATCCGGTGCAGCTATTCAAGGCTTCACGAACTACGTGGTCGAAATAGATGTTAAACAATGTTGGAGCCAGAGGACATCCCTGCGCACACATACATACATACAGACATACACGCACACGCGAGCAGGTACACGAATGCACGTGCACACGTACAGACATACATGCACACGCACGCGCTGGTACACGCTTGCAAGTGAGCACGAGGACATGCGCGTGCATGTGTATAAGTAAGCAGGTGCAAACAATAACAAAGATAAAGATTCCCCATATAGCCTTCAACAAAGTGTTGGGGCAAGTGCTGTTCACGAGTAACACCTATAAAGGCCGGGAACGCATGTACTTCTTTCGCACTGTACATAGCCAACCATGCTAATCGGAACGGCACACGAGGGGGTAGTATGGCCAGCATCATGCATGGCTGCCTTTGTCTCCCCAGTGGCGATGTTTACATACCACACCACGTACTCATTTAAGGCTGAGTCCACCTAGGGGAGGCACAGGATTAGATATTCGCAACTGTTATTGGTCGAGAGTGGGAATTGAACGCCGGGTTCGTAGCTAACCATTGCGCCACCACTCTCCATGCAAGTGCTTGTACACACACGCACGCACAGGGTGGTGGTGCTGGTGGTGAGCGAGGGGCGAGCGAACGCTGGGTTTTAACACGTAGGCTTTCGCGACCAATATCATCCATAAGAGAGGTTTTTGGGTTAGATCGCGAACGGTGGGGCGTGACAATGAGGTGTGGTGGTGAGTGAGCGATTAGGTGTGGTGAAGAGTGAGCGCGAGTGAGTGGCGAGTGCGAGCGGTGAGCAGTGAGGCGTGACGATGCGGTGTGGTGGTGAGTGAGCGATGAGGTGTGGTGACGAGTGAGTGGCGAGCGAGTGAGCGGCGAGCAGTGAGCCCACCCGTCTTGGTTCTCCACGAGTCCTCCTCCAGAGCGGCGAGCAGCGAGGGCAGCACGAGCTTCACGCCGTGCGTGCTCAGGTTCCGCATCACGGCCTTCGCCGTCTCTTCGGCCGCCTGGGGTGGCGCGCAGGAGGAGGGGGCACGTGGGAGGGGGGGAGCACGCGGGGGGAGGGGCGTGGTTGTGTTAGCGGCGTCCCACACAGACAAACGGTACTACAAAGATCCCCCGCCCCGTTCAGCCTTAACGGCACACGAGGTGGGTGGGTGGGTGGGTGGCTCCCCAGTGGCGATGTTTACACACCACACCCAGGTATTCATTCGAGGCTGAGTTTACCTAGGGGAGATAATCGTCACCAGTGTTGGCCGTGAGCGGGAATCGGACTCGGGTCGCCGGGTTCATAGCGCAGAGCACTAACCCCTACACTACCGCTCCCCACACGGACGTGCACACACACAGGCACACAACAACAACAACCGCCATTCGCCACTAAGTGGCGGTGACGTCACCACGACGCTTGTGCCAGGCTATGTGCAAGTTGAGGCCACGTAAAGTGTCACACATACACAGAGTCGCACACACACAAGACCCCCCCATGCGTAGCTGCTAGTAAGCCGCTGCGGGCGAGTGCTGTGGACGAGCAGCGAGTGCACTCACCTCTCGCACGTACTGGTTCCCGTCGCCCAGGCACAGCAGCAGGTGCGGCAGGGCGTGCACCACGTACGGCTCAAACAGCCGGCCCAGCATGCTGCACAGCATCTCAAAGCCGAAGAGCGCGCCTGTGACACGTGGGGTAGGGCATGGGAGAGGGTAAGGTGAAGGGCAGGGTGAAGGGCAGGGTGAAGGGCAGGGTACACGCACCTCAACACTGACCCAAACCCACATACCTGTTCACTCTCACATCGGTTCATCAACCACTCACCCACACCCCACCAACTCATCCACGTTCTCACTTACAAACCCATCCACACTACTGACTCACCACATCACTCACCCACTCTGCCACCTACCCACTCGCCACACCGCAGCACCCACCCATCCACCGCCCACTCACCACACCGCACCACCACACACCCAGCTGCCCACGGGCGCCGCCTTCTCACCCTCGCGGCGGCGGTAGTGCTTCTTGTCCTGGATGGCGTCGGTGAGGGTGGACATGACGTCCAGCTGCTTGAGCGCCAGGATGCCAAGGCCGCGCACGAGGCCCGCCAGGCCGTGGGCCGCGCCCCGCCGCTCCCCGTAGCTCTCCGCCTCCAGCAGCAGCGCCATGAGGTGGCGCGCCATCGCCGGCGCGTCCTCGCGCATCGCCGGCACCAGCGGCGCCAGGCAGTTCGCCACCGACTCCTGCACCTGTGGGGGGGGCGTGAGAGGGGAGGGCGAGAGGGGGGTACGGCACACAGAGTCATCGAAGGGGGCCGAGCGGTGCGAGGGGGGGGCGAGGGGGGCACGGGGCGTGGTTGATGGAGTGGGTGTGTGAGTGGTGCCCACTTGCCCAAAAGTCAATGTAAGGTTATATGGGGATCTCTATCTTTGTTTGTTGTTGTGCGAGTACGTGGGTGTGCGTGTGGGTAGTTGTGTAGGTGTGTGTGTCGGTGTGCGAGTGGTTGTTTGAGTGGGTGTGTGAGTGGGTGGATCAGTGGAAGAGTCGGCGACATTTGTGTATGTCAAGGCACCTGTGTGTGAGTGTGGGTGCAGGTCACCTGCTGCGAAGGCGTGGAGAGCGCTGCGATCAGCTTGGCCACGATGGGCTTGACCTTGGGGTCGCTGCGGTCCAGATGCTTGGCGAGCGACCCCATGAGGATGACGACGCCCTGCCGCACGGCGTCGTAGCTCGCGTCGTCCGGAGAGTCGCGCAGTGAATCCTCCAGCAGCGGCAGTAGCTCGTTCACGCACTCCTGCTCGCGCATGCACAGATTTTCCATGTAGCCTTCCCATTCACCCACCCACTCACTCACTCACCCATCCACCTACCCACTCACTGACCTACCCACTGACCCACCCACCCACTAACCCAAAAACCCACCCTATCTTCCATGTGCTCACCCTCTCATCACTCAAGCAAACAAAGATAACAATCACCCGTATAGCCTCAGCAGGCTGTTGGGGCAAGCGCTGTGAGCAAGCACCTCTGACAAACACTCCCGAGCACACATGCACGCACGGACACATGCACAAGCACACACACGCACGCACGGACAAGCACACACACACGCACGCACGGACAAGCACACACACACGCACGCACGGACAAGCACACACACACACACAGACAAGCACACACACACACGCAGGTACGGACAAGCACACACACGCCCGCACCTTGCCATGGTGGTTGAGCGCGGCGAGCGCCGCGTCCAGCATGCGGCGCCGCACCTCGGCGTGCCGGTCGCCCAGCGCCTCGGGCACGAAGAAGCGGAAGAGCGGCGTGACGCGCTCGCCGCCCAGCGAGCCGGCCACGGCCGCCAGCGCCAGCGCCACGCCGCAGCGCGCCTCCCACTCGTCGGGCGGGGACTCGGTCACCACGCGGCCCAGCCCGTCCAGCACGGGCGGCGCTCGCTGCCGGGGACGGGGGAGAACGAGTCGGTGACGGCGTCACGTTCCGCTTGCGCCGCCTGTCCGCTTCGTACTACCGCTGCGTTCGCGCTGTACCTGAAGCCCGCCGGCTCGAGTCCCTCAGCTCCCTCACCTTCCTTCTCCACTGGCTTCCCACCACCACCACCACCAGCAGCGTCAACTCCAACATCTCCTGTTGCCTGCGCCACCACCGCCGCCTCTACTCTCGGCCGTCCCCTGAATCGCTCCTCTCTCCCTGCACCACAGCTCCTGTCACCCTGCACCACAGCTCCTGTCCCCCTGCACCACAGCTCCTGTCACCCTGCACCACAGCTCCTGTCACCCTGCACCACAGCTCCTCTCTCCCTGCACCACAGCTCCTGTCAACCTGCACCACGGCTCCTGTCACCCTGCACCATAGCTCCTCTCTCCCTGCACCACGGCTCCTGTCACCCTGCACCACAGCTCCTGTCACCCTGCACCACAGCTCCTGTCACCCTGTACCACAGCTCCTGTCACCCTGCACCACAGCTCCTGTCTCCCTGCACCACAGCTCCTCTCTCCCTGCACCACAGCTCCTCTCTCCCTGCACCACAGCTCCTGTCACCCTGCACCACAGCTCCTGTCTCCCTGCACCACAGCTCCTCTCTCCCTGCACCACAGCTCCTCTCTCCCTGCACCACAGCTCCTCTCTCCCTGCACCACAGCTCCTGTCCCCCTGCACCACAGCTCCTGTCACCCTGCACCACAGCTCCTCTCTCCCTGCACCACAGCTCCTCTCTCCCTGCACCACAGCTCCTGTCACCCTGCACCACAGCTCCTGTCACCCTGCACCACAGCTCCTGTCACCCTGCACCACAGCTCCTGTCTCCCTGCACCACAGCTCCTCTCTCCCTGCACCACAGCTCCTCTCTCCCTGCACCACAGCTCCTGTCACCCTGCACCACAGCTCCTGTCTCCCTGCACCACAGCTCCTCTCTCCCTGCACCACAGCTCCTCTCTCCCTGCACCACAGCTCCTCTCTCCCTGCACCACAGCTCCTCTCACCCTGCACCACAGCTCCTGTCACCCTGCACCACAGCTCCTCTCTCCCTGCACCACAGCTCCTCTCTCCCTGCACCACAGCTCCTGTCACCCTGCACCACAGCTCCTGTCACCCTGCACCACAGCTCCTGTCACCCTGCACCACAGCTCCTGTCACCCTGCACCACAGCTCCTGTCCCCCTGCACCACAGCTCCTGTCCCACTGCACCACAGCTCCTCTCTCCCTGCACCACAGCTCCTGTCACCCTGCACCACAGCTCCTGTCACCCTGCACCACAGCTCCTGTCACCCTGCACCACAGCTCCTGTCACCCTGCACCACAGCTCCTGTCACCCTGCACCACAGCTCCTCTCTCCCTGCACCACAGCTCCTGTCACCCTGCACCACAGCTCCTGTCACCCTGCACCACAGCTCCTGTCACCCTGCACCACAGCTCCTGTCACCCTGCACCACAGCTCCTGTCACCCTGCACCACGGCTCCTGTCACCCTGCACCACGGCTCCTGTCACCCTGCACCACAGCTCCTGTCACCCTGCACCACAGCTCCTGTCACCCTGCACCACAGCTCCTGTCACCCTGCACCACAGCTCCTGTCACCCTGCACCACAGCTCCTGTCACCCTGCACCACAGCTCCTGTCACCCTGCACCACAGCTCCTGTCACCCTGCACCACAGCTCCTGTCACCCTGCACCACAGCTCCTCTCTCCCTGCACCACAGCTCCTGTCACCCTGCACCACAGCTCCTGTCACCCTGCACCACAGCTCCTGTCACCCTGCACCACAGCTCCTGTCCCCCTGCACCACGGCTCCTGTCACCCTGCACCACAGCTCCTGTCACCCTGCACCACAGCTCCTGTCCCCCTGCACCACAGCTCCTGTCACCCTGCACCACAGCTCCTGTCACCCTGCACCACAACTCCTGTCACCCTGCACCACAGCTCCTGTCCCCCTGCACCACAGCTCCTGTCACCCTGCACCACAGCTCCTGTCCCCCTGCACCACGGCTCCTGTCACCCTGCACCACAGCTCCTGTCACCCTGCACCACAGCTCCTGTCACCCTGCACCACAGCTCCTGTCACCCTGCACCACAGCTCCTGTCCGCCTGCACCACAGCTCCTGTCCGCCTGCACCACAGCTCCTGTCACCCTGCACCACAGCTCCTGTCACCCTGCACCACAGCTCCTGTCCGCCTGCACCACAGCTCCTGTCCGCCTGCACCACAGCTCCTGTCACCCTGCACCACAGCTCCTGTCACCCTGCACCACAGCTCCTGTCCCCCTGCACCACAGCTCCTGTCCGCCTGCACCACAGCTCCTGTCACCCTGCACCACAGCTCCTGTCACCCTGCACCACAGCTCCTGTCACCCTGCACCACAGCTCCTGTCACCCTGTACCACAGCTCCTGTGACCCTGCACCACAGCTCCTGTCACCCTGCACCACAGCTCCTCTCTCCCTACACCACAGCTCCTCTCTCCCTGCACCACAGCTCCTGTCACCCTGCACCACAGCTCCTGTCACCCTGCACTACAGCTCACGGTGGAACTCTACACCAAGGACCACGACCGTGGTGACTGCCGGGCACCGTTTCCCCACAGCAGCCACCGTCCGGAACACGACCATCATCATGACCCCCACTGCTGCTGCTGCACGTTACCAGCATCAGCAGCGTTCAGCCCACACCGACCTCTACGGGGCACTTAAAGCCCCCACCTCTTTCATCTGGAGGGAGGGATGGAGCGAGGGACGGAGCCTGGGACCGGAGCGAGGGCGCGAGGGAGGCAGCGAGGGAGGGGGTGAGCGGGTAGAGGTCACGGCGCCGCTGCTCACGTAGAGCTTCTCCTGGTAGAGCGTGCGGAGTTGGCTGAGCACGTCCGGCGCCAGCTCGGGGTACGGCTCGAGGGCGGCGGCCAGGGCGGCGGCGGCGGCGACGCGCACCGCCTCCACGTGCGACAGGACGTCGCGCAGCAACAGCGAGCAGAGCGCCGGTTGCAGCTCCAGGCCCAGCGCCTCCCACAGCCTGCACGGCAGGCGCAGAGATACGGCGGAGAGAGGGGCAGGGAGAGGGGTAGGAAGAGAGGCAGGGAGAGGGGGGCAGGGAGAGAGGGAGAAAGAGACGAACACAGATGGGAGGTACAGTGAAACAGACAGAGGCACTGACATCCCCTGTTTCATGGAGTGTAATTGACGCGTTATTATTCGCCGCCCGTCTCATCGCTTGGCGGTCGACAGGTCGCTCGTTTCACTCTCGCCCCGTGGGCCCCAGGTCCCAGGGGTCCCAGGCGCCCTGCACCCCAGGCCCCCACGCGGGCCCCGCCGGACGGCACCCACCCGTGGGCGAGCTTGCGGTTCTCCTCCTCGGGGTCGAAGCGCGCGAGCCAGATGCGGCGCAGCACGTGCACGCCCGCCTCGCCCTCGCCCCCGTCGGGCGTCGGCAGCACCAGCTCCAGCTCCAGCAGACCCTGCCGCCAGCACATCCGGCACCTCCGATTAGCACGGTTGGCCACGAACGGTGCGAAAGAAGTTCAACATACATACATATGGCACTTACAGCAGGGACACGCAGGATTTCTGCGTTGTCTTTATGTCTCTGCGTGTCTGTGGCTATGCATGTTTGCATGTCTCTGCGTTTCTGCGTCCCTGCGTGTCTGCATCTCTACGTCTCTGGGTCTGTGTCTCCGCATCTCCGCATCTCCGCGTCTGCGCGTCTCCGAGTCTCCGCGCCCGGCTCACCCGCAGCGCGGCGTCGCGCAGCGCCGTGCACGGCGACAGCAGCGCCGCGAGCAGCACCTCCACCTCGGCCTGCTCGGCGCAAGCGCAGCCAGGGTTCCCGCTCGCACTGGTGCACAGCGCCGTCAGCGCCGACGCGGCCGTCACCTGCGGCGGCAACACGCAGATCAACGATCAACGAGGAGCGGCGGCACGGAGGAATCGATCGCTCCCGAGAGGGAACACGTTCCACCGTTAAGAGACGGAGCGACCAAATCGGAGCGCCGGCGTCCAGACGATTACGAGCGCAGGATCGCGAGCGTACTGGTGGGGCCGTTCGACCATCGTAGCGCGATGGTACCGCAGATCTCCCCACGGGCTCCGCCACCTTCCCCGTGCCGAGTTTTCCCAGCGGCAGCGTTGCCGTAACCCCGGGCGACTGTTCGTCACCTGTAGCCGTGGCGACGCCGTGGCGACCAGCGAGGTCAGCAGCAGCATCATGTCCTTCCTGGGAAGCAGCTCCGGTCCGTTCTGAAACAGCGCAGAGCGTCACAACGCAGCGTTGCGGTGGAGGCGTTTCGGGGTTCATTAGGGTTCCCCCCCCCATTGTGAAACGGCTGCTCTTTATTTTGCACGCGGTTGCAATTTATTTTGCTCAGTCTGTGTTAGCCGCTGAGGTCCTGATGGATGTCTTTATTTTATTATTTATTTTTCACTCCTGTTGCTCCGTGCCCCCTGTCTCGTTACTGTTCTGTTGCCATGTGCACCGATGCCCACTTCATTGAGGGTGGTATTGGCTCGTAAAATCAAGAAAAATCGCTTGATCGATCGTGATATTCCGAATCGCGTTATCACGTCGCTGTCTATCGAAGATATTTCTGTGCCAGCAAAATGGCCCCGGAAGAGCACAGTCCCTCCAAGAGGCCTCTCTTCCAACACTGACCATGCAAACCGTGTTCATGAAGTGTCAGACCAAAACCTCTGTGAGCTGGATAGAGGTGAATTATTAATATTAATATATATATTGCATTCGTCAATGATTGGGCTGAGACCGAGAACTTGCCACACTTGAAAACCCGGTTCAATCAGGAGTGGCCAAAACCCGGATTAGAACCCGTGGTAAATTTAAACTAAAACATTTTTTTTTTATCCAAGTCAAGCACACTGAGCTATGTAGCTATTTTTCAGAAGCAACCTGGCCACAAATGATAGCTCAACGAAGTGGCTTATCACGTGGATTTTTTTAGCATCCAAACACTCTAAACACGTGACGTTGATTCTAAATGTGGAGGAAAAAACCAGGAGACGCGTGATGCCGATTCTAAACGATGAAAGGGAAAAACTGGAGGAAACAGATAAACATCTACACGACTACGAGGAGAACATGCAGACTCCAATTATACAGCAGGCATCAGGGTCGTGATCACCCAGGACCTCCTGCATACCAGGCGAGGTAGTTAACATCTCGCCAGTGGCGCCCCGCCAGCAGTGCCGGCTCAACCCTCTTGACCTCTCAGCCACCTCTTCTATCGCCGCTGTTCGTCTTACAATGCCCTGCCAGCACTTGCCGTCACCTCGTCTATCTCCTCCTCCTCCTCCTCCTCTTCCTTCTCCTCCTCCTCGTCCTGCTGCCGCTGCTGCTGGCGTGAGCGCAGCTGCGCGTGTGCGGCCATCACGAGCAGCGTGGCGACGCGCGTCTCCTCCGACACGTCGCACGCCGGCGCCGGCAGCAGCAGCGTGCGCAGCAGCGGGAACGCCAGCGCGAAGGCCGGCGCCGGGAGCGGCCCGGGGCCTGAGACAGGATGGCACGATAACAGGATGCGACAGTGAGACAGGACGGTGTGACGCCACGGTGAGATGGGACACGACGGTGAGACTAGATGACGTGTTGGTGGAATGCGACGATGAGACGAGACAACACGATGATGATGAGACAACAGGAAGGGACGAGACGATGAGACACCACGATGGGATGCGGCGATGAGTCGCAAAAAGAATAAAAAACACATAATGAGATGCAAAGAGATGCAATGATGGGACATGATGTCAGACACGATGAAGAGTGAGTACACGACACACCACAACAAGACCCCAAGAGAGGGCACGACAACGCCCAATGATTAGACAATGATAGGACATGACGAGCAAGGGAGTGAGTGAGTGGACAAGTGGTTGAATATGGGAGCAGGTGAATGAGTGGCTGCATAGGAGAGTTAGTTGTGAGCAAGCGAGTGGGTGGGTGAGCGAATGAGCGAGCAAGCGGATGAGCGGTTGGGTGGATGCGTAACTGAATGGTTGAGCGGATGAGCGATTGAGTATGTTAGTGGGTGAGCGAGAGGGTGGATGAGCGGTGAGCAGGTGGGCGGCCGAGCGCTCCCACCGGACACGGTCAGTGCGTAGAGCGCCGCCACGACCCTCTCAGCGGCGTCGCTCAGCGGCTCCTGGCACCAGGCGGCCGGAACCTCGCACTCGGGGGTGAGCAGCCGCATCGTCACGTAGCCCAGCACCTCGCCTGCACACAAAGACAAAGAGCCCCGCCGTTTAGACTTAAGAGACTTTTGGGGCAAGTGCTGTTGGCGAGCACACACACATACACGCATGCACACACGAATAAACACACACGTGCGTGCATGCATACACACACGAGTGCACGCATACGTGCACGCACACACAAGCACTCACACACAAGCACTCACACACAAACAAACACACACATGCACACGCAGGTACAAGCTCGCACCAAGCTGGGCGTGCTCGGGCGGCATGAGCAGCTGCGGCAGGGAGAGCAGCGCGTCGAGGGCTCGCGGCGCCGCGAGCGGGGAGGCCAGCAGCGGAGTGAGCACGGCGACGAGCGGTGCCGCGTGGCACGCGAGGCTCGGAGACCGCGCCCGCACCATCGCCCCGAGCAGCGCCAGCGCTGCCGCCAGACGCTTGTCCATCTGTGCAGAGTCACACAAAGACAAAGATCCCCCGTTTAGCCTTAACAAACCGTTGGGGCAAGTGCCGTTAGTGAATAGCATCTATGAAGGCCGGCACGGCGTACAAGGGGGGTGAGTGGCCAGCACCACGCCCGGTTTGCACACGCACGGACACGCAGGTACACGTGCACTTACACGGACACGCAGGTACACTCGCACTTACACGGACACGCAGGTACACGTGCACTTACACGGACACGCAGGTACACTCGCACTTACACGGACACGCAGGTACACGTGCACTTACACGGACACGCAGGTACACGCGCATGCATCTCCGTGCGAGCCGTCACACAGGCGGCTCGAAATGGAATGAGGGACCCATCGTTGAATGGATTCCCCAATTGCGATAACTCATCCACAATCACAGTGGGGGGCCGACGCGGAGACAACTCAGGCCCGGCAATGGGGGGATCATTAACCCGCTGATTGCTTAAAAAATACATCAGGCGATCGAGCACGGCCCACAGCACCCCCCCCCCACCCCCCCGCTGTCCCCTGCTGCCCCGGAGCCCGACCTGCTGCAGGCGTGCACGCGTCTCTGCCTCCTTCTTGAGCTGCTCCTCCACCATCTCCTGCTGCTTAGCCGTGAGCTGCGGAGCGGCGTCCTTGCCTCCTCCTCCTCCCCCGCCTTTCTTCTTCTTCTTCAGCTCCTGCACACGGCGCGGTGGGAGTGGAGGAGGGGGTCATGGAGGGGCCACCTGTGCAGGGGGACGGGCCTCCCCTGCCGCCCCCTCCCTCCTCCATCTCTAGACAAAATGACTCAACTGGGGTTGCACAAAGCAATCGTTGCCAAAACCTGCCAGCACCTTCTCTGACAGGGAGTGAGGCTTTCCCCCGGGGTATAAAATATGCATCATAATAATAAAGAATAATTTCAACTTGTACTGTGCCGCACAGCATTCACTCGCTCTCATAGAGCGACAGAATGGGTAATACGGTGGCGAGATGTTAACTCCCGCGCCTGGTACACAGGTTATGGTGGGTTCAATCCCAATCAAGACGCCTGCTGTATAAGAGAAAAGTCGCGTGGACTTTTCTCCGGGTCCTCTGATTTTTCTCTCCACATTATCAACATCACATGTTTAGAGTGTTTGGCTGCTGCTATAAATACCCACGTGATAAGCCACTTCGTTGAGCTATCATTTGTGATAGCCAGGTCGCTTCCGAAAAAGAGCCGACGTAGCGGGCCTTACCTGGTCAAATAAAAAATATTTTATAGTTTAGTTTACAGAATGACCCGTGAGGTGCGAGGATAAACCACGGACAAGCAATGAAGGCAGCCATGCGGTGAGCCAGCGCCCAAGTTCTGCGGTCCTCTATATATGAAAGTTGTATCGGCCAATTAATGAGTGCTTATACAAGTGCGAGGAAACCAGAGCATCACGGGAAAACCCACGCGTGCGAGGAGGAAACACTCTATCCCATACGAACGGAACAGGTGAACAGTCCACATTTCTGCTGTACCACCTTCTCCTGGACATCTGTGAAAAAGAGCTTCATAGCTCATCGGATTTCTCCAGTACCGCACGCCGCCACAGCCACCGCCGCTGCTGTCCACAAGCCTGAGCCCGGCAGCTGGAGGTGGCCGTGACAACCATGACGACAACGTTACCTCCTTGATCTCGAGCTCCAGGATCTGCTCCTGGTACGAGTAGGCCTTGTTCTCCCTCTTCATGTTCCCCGTGCGCTTCCCCGACGCCTCCTTCTTGCTGCTGCATGGAGACGAAACATGACGCACACGGCACACGCTGACGTTCGCGAGCGGCGTCTACGAAGGCCGGCACGGCAAAATCTAACGAGGGTTGGGTGGCCAAAAACCCCACCTAAACCGCCTTTGTCTCCCCCAGTGCTGATGTTTACACACCACGTACGAGGTACTCATTTGAGCACGAGCCGCCCGGTTTGTAGATAATTGCTGCGCCACCGCTCCCACACGCGTGTGCGCACACAGATACAATATAACAACAGCCGCCATTGGCCACTAAATGACGGAGACGTCACCACAGCGTTTTCACCAGGCTAGGTGCACTTTGAGGCCACGCCAAGTGTTGAGGGGTCACTGCGGGTAGGTCAAAGAACAGACCCAGTTGCCAGGAGTTGACTCGGATGATCGACAGATGCACCACCTGTGCTCCTCACTGTGACAGCCTGCGGAGTTTTAGCCGCACCGCGCTCCTCCGCTCCTCCGCTCCTCCGCTGTTGTTGGGAGGGTGACTGGCTCCAACTGCACATTAGCCTTAAATTGCACCGAGCCTGCCATTGTTCAGTTGCATCCTTCATGAGCTACCTCCAGAGGCCAACCTTGACATCGCTGGTGCCCGGTGATCGGCAAGTCCGCTCAGCTCCACATCATCCTGTACCAGCCCACGCCGTGCTCATTTAGCCCCCTCTATTCGGTCAAACAGAAGCTGCTCGGGCAGCAAGCGGTGTCTGGGCATGCGGGCGACACGACCCGGCCAACACAGCCTCCTCGCCTGTCGTAAGAGCTCACCGATGATGGGGACCGCGCGTCCAGATCTCTCGAGGATCTGGCAAGCTCCCCGCACGCTCCTGGCGAGGCTCACCTGTCGATGACTGAGCGGTCCCACAGTGTTCCGGGCGGGGTCCTCATCACGGCCGCGTCGTCGCGCGTCACCTGCAGCAGCGCCGGCTCGGAGAGCGCCGCCCGCACGTGCCCCACCACGGGAGGCAGCATGGGACGGGGGGCGACCCCCACCAGCGTCACCACCGCCTGCAGCACCGCCTGGCAGCGCACAACATGATAAGCAACAAAAACAGCACAATCAACAGATGAAGCAGCAGCAGCAGTGAGTGGTGATGAGTGCAGATGAGTGGTGATTGGTTGACGATGAGCTCTAGGTGAGTGTTGTTGAGTGTCGGCGAGTAACAATGTGTGTTGGTGAGTAAAGGTGAGTGATAAGTGGAGGAAGGTGGTGGTGAGTGGTGGTGAATAAGTGAGTGATGGTGAGTGCAAGTGAGTGGAGGCGAGCGGTGGTGAGCGTAGCGGGCGGTGGTGAGTGCAGGCAAGTAGTGGCGAGTGAGCGGTATGTTCCGTCTCACCGGGCTGGCGTCAGGCGTGGCCAGTAGGCCCGGCAGGAGCTTGGGGCCGAGTTTGGCCACCAGCTGCGGTGCGTTCAGACCCCAGCGCGCGAGCAGCGCCAGCCACAGGCCGGGCCTCACCGACACTGCCGGCGCCATACACACACACACACGTTCAACAAAGACAAAGAGCCCCCGTGTAGCCTCACCGGACTGTCGGGGCAAGTGCTGTTAGCGAGCAGCACCTATGAAGGCCGGAACGGCACACGAGGGGGTGGGTGGCCAAAACCACGCCCGGCCGCCTTTGTCTTCCTAGTGGTGATCTTTATACATCAGCAATGGGAAGGCCAGATCAACCAAGGGAAAGTCAAGGATCGGTTCAACCACCACTGTTAGCCATGGCCGGTAATCAACCTTCGCACTCATAGCGTGGTTGACTAACCATCACCTGGCTGCTCCCGACTCCCAAGTGAACACACTCCCAGCGCAAGGGTCGTAAGGTCGTGCCCTATCACTCACTCTTGACCCAGGGGTCGTGGGTCAAGAGCACCCCCCCCCCAATCCCCCCACCCTAAACCGCCCCGAGGGGCTCACCCACGGACGGGTGGTGCGCCGGCAGGAGCGCGTCCCCGGCCAGCGCCTCCGTCTCCGCTGCTCCTGCTCCTGCTCCGCCGTGCGGTGGCGGCGCCGTGGCCGTGATGGCCCACAGGGCGCCGGCGAGGAGGCGCGGCGCGGCGTACGAGCGGCCCAAATCCGTGGGCTCCCCCGACTCGTTCACCAGCAGCTCGGGCGCCACCACCTTGGGAGGTGGGGTGGGGTGGGGGGCGGTGGGGGGTTAAACTAACTAACTACTAAACTATTTTATTTTGCCAGGTAGAGCCCACTGAGCTGTAGAGCTCTTTCTCAGAAGGGACCTGGCCCCAAATCATAGCTCAAAAAAGTGTCTGATTGTGTGGAAAAATACTCTAAACACAAGTTGATTCTAAATGCGGACTGCTATTATAAAGGGTCGGGATCGAACCCACGACCTCCTGCATACCAGGCGAGGTAATGTTAACATCTTCTAGCCACCATGGCAGTTAACGAAGGCGGCGCTGTCTCGAAGGCGGCGAGGGAAATAAACGAACGTTCTCACTCAGGATTGGCCGGGGCAAGGTGGTAGTTTACACACCGGGTCATTGTTATCACCAGCACGACTGACACCAACCACCGATTACCACCAGCATGGCCATCGACACCATCGCTCACATTGTCTGAACCGCCACCACCATCACAGCCACCATCACTGCCAATGAATCCACCATCACCACCACCACCACAACGTCACGGCCGCCGCCATCACCGCCACCCGCACCATCTCACCCTGTGCCCAGCGAGGACGAGCTCTAGCTCTCCCAGAAGGCCGTGCGCCAGGCCCATGCCGCCCGCCGATGACAGCAGCTTCCTCGTCGTCTGCAGCGCGCGACGCCGCACGGCCCAGGCGCGGTGCAGGAGGCCCATGAGCACAGCGCGCACGTACGGCCTGACGCACACAGACACAGGTCCCCCCCCCCGCCGTGTAGCCTTAACAGACTGTGGGGGCAAGTGCTGTTAGCAAGCAGCATCCTATGAAGGCCAGTACAGCACACGTGGGGGAGTGGTGGGTGTGCAGCACCACGCCCGGCCGCCTTTGTTTCCCCAGTTCTGATGTTGACGCACCGCACTAGGTACTCGTTTGAGGTCGCGTCGACCTCTGGGAAGTCCGGAACCGGTTCAGATATTCGTCATCGATGTTGGCCATGAGCGGGAATTGAACTTGGGCTGCCGGGTTCGTAGCGCGGCGTGCTAACCATTGCGCCACTGCTCGCCGTATATGGCCTGACGCACACACAACACAAAGCATACAAAGATCCCCTGTATGGCCTACTTAGGCTGTTGGACAAAGTGCCATTAGCGATCACCTACTAAGCCGACAAGGCGCACCTATGAGTGTGTGGTGTTTCCAGCACTTTGCCCGGCCGCCTTTGTCTCCCCAGCCCTGATGTTTATGCATTAGGGTTGGCTCAGAACATATGTACCTGGGTCAGATACATTTAGATATGGAAACATCTACATGTATCTCAAAGACAAGACTCACAGACAATGATATGGAGACATACAGAGAGAGATGGCACACAGACACACACAGATAGGGAAACAAAGACAGACACACAGACACAAAAGACCAGGAGGAAGACAATGAGCCACTGTGACACCATCACCCCAGAGCACCCTGCCTCGTCCCCTTCCCCACGTGGTGGTGGTGTTGCTGGTTTCGATGCTTATGACGTACATGGTGCTGGCGATGGTGGTGATGGTGCCAATGGTGGTGGTGGTTATGATGAAGGTGGTATATATGTATGTTGAACTTCTTTCACACCGTACGTAGCCAACCGCGCGAATCGGAGGTGCGGTATGATGGTAGCGGCAGTGGTTACGATGTGTATGACGGCAGTGATGGTAGCCAGTGATGGATATGATGTTGGTGATGGTGGCGCCTTCCGTGGTGGTGGTTATATATTGCTGCTGATGATGTGCAAGAGCGGTGATGGCGGCGCTAGTGGTTATGACGATGATGGCGATGTTGGCGTTGGGTTCTCACCGAGCCTTCTCGGCCGTCACCGTCTGCGGGTGGTCGAGAAGCAGTCGCTCGGAGAGCTGCAGCACCGTGCAGAGCGCTGCACGGGGGCAGAGGACACACGGTGCCCACGTGACACACGACTCGCACGTGACACGCAACCCAACACAGGACTCGCATGTGATACAAAGCACAGGAGACTCGCACGTGAAAAGCAACACACGCGACTCGCAGGTGACACACATGTGACACGCAACACACGTGACACGCAACACACGTGACACGCAACACACATGTGACACGCAACACACATGTGACACGCAACACACACGTGACACGCAACACACACGTGACACGCAACACACACGTGACGCATAACACGAGTCACACGTGACATGAGACACAATACGCAGCACGTTATGTGATGCACACGATGCGACCTGCGCAACACACGTAACACACGACATCTGACACAAGACAAATGGCATACCAAGCCCATTAATGGAGCGTTTATACACGTGGGCGGAAACCAGAGCGCCCTGAGAAAACTCACGAATGAAGGGGGAAACGCTCTATCCCACATGGAATGAACGGACGGCAGGCCCAGGTACAGGCACCACATCGACGCCCACCCACGGGAAGGGAGTTTCTAAACATTTCTGCGGTAATCCGCCAACCCTCGCTGCCTCCAGAATGCTGGATACAGGTCACGTGACCCACTAACCCTCACTGCCTCCATGCTGGATACAGGCCACGTGACCCACTAACCCTCACTGCCTCCACGCTGGATACAGGCCACGTGACCCACTAACCCTCACTGCCTCCACGCTGGATACAGGCCACGTGACCCACTAACCCTCACTGCCTCCACGCTGGATACAGGCCACGTGACCCACTAACCCTCGCTGCCTCCACGCTAGATAGAGGCCACGTGACCCACTAACCCTCACTAACGCCACGCTGGATACAGGTCACGTGACCCACTAACCCTCACTGCCTCCACGCTGGATACAGGCCACGTGACCCACTAACCCTCACTGCCTCCACGCTGGATACAGGCCACGTGACCCACTAGCCCTCACTAACGCCAAGCTGGATACAGGCCACGTGACCCACTAACTCTCACTGCCTCCACGCTGGATACAGGCCACGTGACCCACTAACCCTCACTGCCTCCACGCTGGATACAGGCCACGTGACCCACTAACCCTCACTGCCTCCACGCTGGATACAGGCCACGTGCACAGCCTCCTAAGCCCGGCTACGCGATTGTATCCCATGGCATAGAGGTTTACCTCGCTATAGGAGGTTTTAATTCTTACGCAATTTGTATTTACTTAAAGTGACTTGCTTACATTTTCTCTATTTTGATCTTCCTATCTTTTTTTGTATTGTTTGTTGTTGTAACTCGCCCCTCCTGGACATCTGTAAACAAGAGCTTCATAGCTTATTGGATTGCTCCAGTCTAAATAAATATTCCCCTTGTGAATTCACTCAGATGCAGCTACGCGCTAGGACGTGGGATATTTTATGTGTACCACATGTACCATGTGTACTGTATGCACCGTGTGTACTGTATGCACCGTGTGTACTGTATGCACCGTGTGTACTGTATGCACCGTGTGTAATGTATGCACTGTGAGCACCACTCGGCAGGCAGCTTTCTCCTCGTGCAGTGCATTGTGGGTTGGGCGACTGCGCGCTCCACGCTACACGGTTTCGCTTTCTGCTTCCCCTTTTTTGGAACGCATCTACTACTCTAAATTCTCTGGCACGTGTCGTGACAAGTGCTGCAAGATCCCACCGTGTCCGTCCAACGCTCGCTGAGGTGCATTGGCTTCTGGTTGCCGAACGAATACGTTGTAAGGTTGCACTCGTTACAAAGTGCTTGCCACGATTGAACCACACACAACACCTTGCTGATCTCGTCAAGGACCATAAACCATCACGCAGACTCCGGTCATCCTCGCAGCAGCGGCTTTTAGCTAACCATCAAACAAAGACGGTGACTGCATCGCGTGCTTTCAGATACGCTTCTGCGGCCGTCTGGAGCGCTCTTCTTTCCTAAAACTAGGAATTCACTAGAGCTATGCACTTCTAATTCATCTAGATTAAAACTCATTTCTTTAGAACTGCTTTTTGTGTTTAGTTTGTTGTCCTTCCCCCGCACCTCCGATTAGCAAGGATGGCGACGCACGGTGCGAAAAAAGTTCAACGTACATACAGTACCACACTCCCGCATAGAGCGAGGGAAACCTGCGCGAGACGCAAGGCACGCAACGCGGGAGACCGACGCCACGCGACCCGCGGCGATGACGGGCGGCAATGGCGATGGAGATTGGAGCGGCACCTTCATCGGACCCCTGCGCCAGAAACTTGTCAGCCGTGAAAAGCTGCTTCTTCTCGTCCACGATGAGGGGCCACAGCGCCGAGAGTTTGGTGTCTGGGTCAAAACACAATACGGACACGAGGCGCGTTCACGCAGCCGCGGGAAACACCGCCAAGACGGGCAACCCACAGCTTGCGAGCACCCGTTGAAGGCAGGCTCCACACCAATCACCGAGTTTACGTTTGGGAACAGCGCAGGTGAGAATCAGAAATCGATTTTGTATTTAGACTGGAGGAATTCGATGAGCCATGAAGCTCTTTTTCTCAGATGTCCAGGAGGTAATAATAAACTCCAGCTCTGACAATTCAAAATATCAGTTCAGCGGTCAAGCAACCGACATTACTCTGAAAGGTGGGTGGGTGAACAAACACGGTCCCTTCCCGTGCAGTGTGGAGTGTGCGTGTGTGGGGACCCGGAGCGCAAATTCGAATTTTTTCTGTTGAACCGGCGTGGCGACCTCCCGGCTCACCGACTTGGGCGTCGGCGACGGCAAGGCGGCACACGAGCAGCGCGGCCGAGGCCCCCTCCGTCACCATGGCGATCTGCGAGCCCTGCGCGGCGGCGCGTTCCAGCGCCTGCGAGAGGCACGGCAGCAGCTCCAGCGCCGCCAGCGTGCTGTCTCCTGCACTCGCAGGGGACGAGCGGTGAGACGGTGTGTGTGGTGCAGTGAGACGGTGTGTGTGGTGCAGTGAGACGGTGTGGTGCAGGGAGACGGTGTGTGTGACAGTGAGACGGTGTGTGTGGTGCAGTGAGACAGTGTGTGTGACAGTGAGACGGTGTGTGTGGTGCAGTGAGACGGTGTGTGTGGTGCAGTGAGACGGTGTGTGTGACAGTGAGACGGTGTGTGTGACAGTGAGACGGTGTGTGTGTGTGTGACAGTGAGACGGTGTGTGTGTGTGTGACAGTGAGACGGTGTGTGTGACAGTGAGACGGTGTGGTGCAGTGAGACGGTGTGTGACAGTGAGACGGTGTGTGTGGTGCAGTGAGACGGTGTGTGGTGCAGTGAGACGGTGTGTGTGGTGCAGTGAGACGGTGTGTGTGGTGCAGTGAGACGGTGTGGTGCAGTGAGACGGTGTGTATGACAGTGAGACGGTGTGTGTGTGACAGTGAGACGGTGTGTGTGTGACAGTGAGACGGTGTGTGACAGTGAGACGGTGTGTATGACAGTGAGACGGTGTGTGTGACAGTGAGACGGTGTGTATGACAGTGAGACGGTGTGTGGTGCAGTGAGACGGTGTGTGGTGCAGTGAGACGGTGTGTATGACAGTGAGACGGTGTGTGACAGTGAGACGGTGTGTGGTGCAGTGAGACGGTGTGTGGTGCAGTGAGACGGTGTGTATGACAGTGAGACGGTGTGTGACAGTGAGACGGTGTGTGGTGCAGTGAGACGGTGTGTGTGACAGTGAGACGGTGTGTGGTGCAGTGAGACGGTGTGTGGTGCAGTGAGACGGTGTGTGGTGCAGTGAGACGGTGTGTGTGTGACAGTGAGACGGTGTGTGTGACAGTGAGACGGTGTGTGGTGCAGTGAGACGGTGTGTGTGTGACAGTGAGACGGTGTGTGTGACAGTGAGACGGTGTGTGTGTGGTGCAGTGAGACGGTGTGTGTGGTGCAGTGAGACGGTGTGGTGCAGTGAGACGGTGTGTATGACAGGGAGACGGTGTGTGTGGTGCAGTGAGACGGTGTGTCTGGTGCAGTGAGACGGTGTGTGTGGTGGAGTGAGACGGTGTGGTGCAGTGAGACGGGGTGGTGCAGTGATACGGGGTGTGTGGCAGTGAGACGGTGTGTGTGGTGCAGTGAGACGGTGTGACAGGGAGACGGTGTGTGGTGCAGTGAGACTGTGTGTGGTGCAGTGAGACGGTGTGTATGACAGGGAGACGGTGTGTGTGACAGTGAGACGGTGTGTGTGTGGTGCAGTGATACGGGGTGTGTGGCAGTGAGACGGTGTGTGTGGTGGAGTGAGACGGTGTGTGGCAGTGAGACGGTGTGTGTGACAGTGAGACGGTGTGGGTGGTGCAGTGAGACGGTGTGGGTGGTGCAGTGAGACGGTGTGTGTGGTGCAGTGAGACGGTGTGTGTGGCAGTGAGACGGTGTGTGGTGCAGTGAGACGGTGTGTGTGGTGCAGTGAGATGGTGTGTGTGGTGCAGTGAGACGGTGTGTGTGACAGGGAGACGGTGTGTGTGGTGCAGTGAGACGGTGTGTGTGGTGCAGTGAGACGGTGTGTGTGACAGTGAGACGGTGTGTGTGGTGCAGTGAGACGGTGTGTGTGACAGTGAGACGGTGTGTGTGGTGCAGTGAGACGGTGTGTGTGGTGCAGTGAGACGGTGTGTGTGACAGTGAGACGGTGTGTGTGGTGCAGTGAGACGGTGGGTGTGGTGCAGTGAGACGGTGTGTGTGGTGCAGTGAGACGGTGTGTGTGGTGCAGTGAGACTGTGTATGTGTGACAGTGAGACTGTGTGTGTGTGACAGTGAGACGGTGTGGTGCAGTGAGACGGTGTGTGTGGTGCAGTGAGACGGTGTGTGTGTGTGTGTGACAGTGTGTGTGGTGCAGTGAGACGGTGTGTGGTGCAGTGAGACGGTGTGTGTGACAGTGTGTGTGGTGCAGTGAGACGGTGTGTGGTGCAGTGAGACGGTGTGTGTGTGACAGTGAGACGGTGTGTGTGGTGCAGTGAGACGGTGTGTGTGACAGTGAGACGGTGTGGTGCAGTGAGACGGTGTGTGTGGTGCAGTGAGACTGTGTGTGACAGTGAGACGGTGTGTGTGGTGCAGTGAGACGGTGTGTGGTGCAGTGAGACGGTGTGTGGTGCAGTGAGACGGTGTGTGGTGCAGTGAGACGGTGTGTGGTGCAGTGAGACGGTGTGTGTGACAGTGAGACGGTGTGTGTGACAGTGAGACGGTGTGTGTGACAGTGAGACGGTGTGTGTGTGGTGCAGTGAGACGGTGTGTGTGTGTGTGACAGTGAGACGGTGTGTGTGACAGTGAGACGGTGTGTGTGGCAGTGAGACGGTGTGTGTGGCAGTGAGACGGTGTGTGTGGCAGTGAGACGGTGTGTGTGACAGTGAGACGGTGTGTGTGGTGCAGTGAGACGGTGTGTGTGACAGTGAGACGGTGTGTGTGGCAGTGAGACGGTGTGTGTGGCAGTGAGACGGTGTGTGTGGCAGTGAGACGGTGTGTGTGACAGTGAGACGGTGTGTGTGGTGCAGTGAGACGGTGTGTGTGTGACAGTGAGACGGTGTGTGTGACAGGGAGACTGTGTGTGGTGCAGTGAGACGGTGTGTGTGGCAGTGAGATGGTGTGTGTGGCAGTGAGACGGTGTGTATGGTGCAGTGAGACAGTGTGTGTGACAGTGAGACGGTGTGTGTGACAGTGAGACGGTGTGTGTGACAGTGAGACGGTGTGTGTGACAGTGAGACGGTGTGTGTGACAGTGAGACGGTGTGTGTGACAGTGAGATGGTGTGTGTGACAGTGAGACGGTGTGTGTGACAGTGAGACGGTGTGTGTGTGACAGTGAGACGGTGTGTGACAGTGAGACGGTGTGTGTGGCAGTGAGACGGTGTGTGTGTGACAGTGAGACGGTGTGTGGCACGGCGCGCACCGTGGAAGGTGGCGTTCATGCACTGTAGGTATGCGAGCCGTGTGGCGCTCGTTGCTCCCTTGCGCGTCGCCCCGTCGCGGAACGCCGCGAGCAGCAGCGGCGCGGGCGGTGCCGTCAGGCGGGCGCACCACGCCGAGAGTGCCGCGAGCGCCGACACCAGCGTGCCGTCGTGCACTACGCGTGGGGGACACGCGAGGGGGCGGCACAGAGACAGACAGAACATGTGCGGGGACCATGGGAGGCAAGCGCGGACGGGAGGGAGACAAATCTCTTACCCGTGTCGGTGGCGCTGTTGGTAGCGATCGCGATGGTGGTCATGATGATGGTGCAAATTGTGCTGTTGATGGCGACAATGCTGTTGATGGTGTTGGCGAGAGTTGATGGAGTTGATGGTGGTGGTTTCCATGGTGGTGGTTGCCATGGTGGTGGTTGCAATGGCGGCGGTTGCCATGGCGGAGGTTGCGATGGCGGCGGTTGCAATGGCGGCGGTTGCCATGGCAGCGGTTGCCATGGTGGCGATTGCGATGTCGGCGGTTGAGATGGCCGTGGTTGCGATGGCGGTGGTTGAGATGGCCGTGGTTGCAATGGCGGTGGTTGCGATGGCGGTGATTGGCGCGTGGGTGCTCGTACCCTCCTGCTGCAGGAAATGCACAAAGAGCTCGATTGCCACTCGGCTCAGGGCCTGGGCGGCGCCGGTGGACACGACGTGCTGGCTCAGACTCGCCACACCTGTACGCGCACACACACAAAGATCCCGCGTGTAGCCTCAATATAATGTTGGGGCAAGCGCTGTTAGCCAGTAGCAGGACCTATGAAGGGCGGCACGGAAGACGAGGGGGCTGGGTGGCCAACACCACGGCCGGCCCCACCATCACGCACACACACATACGCGCACGCATGCACGCACTCACCAACCGGCGCGCTCACCAACCGGCACACACACCGACACTTGCGCACATGGACACGTGCATGCACAGGGTGGGGGGGAGAGGCGCAAGGTGGCGGGGGAGGGGGGGGAATCACCCCCAGCGACTGACCTGATAGTACGCTGATCTTCTGTGCCGCCACTGTCAGCTTCCCCTCCGACCCTGAGAGAGGTGAACGGGGTTCACAGTCGGAACGAGCCACAGCGGCACCGACAAAACCAAAACGATCGCCACCACGTGCCACCATCAGCACCATCATCACTTCCGCTTGTACCACCGCTAACATCAGCACCACAAACAACGTTACCATCGGCCCCTCCGTCAACCATTAGCACCACCGTAACCACCACCATAACCACCACCACCATTACCATCATCAGTACCATCAGCACCACCACATCCACCAGCACTATGCCACTGGCACCACCACCAGCACCACAACCTCCTCCACCAAAGCCACCACCACCAAAACCAACACCACCAGCACCACCACCAGCACCAAAACCAGCATCATCACCTCCACTGCCAGCACCAACACCACCATCACCACAAACACCACCATCACCACCACCAACAGCATCGGCACGAGCGCTACCATTGAGGACGGCGAAGAGGTGCCTCAGGAGGCTCTCGAGGGCGTCCCCCTCGCTGCACTGCCGCGCGAGGCCCCGCAGAGCCACCCCGGCCGCCTCCGCCAGCGCCACGCTGTTCGACTTGAGCTGGCCTGGGTGGTCACGCAATCACGTGATCACGCAATCACACGGTCATGCAATCACTCGGTCACGCAGCCACACAGGTTACACAAAATCACGTAGTCACGCAATCTCGAGGAGAGGGGGCATAATGGGGAGAGGCCACACGTGAGGAGCCCTGGCTTGATTCTGCCCACTTGCAGCGGCGGTCTGCGGCGACCTGCCATATCCACCTTGGTTTTACTCCGTTCCCGGTCAGATTGAGAATTGTCCGGGTTCTGCCGGACATCCCGGTGTCGGTATCTCGCAAACAAATTTCTGCGTGTTTATAAAATGTTATGGGAACTAGGGGTGGGAGGGCAAACGGAGGGGGGAGCGGGGAGAAGGGAGATAGGAGGGGGACTCACTCGCGAGGATTTTGCCGATGTCCATTGCGTACTGGCTCAGGTCAAGGATGACCAATGACAGGAGCGAGCCCACCGCTGTGGAACACACATGCATACACACAAACATGCACACACACGCACACACACACACGCACACACACACACACACATACACGCACGCACACACACGCACACACGCACGCACACGCACACACGCACGCACGCACACACGCACGCACACGCACGCTGGGGGTTACAGCTGTGGTTAAATAAAGCTATGGAGATCAGGGTTAAGTGCGTGGCGAAGACTAATGTTCCGGCTAGGGTTAGCATAACACTCGTGGATAAAGCAGGAATGGTGATGATATTGGCAATGGCGGGAAAGGCAGTGATGGTATTGATGGATGTGATTGTGTTAATAATGGAGTGGGCATAGTATTGAGCTGGTGGTGATGGCGGTGGGTATGGCAGTGTTGGTGGCGGTGGTGTTGATGGCGGCAGTGGCGGTGGTGACGATAATGGAGGCGATGGCGGAGATGGCGATACCGGCGGTGGCGGTGATGGCAGTGGTGATGCCGACAGGGGTGATGCCGGTGGTGACGGTGATGGTGGTGATGACGGTCACCATCGATGGCGTTCTCGGGGCTGCGCAGCATCGACTTGACGACGACCGGTAGAACGAGCTCCTTGAAGTCGGCGTGGGTGAGACGGCGCACCAAGGGGCCACAGTGCTCCTGTGGGGGCGAGGGGGAAGGGGGCGAGGGCGCGTGAGGGAGTGGAGGGGGGGGGACATGTAAATATGTGTGGGGGGGCACCACGGTGGCCAGATGAAAACTGCCTTGCCTGGTACGCAGGACGTCGTGGGCTCGATATATTTTGAGTTTACATATTCTCTCTCCCCATGGTCGCGTAGATTTTTCTCACGGTCCTCCGGCTTTTCCCTCCACAATTAGAATCAACAAGCTTTTAGAGCATTTGGCTGCTATCAATGTAGACACGATACACCGCTTCGTTAAGCTATCATTCAGGTTGCTCTTTTTCAGAAGCGACCTGGCCACAAATGATAGCTCAAAGTAGTGGCTTGTCGTTTGGAAATCTATAGCAGTCAAATACTCTAAAGCATGTTTATAAATGTGGAGGGAAAAACTGGAGAAACCGGAGCATCACAGGAAGAACATGTAAACTCCCAATATACAGACGTCAGGGTCAGGATTGAACCCACGACCTCATGTATACCAGGTGAGGTAGTTAACATCTTGCCACGGTGCCGCTCCAGTCAGTGGGCCTTACCTGGCAAAATAAAGTTTAGTTTCAATAGTTTATATATAAATCTAAAATATAAAAATCTAGACCGAGATTCAAAACTTGGGCTGATAAAAAAATAGGTTCGGATTGATACCAGTGACGTCACAGGAAATGACAACACATCTGATGTCAGGTGACGTCACTTTTGTCAGCGTGAAGAAACATTGCATTGTTGAAAAATAAAAATCAGAAATAAGATACAAAATCGTCCTCAAATATGCAAAAATGTGAAATATTGTAATCCCAAACTCATCCGTAATACATAAACACTCAAAACAGAGTTCCCCCGTATATCCTTGAACAAACTGTTGAGGCACGTGCTGTTCACGAGCACCTATGCAGGCCGGCATGTTACACGAGGTGGTGGGTGGTCAGCATCAAACGCACGCCCGGCCACGTTTGTCTACCTCCTGGCGATGTTTACACAATGCACCAGGTACTCATTTGAGGCCGAGCCGACTTAGGGGAGGCCCAGGACCCATTCAGATAATCGTAACTGGTCTTGGCTGCGAGCGGGATTTCAAACTGGGGTTGCCGGGTTCGTAGCGCAGCGCACTAACCGCTGCGCCACCAATCCCCACACTTTAAACACACGCAGGGAACAACAACAGCCTCCATTCGCTACAAAGTGGCGGTGATGTCACCAAGGCACTTATGCCAGGCCAGGTGCACTGAGGCCAAGTGAAGTGTCGAAGGCTCGCTGACAGGAAGTCACGGGACAGACCCAGGTGCCATGGGTTGACTGACTTAAGATGGCTTGGCAGATGAACCAGCTGTGCCCCCCACTGTGCCAACTTGCTGCATTTTAGCTGCCCGGCGCTCCGCTCATTGTTGCGAGCATCACTCCTCTGCCCTCCACTGTTGCTGGAGAGCGACTGCCTCCAAATACCCACTAGCGTCCTTTATGAACTTCGTCACACGCACACACACACACAGGAACTCACCAATACGTGGACGGAAGGCTTCGATTTGCCGAGGAAGGAAGCCTTGATGAAGAGGTCGATCATTTGAGCCTGAAGCATCAGCAGAAGTAACGTCACACACAGAGACAAAGTTCCCCCGTGTAGCCTTTAGCAGGCTGTTAGGGCAAGTGCTGTTCGTGAGCAGCACCTATGAAGGCCGGTACGGCGCATGAATGTTAAGCGAGAGAACTGCCCCAGCAGGAAATCAAGGGCACGGGTTCTCTACAATACATACTGCAGATAAGTATAGAACTTTAATATAAATCGCTTGTGCACAAACAGTTACCCCCTGGGGAGGTCACCGGTAACCCCCAGAGGTCACATTTACCTCCCAGAGGTCACAGGTACCCCCTAGTGAGGTAACATACCCCCAAGAGGTCACGGGAACCCCTTAAAGGTCACGGGTACTCCCTAGAGGTGTCACGGGTACCCCCTAGAGAGGTGATGTGTATCCCCCTAGAGAGCTCACAGGTACCGTGCGGGTATGTGTACCATAGGATGGGAACCACCGCTCGAGGACGCAATCCCCACGCTGGGTCAACTCCTCTGGTCGGCACCACTCAACCACTCCCTCCCGTCTAAATATGGTGTTGTATCGTATGTATGTTGAACCTCTTCCCACACCGTACGTAACCAACCATACTAATCTGAGGTGCAGGGGAAGAACAACACACGAAACACAAAAAGTTTTCAATATAGATGTAAAATTGCATGGCTCCATTGGCTTTCTAATATCGGAAGGAAGAGTGTTCCAGACGGCCATAGAAGCTACAACCACTCAACCACCTACAACAACTCGCTCGCCCCCCCTCTCCCGTCTACTACTCAACCACTTACTTAGCCCACTGATTGACGCAGGGCGAGCGAGCGTGCGGGTGACTAGGTGAGAGAGGGGACGAGCGGGAGGGGGGTTGGATGGGCGGCAGGAGCGGACGGCCGAGCAAGCGGGCGGGCAGGCAGGTGAGAGGCCGAGTGGGTGAATGGACGGACGAGCTGGGGGTCAGACGAGCGGGGCACACCTTGTGCCCGTCGACTGTGCTGGTGTGGCCCGTTTTGCAGCAGTGCTCCACCAGGGCACCGACGAGACACAGACTGCTGGCACCGGCATCTCCAGACAACAGGGTGCTCATGGAGCGCTCCACCAGCGCGGGCAGCTAGGCCACGCAGACGCACGCAGAGACACGCAGAGACACGCACGCACAAAGATAAATATCACCCGCGTAAGCTGGTGCAGGCCCTGGAGGCCAGCAAGGAGGTGGCATGGCCACCGCCACACTCGATCGCTTTTGTTACCCCAGTGTAGATTTTTTGTGCGACACACCAGGTAGTTACTCACTTAAAGGAGTTGACCCAAGGGAGGCCCACGACTGGTTAGGAATATTGGCTGTAACCAGGAAATGAACTTGGGGTCACAAGGTTTGTACTAACCACTGCGCCACCGCTCCCCACACAACAACAACAACCGCCATTCGCCACTAAGTGGCGGTGACGTCACCACGACGCTTGTGCCAGGCTATGTGCACCCTGAGGCCACGTGAAGTGTCGAGCACGTACAGACACGCACTCGCACCACAACGGGCGTTCGCCACTAAGTAGCGGTGACATCCCCACGGCACTTGTGCCAGGCTAGGTGCATGTTGAGGCCACGTGAAGGGTAGCTCACTATCAACAAGTCACAGGACAGACCCAGGGGTGTTATGGGATAACTGACGTGACTGGCAGATGCTTCACTCACGCACAAAGACCCACCCCGTGTAGCCTGAACAAACTTGGGGCAAAGTGCTGTTAGCGAGCACCGACGAAGGCCAGCAGGGTACACGAGGGGGTGGGTGGCCAACACCACGCCCGACCGCCTTTGTCTCCTGAGTGGTGATGTTTACACACCGCACCAGGTACTCATTTGACAATGAATCGACCTAGGTGAGGCCCAGGATCAGCTCAGATAATTGTTACCGATGTTGGACGTGAGCGAGAATCGAACTCGGGTCGCCGGGTTCATAGCGCAGTGCACGCTCATTGTCGGGGGTTTCCTGCCTACGGGAAGCAGGATGGGGTCCTGGTAATCACTGAGTCGATGAATCGGCTCCAGCCCACGGCCCGGCACAGCGGCGCCCGTACCTCGGTCCAGAGCCGCACGAGCTTCTTGCCGACGGAGTCCCGGACGCTCCTACGCGGACTTCCTAGCGCCTCGGTGAGCAGCACGCCCTGCACCTCCACCTGCACCGGGACGCAGGGGGAGACAGCACGATGACTCGACCAGAGGGAAGACCACCTTCACGTGATCCCTACAAGAGACCCGAAGACCTTCTTTAAAGTGTACAGCGAGTGCCAGTGCTTGTTATGGTGTCAGTGTGGGTGTACAGTGTTCGTGTGGAGAGCGGTAGTGCAGTGGTTAGCGAGCTGCACCTCGAAACCGGCGACCCGAGTTCGATTTCCGCTCATGGCCAACACCTGTAACGATTATCTAAACTGGTTCCAGGCATCCCCTAGGTCGATTCATCGTCAAATGAGTACCTGGTGCGGTGTGTAAACATCACCACTAGGGAGACAAAGGCAGTCGGGCGTGGTGATGGCCACCCATCCCATTCGTGTGCCGTGCCAGTCTTCAACGGTGCTACTCCCTAAAAGCACTTGCCCCAACAGTCTGTTCAGGCTACATATGGGATCATTGTCTATTGTAGAGTGCCAGTGGCACGAGTGCATAGTTTTCATGTGCAGTCGGGTAGCATTGGTGCATAGCGCTAGCAGTGAGGAGTGTTTCTGCGGTGACTGTGTGCTGCGGTGAGTACGTCACCCCTCACCAGCTGTTTCCAGGCCTCGCCCTCCTGGGAGTCGGGTGAGGGGAACGCCGCTCGTGCCAGCGTGCACGTCCACGCCACCGCCTCCGCCGCTGCCGAACTGCTGCACTTCCTGTGGGGGCCACGCGGCAGCCATCAATAGCGACACCTGGCTCCTTGTGGGGAATCGTCGCCAAATTCCATGACCTCTTCCCTGCATCCCCATCCCACTCATCCCCTGACCTCCTCCTCTGACCTCCTCCCCCCCCACACCCCCTCCATGCAGCAAGTAAAACCAGTTTTAATTGATATGTATCACGCTGATTCGAATCCAAGTGTCTCTCTGGCTGTCCGAACGGTGGGGGCGCAGCAATGACCTGACCCCAACGGACGGCACTCACGTGGGACCGCTGCCCTTGGAGACGAGGGCAGCCTGGGGCAGCAGCGGTGGCAGAGCACGCGCCGTGGCGACGGGATATGCCTCGGCCAGGACGCGAAGGGTCTCGCGCACCGCCCGGCGCGACGCTGCATCCCTGGAGATGCGCAAATGGGTGACGGGACGGCACGCGCGATGGCAGCGGCACACGCGTGACGGGAGCAGCACACTCGTCACGTGACGGGAGCGGCACACTCGTCACGTGACGGGAGCGGCACACTCGTCACGTGACGGGAGCGGCACACTCGTCACGTGACGGGAGCGGCACACTCGTCACGTGACGGGAGCGGCACACTCGTCACGTGACGGGAGCGGCACACTCGTCACGTGACGGGAGCGGCACACTCGTCACGTGACGGGAGCGGCACACTCGTCACGTGACGGGAGCGGCACACTCATTACGGGAGCGGCACCCGTGCGACGGACGGATGCGTCGGCGCAAACATGGCGGGATGAGACGGCACACGCGTGATGGGATGGGATGGCACACGCGTGATGGGATGGGACGGCGTGACAGGAGCAGCAACCGTGTGAAGGATGGATGGAACGGCACAAGCGTGATGGGATGGGAAGGCATGCGGGTAACGGGATGGTACATGCGCGACAGGATGGCAGACGTGCGACAAATGGATGGGACGGCACAAGCGTGGCGAGATGGGACACACGTGGTGGGAGCGGCACATGTGCAACGGATCTGGAACACGCGTGATGGGAAGATACACGTTTTGGGATGTGATGAGGGGGTTGTATGGCTGGTATCATACCCGGTTGCTTGTATACCCGAGTGCTGATGTTTTCACACATTCCAACAGTTACTTATTTAAGGCTAAGTCGACCTAGGGGAGGCCCAGGATCCATTCAGGTATTACTTGCCACTGATTTTTGCTTTGGCCATCCATCGAATCCAGGTCTCCAGGTTCATAATGCAGTGTAGTGCTAACCGCTATACCACCACTCCCCACATGTATATACACAAAGGTCGCAATGGGCCAAGTCTTAAAGCCTGCACAGTACCCAAGGGGATGGTGTGTCCAGCAAGATGTCCAGCCCAGGACCGGTTCAGATAATCGTCACAAGTATTGGCTGTAAGCAGGAATCGAACCCTGGTTGCTGGATTTGTAGTGCAGCGAGCTAACCACTCCACTACCGCTCCCAATATACCCACACACGCAAATATAGCAGGCTGGAGATGGTGTTCGTTTGGGGGACACTCGGAGTGGGGGCGAGGCCGGTACCTGTAGCGCTGCAGAGTCATGCACATCAGCCGGCATACAGCCTTGACAGCCGCTTCTGGCAGCCCTGCACATACACACAAAGGAATGGGTTAGAGTTAGGGACATGGGTTAGAGTTCGGGATAGGGATTATAGTTAGGGATTAGAGTTTGGGGTTACAGGTAGGGAATAGGAGTAGTGGTTAGGATATGTGTAGAAGTTGAGTTTTGAAGTTGGGGTTAGAGTTAGGAGTAGGGTTAGCGATTAGTGTAATGGGTTAGAGTTGGGAAAAGGGTTTAGATTTTGGGGTTAGAGTTAGTAGGGTTATGGCTCGCGGTTACAGTAAGTGGTTAGAGTTAAGAGTCATGGGTAAGAGTTATAGTTGATGGCTAGAGTTAGAGGTAGGTTGGGTCATCACCCCATCGAGCGACGTGTTACCGGATGTCTGTAACCTGCGTTCGCTCTCAAACCCACGTGCTCCTTTCTCCGTCTCTCAATGCAAGCATGCGACCACCCTTGCTTGTTTGAGCATTTTTCAGTTTTTGTTCCATTATCTTCTTTAATATACACGTTTCCGATCCGTACATCATAGCAGGTGGTGCACGTGGATTAGCAACTCTCCTTTCTCTAGGCTCACCTCTACGTTGCTTTTGAATATCAATATTATCTTTCCATAAGCATTTCAATCTCATCTGATCCATCTCTTAATGTCATCCTTTTCATTCCGGCCTGCTTTCGGGAGCTGTCCAAGATACACAACATATTCGACTGTGCTTTGCAGTTATAACTTATTATTTAGTACATCCGGTATTTGTGCCATTAATACGGCGCAGGGCAACCACGAAGGCACTGCTGTGTAATCTCAAATGAGTATTTTTTTGCGGCGTAACGTTTTAGTTTTAAAAGATCTGGACGACTCCATCACAGCCATGGCCGATTGGGATGACGTTTCCAGAGATTTTTAACGTCCGCTTTAAATCAGACGGCTCGTGTTTAATGTTTAATACACTTGCGGTAAAAAACGAGGGCGACCCCAATTCAAACCACAAACCTCCGCAACAAGTGGTGAATGCGCTACCCGTCCACCACACACACACCCCACACACACACACCGCACACACAGAGCCCACACACCCACACACACCCCAGAGCCCCCACATACAACCTACACACACCCATCCCTACAAACACACCCCTAAACCCCCCCCACACACACCCACCACTCGCACACATTCCACACACACCCCACAAAACTCCCACCGACACACTCAAAAAGACAAATATCCCCCGTATAACCTGAACGTAGTTGAAGCAAGTGCTGTTAGCGAGCACCTATGAAGGCCGGAATGGCACACAAGGGGGTTGGTGGAAAGCACCACGCCCGGCCGCCTTCGTCTCCCCAGTGGTGATGTTTAGACACCGCACCAGGTACTCATTTGAGGATGAGTCGATCTGGGGGAGGCCCAAGACCGGTTCTGATAATTGTCACTGGTGTTGGCCGTGATTGGAAATCGAACTCGGGTCACCGGGTTCGTAGCACATCGCTCCACACGCACACACACCGGCGTTGCACAGGCAGGGTCTCAGCTCGGTGAATGTGGCCTCCCGGTCTCGCACGCTGGCGCTCGTCACGCGGGACGCGAGCCTCCTCACCGCCTCCACGCCCTGCAGCCACAGAGAGAGAGGTCGAGCATCACTTACACCACTCGCTCCATTGTTACCACCAAAGACAAAGATCCCACGTAAAGGCCGAACGGACTTTTGGGGCATGTGCTGTTAATGAGCGCCTATGAAGGCCGGTGCGGCACACGAGGGGGTGGGTGGCCAGCACCACGCCCGGCCGCATTCATCTCCCCAGTGGCGATGTTTACTACACACTGCACCAGGTACTCATGAGGCCGAGTCGACCTAGGGGAGGCCCAGCGCCGGTTCAGATAATCGTCACTGGTGTTGGTGGCCATGAGCGGGACTCGAACTCAGTTGGCTAGGTTTGGTCGAGCACTACGATACTTCCATCTTTCAACATCAATATTATCAATACATCACCACCACCTTGATCACCACCATCACCACCACCAGAATCCTCATGATCACCAATCACCACCAATCTCATAACCAGTCTCTATTACCACGATTGTGACCAAAATCATAATCGTCTTCACGAACATCCTTACCACCACCACCCCATCATTAACAACACCATCATCACTCCCACCACAACAATCCCAAACACCATAACCATCACCAGCAGCACCATTGCCTGAATCCCCAGCGCTACCTTTACACCCAACAACACCACGACCATAAGGTTACCACCACCATTACGCTAAACATGACCATTTCCATCATCATTCTCACTACCAACACCAATAGCCGCCATTCGCCACTACGGCACCTGTACCAGGCTCGGTTCACTGAGGCCACGTGCATTTTCGAAGGCTCACTTACAGGTCACGGGACACACCCAGGTGCCATGGGTTGACTGAGATCACTACTGATTCATGCACCTCCTGTGCCCCCTATTGTGCCAACTTGTTGAATTGTAGCCCCCGGGGCTCCGCTGGATGTGAGCGTCGCTCGTCCGCCCTCCGTTGTTGTTGGAGGGCGACTGCCTCCAACTGCCCAGTAGAAGCAGCGTCCTTCACGAGCCTACTCCACAGAGGCCGATTTTTGGCAACGCTGGTACCAGTCATTGGCAAGTCCAGTCCCACATCGCCACAATTCCCCTCACAACCAGTACCAACATCACCACAATTCCCCTCACAACCAGCACCAACATCACCAAAATTCCCCTCACAACCAGTACCAACATCACCACAATTCCCCTCACAACCAGTACCAGCATCACAACAATTCCCCTCACAACCAGTACCAACATCACCACAATTCCCCTCACAACCAGTACCAACATCACCACGATTCCCCTCAAAACCAGTACCAACATCACCACAATTCCCCTCGCAACCAGTACCAACATCACCACAATTCCCCTCACAACCAGTACCAACATCACCACAATTCCCCTCACAACCAGTACCAACATTACCACCAACTTTCATTATCGCCAGCGGCATCCACACCACCAGTAGGCCCATTCCTATCATTATCACCATCGCCGTAATCCTCAACATCACCATCAACATTCACACCACTCTCAAGATTCCTCTCATCAGCAGTAGTATCACCACCATCATTTTAAACCACGTCCATGATCACCATCATGCTCACGATGATCGCCACCACGATTCTCCTCACCACGGTTATAATCACCACCACCAATCCACTCATCACCAATACCATCACCACCGTGATATTCCCCACCACCAACCCCATCACCACTACCAGCACCAACGATTCCTCTCACCACCAGTACCATCACCATTATATTCCATCACCACCAGTAACCATCACCACCACTACCATTATCACCATCCCCCTCACCATCACATTCCCTATCGCCACCAAAAACATCACAAAAGACAGAGATCCCCCGTATAGCCTTAACAAACTGTTGGGGAAAGTTCTGTTAGCAAGCACCTATAAGCATTACCACCATAACGACCACCTCACCACCAGCACCGGCATCACATTTCCCATCACCACCAGCACTCCAACAATCATCATCATCACCATCACGGAAAGCAAGGAGTCGCAGCAGCAACGCCACAATTGAAACAGAGACCTGTGGGTCTGCCATGCTGTCTCTGTCCAACCGCGCAGCTGGAGGAAGGGGGCAGGAGTCTCTTTAAGAGCAGAAATGTTTAAAGCGAGTTGCAAAAATCAGGGGGTGGTGGTGGTGGTGGTGCGGGGTAATGTCAGGAGCAGCAGCAGCGTCGGCGGCGGCTGGGGCCGCGTGGAGGTAAGAGGAGGAGCCGTAGGCCGAGGCGAAGTGGTGCGCGGCGGGGCCCGGAGAGCCTCTGCGACCACGTGCCGGGGGCTGCCTCCACGCCGCCGCCGCCTCCACGGCGCGCGTCATTGCCGCGCGACCCGCGCCCGACTCGACACGGGCCGTCGCCGCCATCTTTGTACGGGGTAGACAAAACCACGTGACACACTGTACAGCGCCAGGATGTCGTTTCGCAACTACGTCGTCACAAACTGAATTACGTCGTATCGCAACTACGTCGTCACAAACTGAATTACGTCGTTTCGCAACTACGTCGTCACAAACTGAATTACGTCGTTTCGCAACTACGTCGTCACAAACTGAATTACGTCGTATCGCAACTACGTCGTCACAAACTGAATTACATCGCCTCAATCCATCACAAATGAAAGCTCAACGAAGTGCCGGCTTATCACGTAGACATTTATAGCAGCAGCCAAATACTCTAAGGGGCCGTCCATAAATGACGTCACGCGATTTTGGACGATTTTTGACCCACGCCTCGTCACACGGCGTCACAAAAAATCAGACCCCCCCTCAAATATGACGTCACAAAGCTCTGCCCCCCCCCCCCAAATTAAACATGCTTCAAATCGCTTTAAACGATCGTCATTGTAGTGCGTATTTAATGTGGCGCTGCACTCTGATGTTGGAGGAGGAAACATTTATTAAAAAGTATATTTAATTAAGTAGAACGTGTTGTCTATATTTAAATTTGCGCATTTTGATGTGACGTCACATTTCTCACCCCCCCCCCTCGTCACACATCGTCACAAATGTCTGACCCACCCCCTAGGTGCGTGACGTCATTTATGGACGGCCCCTAAACGCGTGGTGGTGTTGATTCTAAATGTGGAGGGGAAAACCAGAGGACCTGGAGAAAAAAACACGCGACCACGGGAAGGGAGAGTGACGCAAACTCCAAATATTGACAGCAGCAGTAGCAGCGGCAGCAGTAGCAGCAGGAGCAGCAGTAGTAGCAGCAGCAGGAGCAGCAGCAGGAGCAGCAGTAGTAGCAGCAGCAGTAGTAGCAGCAGGAGCAGCAGCAGTAGCAGCGGCAGCAGTAGCAGCAGGAGCAGCAGTAGTAGCAGCAGCAGGAGCAGCAGCAGGAGCAGCAGTAGTAGCAGCAGCAGTAGTAGCAGGAGCAGCAGCAGCAGTAGCAGCAGTAGTAGCAGCAGTAGCAGCAGCAGGAGCAGCAGTAGTAGCAGCAGCAGTAGCAGCAGCAGCAGGCGTCGTCAGGGTCGGGATGCAAACAAAGGTGCTTTGATAACGCGTTTCACCACAAGCATGTGTGGTAAATACAGCCCTGAACAGTCGTTTGGGGTAAGCAGTAGCCAAAGTAGTGTTTCAGGTATAAACTACAACAGGAATTGCGCTGATACAAATCGTCGATGATAAGATGAACTCTGTTCTGTCTCCGCATATTAATACAAAAACATGTTTCGTCCATAAGCCTCTGTTTTGACTTTCCTGAAACAAATTGCTGTCAGATGTTTCATGAACTCAAATCGTTGTATTCCTATTTAAGAAATGCGTTTACACAGTTGCAGTGCGCGCGTTTGTGTTGCATCCCTTCTCAATGCTGTCACAAATTTACCACGAATTTATCACAAATTTATCACGATTTATCACAAATTTATCACAATCACAAATTTATCACGAATTTATCACAATTTATCGCAAATTTATCACGAATTTATCACAATTTATCACAAATTTATCACGAATTTATCACAAATTTATCACGAATTTATCACAATTTATCACAATTTCGCTGCCAGAAATGGGAACGGACCTCCCTTTAATGTTGCGACCCCTGCTATGTATCGTTCGGGCGTGGTGCAGGCCAGGTAAGGCCCACTGAATTATGTAGCTCTTTTTCAGAAGCGACCTGGCCACTTCAACGAAGTGGCTGATGTGGACATTTATAGCAGCAAAGTAATCTAAACGCACGGTTCTAAATGTGGAGGGGAAAACCAGAGGACCCGGTAAAAAATCCACCCGACCACGGAAAAACATGTAAACTCCAAATATACAGCAGCAGCAGGCGTCAGGGTCGGGATCGAGCCCACGACCTTCTGTATACGAGGCGAGGTAGTTAACATTTTGCCACCGTGGTGGGGGGGGGGGCCTTTGTCTCACGCATTTGCCCATTCACTCCCTGCGTGTGAACACCAAACTGCACTCCCAGCATAACCAGCGGTGGCGCTAGGCTCAAGCAAAGCAAGCACAGCGGAATGTCTCAAAGGGTTCAAGGGGTTCCCAATTAACGAAATTATTGAGGGTGCATTAAACATCAACTCGAATTCAATTAGAATGAACACGATGAGCTAATTAACAATTAACCTCTCTAATCTCTATCGCGTCTGCATTTCTTACCTCTTATTTCACTGTACCTATACACTTGCCTAATCGGAGGTGCAGGGGAAAGACAACAAACTAAACACGAAAAGATGTTCTACAGAAATTAGTTTTCAATGCAGATTTAAAAGTGTATGTGTGTGTGTTATAGGCACACAAACTAAACAAAACGATGCCCCGTGCGGGCTTTAACAGACTTGGGAAAAGTGCTGTTAGCGAGTAGCAGCACCTATGATGGGGTGGGTGGCCAGCACCACGCCCGGCCGCCTTTGTCTCCCCAGTGGTGATGTTTACACAACACCAGGTACTCATTTGAGGCTGAGTTGACCTAGGGGAGGCCCATGACCTGTTCAGATAATAAATGGTGTTGGCCGTGAGCTGGAATCCAACTCAGGTCGCCGGGTTCACAGCACAGCGCGCAATCCGTGCGATATATTTGATATCAAACACACACCATGCACGTGTTAAATGTACCCACACACATGTTATATGTACACACACACGCAGACCTCACACGTGTGTGCAGGGCTGGCCTGGGATGGTTGAGGTGAGGGGGTTGAAGATGCTGGTTCGTGCCCATGAGCTCGTGGTGGTGAGGAGTGGTGTGACGGTGGGTTGTTGTGTGGGTGTATGTTGGCTCACGGCCAGAGACGATTAGTATCTATATCGGTCCTGGGCCTCCCCTAGGTCAACTCAGCCTCAAATTAGTACCTGGTGCGATGTATAAACATCGCCACTCGGGAGACAAAGGCGGCCAGGCGTGGTGCTGGCCACCCACCCCCTCGTGTGCCGTGCCGGTCTTCATAGGAGCTACTCGCTAACCGCACTTGCCCGAACAGTCTGTAAAGGCTACACGGGGGGGTCTTTGTCTTTGTTAAGCTGTAGATAGCTTCCTCACAGCTCCGGATTTCATGGATTTAAGTTCATAATCTCCTTGCGTGCCCACGACAACCGTGGCTCTTCACGAGTAAGCTCCGGTGAGTCTGACACAGTCGCGACACTGCTGCTGCGTTGCTGTGTCACTGACACTTGCCTGTGGGCGCGTGGAGGTGCTACGACCCACTCTCGAACAGCACTTGCCCCAACAATCTGTTGAGGCTACACGGGGGATCTTTGTCCTGTTTGTCTGTGTAGGTCAGGTGACATTTGGTGTGGAGCTATGCTTCAAACCTCGCTCAAGATCAGTAACCAGTGGCGAATATTTGAACCGATTCTGGGCCTCCCCTAAGTTGACTCAGCCTCAAACGAGTAGCTGGTGCGGTGTGTAAACATCGCCACTGGGGAGACAAAGGCGGCCGGGCGTGGTGTTGGCCACCCACCCCCCCGTGTGCCCTTAATATGCTCTACTCGCTAACAGCACTTGCCCCAACAGTCTGTTAAGGCTACACGGGGGACCTTTTTCTCTGTTTGCTACCGCTAACTGTGTTGAATTTTGTCACAGGATGCTGCACTGTTTGGTGATAGACCCCCGTGCTGTTCTGCGGGAGATGTCCGGGTTTGGGGTGCTTTTGAAAAGGTGCCAAATTGCCCTGTGTGTGTGTTGGACGTGTTTCGCACCATCTGTAGACAGGCGTGCTGCTGATCGGAGGTGTGCTTGCGTTGCCATGATATAATATTCCACGATCGGATAGAGATATTAACGATCGCGGTATCCGTTTCCATTATTTTTCTGTCATTGTATGTTAGCATCCCGATCTTATTGTTTGTGTGCTCCGACGTGCGGGACTTCGAGTACAAGTAAATAATTAGATAATAGTCACCTTAATATATCGCTCTATTCACGTCAACCTACCAGCCGCTGTGCGTTCTGGTAGTGCTTCATTTCAAGAGCAGCATTGATTTAAGACGAGTAAAACTCTGGACGGGTTTTCACATTCAGTGTCTCATCAGCAAGCCTGACCGCTGATCAGTCATAGTGTGTCGAAATCGATCCAAGGTTTTGCTTGACTTGAATTTATGCTGATGGAATATGTACAAAATTGTGTTATGTTGGATGTGGAGACAGATGTGTGGAGACCAATCTTGTTATTTATATTCTCATAAACAACTCTGATGATGACACTGTGTAACACACATTTTTTTGTTCGTGGGTAGTAAGTGTTATTTCCTAATTGCCTCAAAAGTACAGAAAACGGCTATTATTCCCCACAAACTTTGCTTTTTGTGACTAGGACAGTGAAGAACTACGGCACAATGGGCTGTAGGAGGCCTGCACGTCGCCTCGTGCCTCGTGGACACAGAATCACTGTGCAGGGTGCCCACTCGGTGGACGATTTCTACATATTGTTCAGAGGACTGCACTGTACTGCAATTGCCAAAAGCTTCCAAAAGTCAGACTGGAGCAGATTATCCAAGATTCCAAGCGTGGCGACTCCCTCCTTATATTTTAAGGGTAGCGCTGCGCTGCGCTACGAACCCGGCGACCCGATTTCGATTATCCGAATCTGTCCTGGGCCTCCCCGAGGTCGGCTCAGCCTCAAATGAGTATCTGGTGCGGTGTGTAAACATCGCCACTTGGGAGATAGAGGCGGTCAAACGTGATGCTGGCCACCCACCCCGTACTCGTGTGCCGTGCCAGCCGTCATAGCGGCTCGCTAACTGCACTTGCCACAACAGTCTGTTACAGGCTACACGGGGGAACTTTGTCTATATTGGTGGGGAGCGGTGGCGCAGCGGGTTAGCATCCTGTGCTGTGAACCCGGCGACCAACATCAATGGCGAATATCTGAACCGGTCCCGGGCTCCCCTTGGGTAAACTCGACCTAAAATTAGTAATTCTGGTTTGGTATGTAAACATCAGTACTGGGGGAGACAAAGACGGCTGGGAGTGGGTTGGCCACACCGCGCGCCCAGCGTGGGGCGCCACGGTGGCGAGATGTTAACTACCTCGTCTGGTCTACAGGAGGTCGTGAGTTCGATCCCTAGATGTTAACTACCTCGCCTGGTATACAGGAGGTCGTGAGTTCGATCCCGAGATGTTAACTACCTCCCCTGGTCTACAGGAGGTCGTGAGTTCGATCCCTAGATGTTAACTACCTCGCCTGGTATACAGGAGGTCGTGAGTTCGATCCCTAGATGTTAACTACCTCGTCTGGTCTACAGGAGGTCGTGAGTTCGATCCCGAGATGTTAACTACCTCGCTTGGTCTACAGGAGGTCGTGAGTTCGATCCCTAGATGTTAACTATCTCGCCTGGTATACAGGAGGTCGTGAGTTCGATCCCGAGATGTTAACTCCCTCGCCTGGTCTACAGGAGGTCGTGAGTTCGATCCCGAGATGTTAACTACCTCGCCTGGTATACAGGAGGTCATGAGTTCGATCCCTAGATGTTAACTACCTCGTCTGGTATACAGGAGGTCGTGAGTTTGATCCCTAGATGTTAACTACCTCGTCTGGTCTGCAGGAGGTCGTGAGTTCGATCCCGAGATGTTAACTACCTCGTCTGCTATACAGGAGGTCGTGAGTTCGATTCCTAGATGTTAACTACCTCCCCTGGTATACAGGAGGTCGTGAGTTTGATCCCGAGATGTTAACTACCTCGTCTGGTATACAGGAGGTCGTGAGTTCGATTCCTAGATGTTAACTACCTCCCCTGGTATACAGGAGGTCGTGAGTTTGATCCCGAGATGTTAACTACCTCCCCTGGTCTACAGGAGGTCGTGAGTTCGATCCCTAGATGTTAACTACCTCGTCTGGTATACAGGAGGTCGTGAGTTCGATCCCGATATGTTAACTACCTCGCCTGGTATACAGGAGGTCGTGAGTTCGATCCCTAGATGTTAACTAACTCGTCTGGTATACAGGAGGTCGTGAGTTCGATCCCTAGATGTTAACTACCTCGCCTGGTATACAGGAAGTCGTGAGTTCGATCCCGACCCTGACGCCTTCTGTATATTTTAAGTTTGCGTCTCTCTCCCGGTGGTCGCGTAGATTTTTCTCCAGATCCTCCGGTTTCCCCCTCCACATTTACAATCATGCTTTTCGAGTAATTGGTTGCTATAAACTTGCACGTGATAAGCCACTTCGTTGAGCTATCATTTGTGGCCAGGTCGCTTCTGAAAAAGCTCAGTGGGCCTTTCCTGGTAAAATAAAAATACAAATTATCGTTCGCTGTGGTAGTAGCTTAATAGGTGCGGACAGTGTGCGTTGTACGATGTTTGCCCTTCTGCAGAGCCTCATGGGATTAATTCCACAATTCCTACACTCGACGTGTGAACCTTAATGCTTGGAGGGGAACCCACCCACCCACCCACACCCTCTCGCCCCTTCCCTTTCCTGCTGACGCTTGCGTTAAGGAAGCATCAAAGGCGCGGGCGCCTTTCCTGTTTCGAAGAAGCACGTAACAGCAGCTCATGTCGGATACACACCCTGTCACTACCAGGACTCCCCACCCACAGCTCACTCACACACGCACACACACATTATCTTACGCACCCACCCACCCATACCCATTCACACAGCTTCCCACCAACACACACACACATCCACTCACATGCATCCACATATACATCCACTCACCTAGACACCGAATAACTCACCCACCTAGCCATCCAAGCTCACACCTGCCCATCCACTCACTCCCATCGACTTGCAACATACAAATATCCGCTAACCGACACATAAACTCTCCCACACACTCGGCACACATCCAACCACTCACTCACCAACCAGCTACTCACGCACACACCACTCACCCGCTCACTCACCCACCCTCACTCACCCAACCAGTTACTCACGCACACACCCACTAACTCACCCAATCAGCCACTCATGCACACAACCACGAACCCGTTCACTCACCCACCCAGCCAGCAATCTGTCAATCCCTCCGCGCTCCACACAACGCCCTGAGTTGCCTCCTAGACAACCGCTCTCCATTGCTCCCTGCGGACTCCGCTGGCGCGTCGCGAATGTCCTAGGTAAGGATTCGCGTTTCCCAGACAGAGGTCGCGCTCTGGGCCCGAGTGGCTTCATGTGCAGATGTGAACTACCTCGCCTGATATACAGGAGGTCATCGGATCGATCCCCACCTGACGCCTGTATATTTGAAGTTTGCGTGTCTCTCTCTCTTCCCGTGGTGGCGTGGATTTTTCTCCGGGTCCTCCGGTTTTCGCCTCCACATTTGGAATCAACATCACCACGCGTTTAGAGTGTTTGGCTGCGATAAATTCCCACGTGATAAGCAAATTCGTTCGGCTATCATTTGTGGCCAGGTTGCTTTTAGAAAAATAACTATATAGCGAAGTGGGGCCTTAACTGGTAAAATACGTTTTATAAGTTTAGTTTAAGACATAGTTTAATTCCAGCGCGTGCTGCTGTTGCACGAGTGTCAACTGCTGCCTCTGCGTCTCAGTTAATATCAATGCCTGGGAACTTTTCGTCAGTACAAAGAATTTGAATGATATAAAAATGAGAATACTGTATGCTGTATGCTTTCTAGCATAAATATAGGAGGTGTTAGGATGTTCAAACACCAAGTCGTCAAGTCTGCATTAACCACAGACGCACTTGCGTATTTCCTCACCACAGGTGTACAGGTGGTGAATGCAGACGTCATGCCTTGCAATGTGCGTCTGCTTGGTTTGTGGACATCTTAACATCACCTGTGTTTATGTCTGACACGGTATATTACTTTTTTTGGTGAAGACAAATCGTGTTGCGTTTATTGCTGCAGATATTTCTACAGACTGTATATGTGCACCTAACCGGAAACCAGGTTTTACCGGTTTTTTCATGCGGTTACCGGTTATACAACAGAGGATTCTAACAATCCAAGAGGCTGCGAGTTATTCTGCTCGCTTGCGCGTTGTCCACGGTGACGTAATGGCCAGCGCAGTGGACTTGCAATCCTACCCACGCATCATGGTGTGTTTAATTTATCTGTGTCAACGTTCATGCCAGTTGCATCCCACAATTGCTGAGGTGGAACCACGGACAAGAGCTGCAAAGCTGTCAGCCGGTGAGCCGACACTACCAAATATTGCTCTGCAGTTCTCTATATATTAAGATGTTCTCAACCTATTAGTGAGTCTTTACTATTCGTGTAGGAAGTATCCACGCATGCGAGCGGGCAACACGCTATCCAGAAGGGACAGAGTATATCAGTCCACGCTCGACGCCGCGGTGGCTAGGAGATGTTAACTACATCGCCTGGTGTACAGGAGGTCGTGGGTTTCATCCCGACCCTGACGCCTGAATATTTGCAGTTTGCGTGTCTCTCTTCTCGTGGCCGCGTGGATTTTCTCCGGGTCCTCCGGTTTCCCCTCCACATTTAGAATTCACATCACTCGTTTAGAGTAGTTGGCTGCTGCTTTACATTTCCACGTGATAAGCCACTTCGGTGAGCAAACAGTTGTGGCCAGGTCGCTTCTGAAAAAGAGCTGCATAGTTGAGTGACCCTTACCTGCTAAGTTAAAACAAAACATTAGAAAGTTTCTCTTAGTTTCATAGTTTGCTGTACCACCTTCTCCAGACGAGTCGGGGTACACGGGAAGGGAGTTTCGCAACATCTGTGTGTGATCCACCAACCCCCGCTGTTGCTGCTGCCTCCACGGCGCTGGATTACAATCCAGAGGTCGCTGGTTGCATTCGGTCGCCCGGCTCGGCAATTGAGACACTGGGCCAAGTTTCTAAACCCCACCTCCCCCACCTCCCCCTCCCACGTCTCTGTCCTCCGAGCTGAATAAATGAGAGCGACCACAGTCGACCGGCAGATTGCGCATGGTGGGGTAAAGTGTGGGTACTGCCACCTCTTCCTAGACTCTTGGTCAGAGTGGAAGAGTAGGCCAAGCACCACTCTAGAGAACGCTCTCGGGAGCTCCCTATAGCGAGGGGCCCCTTACCGCTCGCAGAGGCGTGAGCAAGAAATTGCAGGGCTGCGCCTGTGCCCTTTACTCGGGTGTGTAAACTGACTGTGCGTGTCTCTCGCCCTTGCTCTGTCCCCATTGCAACTCCCGACTGCTCGCTTCCAAGATTGAAGTCCCCCGGAGCGCGGCTCCCCCCGCCCCATGGCGCGGAGCCCCATCCCGGAGCGCCTCGTGGAGCGGCTCCTTCTGCCTGGGACCGGGGAGGCGATGCCGGGGTCGCCCGGGCAACGCGAGCGCACGGTGACGACGCCGCGTGTGTTGTGTGTGTGTGTTGTTGTGTGTGTGTGTTGTTGCTGCGTGTGTATGTTGTTGTTGTGCGTGTATGTTGTTGTTGTGTGTGGAGCGGTGGTGCAGCGGTTAGCGCTACGCTGCGCTACGAACCCGGCGACCCAAGTTTGATTCCTGCTCACGGCCACCAACACCAGCGACGATTATCATTAACGGTCTTGGGCCTCCCCTAGGTCGCCTCAAATGAGTAGCTGGTGCGGTGTGTAAACATCGCCACTGGGGAGACAAAGACAGCCGAGCGTGCTGGCCACCCACCTTCTCGTGTACTGTGCCGGTCTTCATAGGTGCTCGCTCACAGCACTTATCCCAACACTCTGTTAAGGCTATAAGGAGGGGGATCTTTGTCTTTGTATGAGAGTGTGTATGTGAAAAGTGTAAAACAGTCAATCCATCCTGAGTTTAACCAGACTGGAATGTATGAGGAGCTCAGATCCTGGACTGTCGGCTTTCAACAACCGTGAATGAGCGATGTTTACAACAATGAGCAGATTGCCGGGCACATAAAATGCAGCGAATTGTCACAGTGAGGAGTACAGATGGTGCACCTGGTTCTGTCCAGTGACGAGCTTTCAACACTTCACGTGGTCTCATAGTGCCCCTAGCCTGGCATAGGCGCTGTGTCGACGTCACCGCCATTTAGTGGTGAATGGCCGCTGTGTAACGAGCCCATGATGTCCTTGACATCAGGATCGAGAGTAGAAGGGATCTGTCCAATGCCCGTTGGCTGGTGGTCTGTAACGTGCACCCTGTGTAGTTGTCTTGCTGTGGTATTGGGCATCCACGCCATTCAATCTTCCAATAGCCTGGGTCTCAGTGGCCTCTTTAAGCTTACATTGCAATAATGCGTGTCTCGTGTGCAGCTTCAGAGACGTGATGATATGATTATGATCATTACCATATCATTATCACGCAAATATGTGCGGTGACGTCACCACCTGCAGAGCAGCCAGCCAGCCAACAAAACTTTTTTTAAAATATAGAATTACATACATGTGCACAATCTGACAGCCACGTGTCTCACTTCACGCTCTGCCACACGTGTGTGTGAGGTGTGTCTGTAAAGTTGCGTTGTCCACCTCGCCTTGTCCACAACTCCAACACATCGTTCCGAGCTTCCCTGCCCATCCTCACTCTCTTGTCTCCATCACCGCTGTTGCTCTCCCACCATGCATTTAAGGATTTAAAGTAATCATGTTCCATATATAATTTTACTTACGTATGTTTCATGTATATTTGTATAAGGGCACATGTTGTGACACTAATAGTGGGATGCACTCTATTTATAATAGCATTCATTGGCACAGGGAATAGCTACACTCTGGTCAGGAGAGTTAAGAGGCTGCCTGACCAACGACGCTGAGGAGGTGAAGACGGTGACAAAGACTCCTGTAGCACGACGGTTCCACTCCAAACAACAGCCGCCAACCTTGCTCGGAGTCCCCCTTTAATCCACCCAGCATGGCCTCGCTCCGCCCTCGGCCACGCCCCCCTTCCAGGACCTACCTGAAGGTTCTCGGCTCTACCCCACGTGCCCCCTCTGTCACCTTTGTCCCACTTCCCTCTCTCCGGCTTGTCACGTGACCCGCTGACAGACGGGGCTGCTACAACAGCAGAGATCCCCTTCTCTGCCAGCAACCAGCGCTAGGCGCCACAGTGACCCATTCCATGTCACTACAGTTATAAAACTATGTGATGTGTCTAAGTGTACATATGTGCATACATTACGCACATATCCAATTGGTTACGTTTCAGAGTGTTTATATGTGTGTACCTACTTGGTGTTTATTCATATGGGCGTATTGCGGTGCAAATTAATTACATACATATACACTGAAGCTTTTGAGTCCACCTTATTTAAATGTTAACTTGTAATACTTGGGCTTTAGCTGCGTGTGTACTGCTGGTGCGCGTGTGGACACATTCACCTGTGCAATTACTTGTCGACGTGTGGACACGTACGCGCGTGTGTTTACACACCAGCCTACTTGTGTATGTGTTCACACGTGCACCTGTGTATGCGCTTTCGCATGTGTGTACACGCTCACTTGTCACATGCATACACACGTGCACTTGTGAATGTGTGTACACATGTCCTTGTGTATCAAATGTACACACACTCACACATGCTCACACACATTCACTGACAAACACTGAAACTCATATAGAACACAGGAGAGGAGGAAGTCCTCGTTCGAGATTCCTCTACCCTAGCTCGCCTCGTCTCCCCAGCACTCAAAGTTCCGACACCACCCCTGACCCTGCCCCCAAAACCCACCCAGACCCTGCCCCCAAAACCCACCCAGACCCTGCCCCCAAAACCCACCCAGACCCTGCCCCCAAAACCCACCCAAAGCCTGCCCCCAAAACCCACCCAAAGCCTGCCCCCAAAACCCACCCAAAGCCTGCCCCCAAAACCCACCCAGACCCTGCCCCTAAAACCCACCCAGAGCCTGCCCCCCAAACCCACCCAGACCGTACCCCCAGTCCCGGCCCTGCCCCCGAAGGTGCTGCCTCTGGGCAGGCGGTTCCGTCTCATCGGGGCAGACTCCGGGTGCGGAGTGGAGGGCGAGGAGGCAGGGGACGCCCTCTACTCCACGGTGCGCGGGTTCCGCCGGCCGCTCCCTCGCGTTCCGCCCGCTCGGCAGGTGCGACCCGGCACGGCGTGGGCCGTCGTTCGTCGTTACTCCCGCGGTGGGGGGGACCCTCGGGACTCGGTGGCTCAAGGGATTAGGGGTGGTCATAATGGGCGTGTCGGGGACACTTAAACAGTATTTGTGGGGCACCACGGTGGCAAGGTGTTAACGACTTCGCCTGGTATACAGGAAGCCGTGGGTTTGATCCCGACCCTCCCCATGATCGTGTGGATTTTTCTCTGGGTCCTCCGGTTTTCCTCTCCACATTTAGAATAAAAATGTGTTTAGAATATTTCGCTACTGCTATTAATTTCCACGTGATAAGCCGCCACTTTGTTGAGATATAATTTGTGAAAGCCAGGTCGCTTCTGAAAAAGAGCTACACAGCTCTGCGGGCCTTACCTGGTAAAATAAAAATGGTTTAGTTTCGTATTTCTTGTGCACGTGCAGCCCTCATGTCGATCCGCTGCTGAACGAGGAGTGCCTTCTCACGCCGTGCAGGTCACGGGGGGGGATGGGTAATTTACGACCATACTTCACCACGTTGGTCACTACGGCAAATGGGTATTGGTCAGTACAGGTTGGCGAAGGCAGGGATGCAGACACGGGCAGCATAGACGTACCGCCCAACAATGGATTTTGCTGCCATCCACCGTGATGACCCAGTACACCATGGACCCACAGTGGAGTCCCATAATACTCGCCCTATAGTACTTCTCTTTTCTTATGGAGTTTGGAAAGAAAGCAACAGCGGGGCTACGATTGTATTGTTCATATTGTAAACCGATCCACAGCATCCGGGGTGGTAGTTGAGTGAAGTAGTGCGGGGGAAGGGCAACAAACTGAACACCAAGAGCAGTTCTAAATAATTCGTTTTCATTTTAACTTAAAACTTTCGTTACTGCAGGAATTCATATTCTTTGGTTCTTTCGGTAAAGCCACGTAGATAGAAAAATATTATAATAAAAAGGAAAGTTAATACAAATTATAGAAATGTAATTTTAAAAAATCCACGACGTTTCGATCGTAACACAAGCGGTCGTCATCAGGCTAACCTCCGTTTGCCTAATGACGACTGCTTGTGTTGCGATCGAAACGTCGTGGATTTTTATATATTTTTATTTTTTATATTTTTTAAACTTATTATTATGTTTTTTATATCTACTTGCCTTTACCGAAAGAACTAAAGAATATGAAATTAATTTAAAATTTTTGGAGGAAATATCCCGACAACTTCTCCAGTACCGTCACAATTTCCCACAGCTCACGTCCACAGTGGTTACTCTCCATACAAAAACAAAATTCTGCCTTGTCCCCCTGTGCTGACGCTCTGTTTCATCTTTCTCCCATGCCTATCCCACACTCCCCACGATGCATTGCATTTGGTGTGCTGCCTCTCACATGGACTTTTCCCCCCACCCCCCCACCCATCTGCCCTCGTGTGATTTTCCTACCAATGACAAATGTCATGTTTCCCGGACGCATGCGAATATAACAAACACGTGGTCAATCCTTGTCGTAATCCTCCTGCAACCGTAAAACCGATCCCCACGATGCATCGAGGGGCGACAGGCAACTCCCCCGGTTAAGGAAGAAGAGGAGCAAGGGGAGCGTGAAGAGAAAGAAGAGGAGGAGGCGGAGAAACAAGGGGAGGAAGAGGCCCACAGTGACCCAGAAGTGGTGGGCATCGCGGACCCTTGTGATGTCACAGGCCGTGCGACCTCCAAGCCGACCAATCGCGTGAGAGACGACGACAGCGGAGATGGCACGGGAGCGACCGCGAGGGCGACTCTGAGGGCAGCACGGCACGCGGCCCTGGCACTAGCGCCGAGCGCGGAAGACGCCGAGCTGCTGAGCCCCAGCGACGGGAGCCTCGCCTCACAGGGCAGCTCCCGGCCAAAGAGTCCCTGGGCAGTGTTCAATCCCTATGACACCCTGGAGGTATTTGGCTGGCAGTGTGTTTGTGTGTGTGTGATGAAGGCGGGGAGCGGTAGTGTAGCAGTTAGTATACTGGGTTATCAACCCGGCAACCCGAGTTCAATTCCCGCTTATGGCCACCAACACCAGTGACGATTATCTGAACCGGTCCTGGGACTCCCCTAGGTTGACTCGGCCTCAAATCAGTACCTAGTGTGGTGTGTAAATATGAGCACAAGGGAGACAAAGGTGACCGGGGGTGGTGCTGGCCACCCACTCCCTCGTGTGCTGTGCCGCCCTGCATAGGTGCTCGCTAGCAGCACCTTCGGCAACAATCTGTGAAACGGCTGCACGGGGAATCTTTGTCTTTGTGTCCCAGCCGGTAGGGTCGTGCACTTAGCTACGAACCTGGCATCCACAGTTCAATTCCTGGCCACGGAAAACAGCAGTGACGACTGCTGTATATCTATACCAGTTCTGGGCCTCCCCTAGGTCGACCCGGTCTTAAATAACTACCTGGTGCGGTGTGTAAAATTCAGCACTGGGGAGACAAAGACGGCTGGGCGTGGTGTTATCCACACCGCCTCTTCGTGCGCCGTGTCGTCCTTAATAAGTGCTTGCTAACAGCACTTGCCCCTAAAGCCTATGGAAATATAGGGGATGTTTGTATACGAGCCAATGGTATCAATTGTTAATGCGTTTCAGATGAGAAAAAAATCTGATTAAGGACTGATCATTTTTTCAAATGTTCGGATCATTTAACCGCAGTGATTCGTGATTTTGGGCAGGCACTGCCAATCGAGCTGAGGAGCTCAGTGCGCTGCAAGGTGCCCTTGAGGGCTCTCAATATTTGTATCGTACGTAGCCAACCGTGCTAATTAGAGGTGCAGGGGGAAGGACAACAAACTAAACACAAAAAGCAGTTCTAAAGAAATTAGTTTTCAATATAAGTGATTTAAAAGTGCATAGCCCCAGTGGATTCCTAATATCAGAAGGAAGTAATCGCAGTTGCCTCAAACTGCACCGATTCCAACCTCTTCTTCACCACCCATCCTCTTCGCTCCCCTCGCCTCTCCACTCCTTCCTGTGCCTCCCCTACCCTTTCACGACGCGGATGAACCTCTCTACGGCTAATTAGTCGTTTGTATCGACATGGCGATCTTGCTGCAGCCACTTGCATTGCGAGTGTGTGTTGGTGCGTCCTTGACACCTCACATTGGCGAGATGTTAACTACCTCGCCAGGTATGCAGGAGGTTGTGGGTTCAGTTCCGACCCTGACGCCTGTATATTTGGAGTTTGCATGTCTCTCTCCCCGTGGTAGCGTGGATTTTTCTCCAGGTCCTCCGGTTTTCCCCTCTACATTTAGAATCAACACCACACGTTTAGAGTATTTGGCTGATATAATTGTCCACATGATAAGCCACTTTGCTGCGCTATCATCTGTGATAGCCAGGTCGCTTCTGATAAAGAGCTATGTGGCTCAGTGGGCCTTTCCTGGTAAAATAAAAGTTTACTGTTAGTTTACCTTGTTTTGGTATTTTATTTCGATGCCCTCTTCTACACAGCCCCCGGGTGGAGGGCGACATTCATGGGGGGGGGGGGCGAGTCCTGACCGAGAGGAGGTGGGGGGGAGCCGGGAGATCGATTGCAGTGGAAAAGCAGAAAAAGGTCACCGCAACGATTCCCGATGCGATGGCGATCGTCACGCACTCTGCTACTGCGCCCTCCGCGTGCGTATTCGATGCCCAAGGGTCGAGGGCAATGGCTGCACTTCAAATATTGGAGAGAAACACAAACGCAATGCGTTCGTCAATAACACCGCTGTGTGTGGCCTTAAAAGTATTTCTATAAATAACGGGGGATGTTTCGAGCAATTATCTTATCGTGAATGATGGCTGCAGCAGCAGCGATGTGGTTCAGGAGCTCAGTGCCAATGTCGAGATCTACTGCTGCTGCTGCTGTCACGACGAGAGGGCTTGAGCAGGGAGAGAGTTCGTCTCCTGTTGCTGTCCTCCTGCTGCTGCTCCTACTGTCACGACGAGAGGGCTTGAGCAGGGAGAGAGTTTGTCTCCTGTTGCTGTCCTCCTCCTCCTGCTCCGTTGTAGGAGCGCAGACCGCAGTGGGTTTACTGTGGCGGTCGCTCGTGTGGGTGCCATGGGCACAGTCGCACTGCTGTGGCTTGTCTAGATAATGGCTCTCTGTGAGTCTCTATGTATCTCTGTGAGTCTCTATGTATCTCGGTGAGTCTCTATGGCTCTCTATGGATCTCTATGTATCTCTATTTGTCTCTATGTATCTTTATGGGTTTCTATGTATCTCTTTGGGTCTCTGGGTTTACTGTGCGGTCCATAGTGTGGGTTGCATGGCCAAAGTCGCACTGCTGTGGCTTGTCTATTTAACATATCTCTATGGGTCTCTGTGTATCTCTATGGGTCTCTATGGGTTTAATATGCGGAACCATGGCGTGGGTTGCATGACTACAGTCGAATTGCTGTGCGTGGTGTATATAATGTATCTCTATGGGTCTCTGTGTTTCTATGTATCTCTATGGGTCTCTGTGTATCTCTATGAGTTTGTTATGCGGGTCCATAGTTTGAGTTGCATGGCCACAGTCGCACTCCTTTGGTTTGTGTCTTTAATGTTGCATTCACAAAGGAGACGTGCGCATCGGCCTGCTGATGACGTTCCGATGAATTGGTCGATGGTTCAACCGTTGTCTTCAGCGGGGAATGTTACAGGCAAGAGGGGGTGCGCAATGATGTTTGGGTCTCGAATGAGTTCATTCTGGACTGAGGAGTTCATTCTGGAATGAGTTCAATCTGTACTGAGGAGTTCATTCTGGAATGAGGAGTTCATTCTGGAATGAGGAGTTCATTCTGGAATGAGTTCATTCTGGACTGAGGAGTTCATTCTGGAATGAGTTCATTCTGGAATGAGGAGTTCATTCTGGACTGAGGAGTTCATTCTGGACTGAGGAGTTCATTCTGGACTGAGGAGTTCATTCTGGAATGAGGAGTTCATTCTGGACTGAGGAGTTAATTCTGGACTGAGCAGTTCATTCTGGACTGATGAGTTCATTCTGGACTGAGGAGTTCATTCTGGACTGAGGAGTTCATTCTGGAATGAGGAGTTCATTCTGGACTGAGGAGTTCATTCTGGAATGAGGAGTTCATTCTGGACTGAGTTCATTCTGGACTGAGGAGTTCATTCTGGACTGAGGAGTTCATTCTGGACTGAGTTCATTCTGGACTGAGTTCATTCTGGAATGAGTTCATTCTGGGCTGAGGAGTTCATTCTGGAATGAGTTCATTCTGGACTGAGTTCATTCTGGACTGAGGAGTTCATTCTGGAATGAGTTCATTCTGGAATGAGTTCATTCTGGGCTGAGGAGTTCATTCTGGAATGAGGAGTTCATTCTGGACTGAGTTCATTCTGGACTGAGGAGTTCATTCTGGACTGAGCAGTTCATTCTGGAATGAGTTCATTCTGGGCTGAGGAGTTCATTCTGGAATGAGGAGTTCATTCTGGAATGAGGAGTTCATTCTGGACTGAGGAGTTCATTCTGGACTGAGGAGTTCATTCTGGAATGAGTTCATTCTGGACTGAGTTCATTCTGGAATGAGTTCATTCTGGGCTGAGGAGTTCATTCTGGAATGAGTTCATTCTGGACTGAGTTCATTCTGGACTGAGGAGTTCATTCTGGAATGAGTTCATTCTGGAATGAGTTCATTCTGGGCTGAGGAGTTCATTCTGGAATGAGGAGTTCATTCTGGACTGAGTTCATTCTGGACTGAGGAGTTCATTCTGGACTGAGCAGTTCATTCTGGAATGAGTTCATTCTGGGCTGAGGAGTTCATTCTGGAATGAGGAGTTCATTCTGGAATGAGGAGTTAATTCTGGACTGAGGAGTTCATTCTGGAATGAGGAGTTCATTCTGGAATGAGTTCATTCTGGACTGAGGAGTTCATTCTGGAATGAGGAGTTCATTCTGGAATGAGGAGTTCATTCTGGAATGAGGAGTTCATTCTGGAATGAGTTCATTCTGGACTGAGGAGTTCATTCTGGGCTGAGGAGTTCATTCTGGACTGAGGAGTTCATTCTGGACGTCCGCGTTGCTCCAATTGCAGTGGCCCTTCGGGATTCGGCCAGTTCTTCATCGAACAGAAAGAGAGATCCATGGATAGTAAGAGTTGGAGTAAATATTGTATAATCTAATGCAGGGTTTCATATTATTGGTTCTTTCGGTAAAGTCACGTAGAAGGGAAATAATAAAAATAAAACATAATAAAATCGGTTTTATCTGCATTATTTTATTATTTAATAAAATATTTTTATTTTTTTCCTTCTACGTGACTTTACCGAAAGAACCAAGAATATGAATCCCTGCAGTCACAAAAGCTTTAAATCGAAATCTAATGCAGGGTATTCACAACTCCAGTCCTCCTGGCGCTACCACCACCACCATGCTCCGTCTTTCCGCGTTTAACAATTTACTCCTCCCCATTCAAATACAACACAACTCGTCTCACGCTACACGCGCCTGATGATTGTTAAACACGCCCCATGTAACACGATAAGCAATTACCGCTGCTTTCGTTAAGAGAACCGATTCAAATTAAGATTGAGATCTCAGTGTGTGTACACGTGTTCCGCGTGTGTGTACACGTGTTCCGTGTGTGTGTACACGTGTTCCGCGTGTGTATATACGTGTTCCGCGTGTGTGTGTACATGTGTTCCATTTGTGTGTACATGTGTTCCACGTGACGCAGACAGCGGACAACGTTCAGAGACCCACAGTTCTTAGATAAACTATCTTAAATTAATTATGACGATAGCAATATAAATAAAAGATATTATGAATAGAAGTGAGGCTCAGAAAGTAAACAAAACTTTATCGAGGAGAACGGACCAAACCGGTAACAGTACAAATGGCGCGGCGAAACGTGGCCAATAATATTTGACTCCTGGATGGAATCACGGGACCCCTGGGATGGAGTTATGACAATTACAGCAAAATAAAACCACAAAGATTCAGAATGGCCAACCCCCGGCCAACTTACTGCATGACAGTGCGACTTTTTTTACGCGGCTTGCCTTACTGCTGTCTTGTCTGACACACGCGTACACTCACGTGTGCACACACACACAGGATCATGACAAGGAGTATGTTGGCTTTGCCACACTCCCCAACCAAGTCCACCGCAAGTCCGTGAAGAAAGGCTTCGAGTTCACGCTGATGGTGGCCGGTGAGTTCTCCTCCTGCTTTCTCCCAGATGTTCTCCGGGCACTGAGTAAGCACGCTGCTGTGGGCGCGAGTGGAGTGCGGGCGGGCGGGCGGGAATGTCGGGATTGATGGAAGTGACTTGGGATTCACAACATTTGGTTTTGTCCGAATATCAAGGACAATTTCAGATAATTAACGAAATCAACGAGCAGAAAACGCGTTTGTTGCATGTTTCACCACAAGCTAGTGTGGTGAATGCAGACTTGATGCCGTGCAATATTCACTCCTGCTGCCCCCTGGTCCCCACGCTCATCGATGCCCACCCTCTCCTCCGACCCCTGGTCCCCAGGCGAGTCGGGCTTGGGGAAGTCGACTCTCATCAACAGCCTCTTCCTCACCGACCTCTACCACGACCGCGTGCTGCTGCCCGCTGACGGCAAGAGATGCGACACCACCGCACACAGACAAAGGTTCCCCATATAGCCTCCGGACAGACTGCTGGGGCAAGTGCTGTTTGCGAGTAGCACCTATCAAGGCCGGCTCGGCACACGAGCAGGTGGTACGATCGGCACCGTGCCCGTACGCCTTTGGCTCCCCAATGCTGTTTACTATACACTGCCCCAGGTAGTCATTTAAGGTCGAATCGACCTAGGGGAGGTTCATGAGCAGGTTCAGGTTTTCGTCACTGATGTTTATGGCTGTGAGCGGGAATCGAACTCTGGTGGCCGGGTTTGTAGCGTAGTGCGCCGCCACTTAACCACTGCGCCATCGCTCCCACACACTGACATATTCACACACGTGCACACGTGTAAACTAAAAAGATAAAGATCCCCCGTATAGCCTTAACAAACTGTTGGGGCAAGTGCTGTTAGCGAGTAGCGCCTATGAAGGCCGGCACGGCATACACGGTGGGTGGCCAACACCAAAACCGGCTGCTTTTGTCTCCCTAGTGGTGATGTTTACACGCCTCACTGGGTACTCGTTTGAGGCTGAGTCGACCTAGGGGAGGCCCAGGACCGTTAGAGATAATCATCACTGGTGTTGGACGTGAGCAGGAATCGAACTTGCGTCGCCGGGTTCATAGCACAGTGTGCTAACCGCTGCACGTGTAAACGCATGCACACACGTGCACATGTGAACACACAACAAACACGGGAGCTGAACAGTTCCTGAATGAGCTCCCGTACGGCACGTGGAAGGAAACGTCGGACATCGTGCCAAAGTAGCAGAGCTGTGCTGATCCGCACCGAGCGCTGTAGTTGGAGGATCCTCACGACGGATAACCTCGTCGGCTGCAGTCACGAAATTTGCACCTGGGTTGGATTCCCAGGCACAGCTAACATCAGTGGTGGGCGACCGTGGTAGTGAAGTATGGTCTACTAATCGGAGATCATTCAATCCCCTTCTGGAATTGTGCTGCTGCTGTCACCGTCCGAGAGTCTCACCCGCACCTCCGATGAGCGCGGTTGGCTGTGTGGGGCCTCTGCGTGGGACCTCTGTGTGGGACCACTGTGCTCCGTGACGGTGAGGTCTCCTCCACCGCAGAGCGGATCGCGCGCACGGTGGAGATCTTGCGACGCACGCTGGAGATCGAGGAGAAGGGCGTGCGACTGCGCCTCTCCCTGGTCGACACCCCCGGGTTTGCCGACGCCATCGACAACACGGAGTGGTGAGTTGGCGGTGGTAAGGAGGAGGTCGTGGTGAGGAGACTTAATAATAATATTTTCATTTTATATAGCGTCACTCATGCCAACAGCATGTCTCGTTGTCCTCCCCCACACTTCCGATTAGCATGTTTGGTTTTGTATGGTGCAAAAGAAGTTTAACATACATTCCCGCTCACGGCCACGGCGACGAATGTCTGAGCTGGTCCTGGGCCTCCCCTACGGGGGCTTGGCCTTAATCTGAGCGCCTGGTGCGGTGTGTAAAGCATCAGCAACGGGGGGAAACAAAGGCGGCCGGGCGTGGTGCTGGTCACCCACCCCTTCGTGCGCCGTGCCAAGCTTCATAGGTGTGGTCTGTTGAAGGCCACACGGGGGATCTTTGTCTTTTTTGAGCAGTTGGCAGCCGGTGGTGGAATACGTGGAGGAGCAGTTCGAGTCGTACTTCCGTGAGGAGAGCGGCCTCGACCGCAAGAACCTGCAGGACACGCGCGTCCACTGCTGCCTCTACTTCATCTCGCCCTACGGGCACGGGTGAGCACACGTTCCCTACGGGCACGGGTGAGCACACGATACCCTACGGGCACGGATGAGCACACGCTCCCTACGGGCACGGGTGAGTACACGCTCCCTACGGGCACGGGTGAGCACACGATACCCTACGGGCACGGGTGAGGACACGCTCCCTACGGGCACGGGTGAGCACACGCTCCCTATGGGCACGGGTGAGCACACGATACCCTATGGGCACGGGTGAGCACACGATACCCTATGGGCACGGGTGAGCACGCGCTCCCTATGGGCACGGGTGAGCACGCGCTCCCTACGGGCACGGGTGAGCACGCGCTCCCTACGGGCACGGGTGAGCACGCGCTCCCTACGGGCACGGGTGAGCACACGCTCCCTACGGGCACGGGTGAGCACACGCTCCCTATGGGCACGGGTGAGCACACGCTCCCCACGGGGACGGTGCCCGCACTCCCCATGGTAATAGCGGCGGCGGTGGTTGCGGCGGATACGCGACACTTTTGTCAACTCCACTGTCGGGATGAGACCGGTGCCCAGGGCCACGTGGCTCGTGGTGGCTATCGTTCACCGTTGCTTTGACCGCTGCCGCGCGTGTCTCAGGCTGAAGCCGCTGGATGTGGAGTTCATGAAGGCACTGCACAACAAGGTGAACATCGTTCCCGTCATCGCCAAGGCCGACACGCTCACCATGCGGGAGAGGGAGACGCTCAAACGCAGGGTGATGCCTTGCTCGCACGGGGACAATGACAAAGATCCCCTGTGTAGCCTCTAACAGACTCTAACAGACTCTTAACAGACAGATCGCCGGGTTTGTAGGGCAGCACCTTAACGACTGTGCCACCGCTCCCCACTTTACACATACCTGATTACGTACATAAGACATCTACCCTTAACGGACTGTAGGGGCAAGTGCTGCTAGCGAGCACCTGTGAAGGCCGGCATGGCACACAATGGGGTGAGTGGCCAGCACTGCTACATACATGCCCACATGGGCATGTATAGACTCAGACACGTAATTATATACAAACACAGTGCTATATATATAGTATATACAGAGTGGTATACATATAGTATACACACACAGTGGTATATATAGTATACACACACACCTTGCTCAAGAAACGTATCCACGTTTATCTATTACACCTTCAATTGTGCAATTTGTTGCTGGCTGCTTTGGGCCTCTATTCAGCAGCTGTAAATTTGACAACAAAAGTGGGAGTGAGAGCCTTCCCTTACAGCCCTAATCACAGCACAACCTATGACCCCACTCTTCCATCAGATCACCCAACCGTACGATCGCCCCTTGGTCGATGCCGATGTTCGCTCTCTCCCAGGTCCAAGAGGAGCTGAGTGAAAACGACATTAAGATCTACCAGTTCCCGGAGTGCGACTCGGACGAGGATGATGAATTCAAGAGGCAGGACGAGGAGTTGAAGGTATGTGCGGGGAGGCCGGTGGAGCAAATCGCATCGCCCTCATTGTCGCAACCATCCATCTTTGTCATCATCGTTGTAGTCGCCATCCCTCGCCGCCTTGCGCCACCGCAAATCCGTCTAAACTAAACGATAAACTAATTTTATTTTACCAGGTAAGGCCCACTGAGCAACGTAGCTCTTTTTCAGAAGCGACCTGGCCACAAATGATAGCCCAACGAAGTGGCTTATGACGTGGAAATATATAGCAGCCAAATATTGATGTTGATTCTAAATGTGAAGGGAAAAATGTGGAGGACCCGGACGAAAATCCACGCGACTACGGGGAGAACACGCAAACTCCAAATGTACAGCAGGGGTCAGGGTCGGGATCGAACCCACAACCTCCTGTATACTGGGCGAGGTAGTTAATATCTTGCCACCGTGTCTCACGCCTACGAAGGAATGGAGCTCATTGCTCCGTCTGCGAGCTGTGTGCAACGCAACCTGGCAGTCGGAACAATATCGTAACCCGGAGTCGACTGCGTAGGGTTCGCAAAGCGACACGAACTCTGCTGAAGCCCTCTCGTCGTGACAGCAGCAGACTTCGACATTGGCATCGAGCTCCTGAACCACATCGCTGCTGCTGCCGCACGCGAGAGCAAAATTCGGCAGAATGGTTGGAATGGGTTGGGGAAAAAACCTTTAATGTTCTGGAGTGGCTGCTTCTGTGTGTTTAGGTGGAGCGGCAGCATAGGGGGGTTAGCTCCACTGCGCGATGAACTCGGCGATCCGACTCAGCCGCAAATGACGACCTGGTGCCAACGTGTAAACATCACAAGGGAGACAAAGGCGGCCGCGCGTGGTGCTATCCACCCACCCCTCGTGTGCCGTGCCGGCTTTCATAGGTGCTACTCGCGAACACTTTCCCCAAGTCTGTTAAGGCTATATGAGGGACTTTTGTCTGTGTGCGTGCGTATTTGCGTGTGTCCCTGTGCTCTCTAGGCCAGCATCCCATTCGCAGTGATTGGTGGCAGCGCGGTTGTGGAGGCTTCAGGGCGCCGGGTGCGCGGCCGCCTCTACCCATGGGGAATCGCTGAGGGTGAGGACGGCGTGGCTCCGCACATCTCCAGCGGTGTGACGGCTGAGGTGTGACGGCTGTTGGTTGACGGCCGCGGTTTGACAGATGTGGCTTGGCAGCTGTGTCGCCTGTATTCCGTGTCCCCTATCCCCGTGTTTTTCCTCTCTGTGCCCTCCCCCCCTCGCCGCGTCCCCCCTGCGGAGCAGTGGACAGCAGCGAGCACTGCGACCTGGCGAAGCTGCGCACGATGCTGATCCGCACGCACATGCAGGACCTGAAGGACGTGACGCGCGACCTGCACTACGAGGAGCACCGCGCACGCTGTATCCAGCACATGACACGCGTGGCCACGCGCACCCGCACACGCAGGTACGCGCTCGGGTACACACGTGCATGTGCGGGTACACACGTGCAGGTACACACGTGCAGGTACGCACGTGCAGGTACACAAGCACAGGTACGCACAACCAGTATGCACATGCAGGTACACCCACTCGCAAGTACATGCACGCATGTATGCGCATGCGCCGGTACACGTAGATACAAATAGACAAAGATTCCCCTTAAAGCCTCAATAGACTTTTAAGGCAAGTGCTTAGTGAGCACCTACGAAGGCCGGCACAGCCCACATTGGGGGTGGGTCGTCAGCACCACGCCCGGCCGCTTTTGCCTTCCTAGTGGCGATGTTTACAGACCGCACCAGGTACTCATTTGAAGCCGAATCGTAGCTGGTGCTGGCCGTGAGCGGGAGTTGAACTCGGGTCACCGGGTTCGTACCCATGACTATCATGTCCGCCCCCCGCCCTCTCACCCCCCCCCCCCTCCCACGAGGCAGTAAGCTGTCCCGCGAGAGCGTCGTGGACTTCCCCATGCCCATCATGTCGGGCCTAGCGGGCAGGGCGGACGCGCTCATCCGGGCCAAGGAGCAGGAGGTGAGAGAGGCACAGGGAGGAGCCGCGCGATGGCCGCCCACAGCACGTGGAGGGGTGGCTGCTCGCCAATGGCAGCGACGCGCACATGGCTGCAAGCGTGCCCCCCACCCCCTATGCCACGTTGCATGCACAATGCTCTCGGCCTTGTCTAGACCAGCACTAACCCCGCTGCGTGCTGGTCTTTTTGTATTGGTGGTCTCCGGCCCGCACGCGTTCTCCTCTCATTGCGATGTTTTTTCTCTTAATAATTTGGAGAAAGTTTTGCATTTAAATGAAATCTGCATCCATATATTTATACACACGCAGTATATACATACTGTCTATAGACATATGTGCAGACTGCAACCAATAGCTACAAAATCAATGACGCGATGAGTGTCGCTGGCCAGGCGTGGTTCTTACCACAACGATGCCCGTGCCGGACTTAATTGGCGCTTGCTAACAGAACTTGCTCCCAACAGTCTCAGGCTATACAATGGCTCATTGTGTGCGTGTGTGTCCACAGCTCGCCCGCATGCAGGAGATGCTGGTTCACATGCAGAACAAGGTTCAGGCCCAGTCTACTCAGTCATCAACATAATCCAGCTGTGTCAGGCTAGGTCCACGATCATTCCGTCCCGTCGCATTAAAACACCCAGAGGATTCTCCCCTGAGCTTGTCCAATCGAGTTGCTTGCAACTGCTCACTCAAGCGTGGACCAGGCTTGAGTGGAGCCCAAATCTTAATCTTCCCAAACACCTCCAAAGCCACGGTCGCTGAAAACCAAAACGTGATCGCAAACTCCGTGAACCCCACAGTTTTCTCCCAATGCTGAAGAAATCCAATCGCAAATTTCACGCAACTAATTTTCATCACGGTCCCAACGATGTTCAAGTTGTCCATGTTTGCAGGAAAGCAACGTGCGCCCCAATACATCCCCAAACGTCACCCTCCGATCTCAAGCCAGTGGGATAGTACAAAGTCAAAAGTTTAAGTTTATTGTCTTTAACTAGAACTCGAGAGGCCAGGATGGAAGAGTCTCGTTTGCAAGCGTGACCTGGGTCATCACAATGACAAAAGCAATAGAGTAAAATAAAGCGATGAAGGGCCATTGCCCAAAATGTCGCCTATTATACTTTTTCATTGCAATGCCAGTGTTATGGACGAATGTGTTGAGGTTTTTTTTTTGTATTTTTGCACCACTGGCAACGCAGCGTCACCAAATAATGTCTCTATCATAGATGAATTCAGTTTGGTTAGGGTTAAACGTTCATTGTCCTGGGCCACGCCCTTCACATCTTGAACTCAACCTGCACGAACATCCGCAGGGTCATCTCATAACGGGGGTGTCACTGTGCAAGTGTGTCAGAATGAACGATTGTCGGGGTGTTCTGCAAGTTGATTTTGTGTAACCAGAGTGAGAACTCAAGAGACCAAGTTTAGTTTGAAGGCGTCGAGGGGGGGGGGAGCCCACACGGCGTGGTTTTCCCCGTGCCCTGCACCCCTCCCTATGGACGGCCCTGCCTGCCCCCAAAGTTCTTCATCACAGATGTGTCCGGTTGCTTCCCAGAACTCAGATACCACAAGTCCGGTCAAGTTTGTGTATCCAGGAGAGTACTCACGAAACCAGGACATGATCTCAATTTGCCAATTTCGAAAACTGAGGCCAGAAGTTACTGATTTGGGAGTCGTTGCTCCTTACTGACAGCAGCCCCCAGGGTCACTCTTGAAAAAATACTTTATCCTGGTAACTTAAGTTCTCACATGCTTAAAGAATCAACTTGAAGCTTAAAAAAACGTCCTCTCTCAATGAATCACCGAGTGTGCTGATGACCACAAGCGCCGCTCATTCCCCATGCACAGACAGCCGAGCCAATCGTCATCAAGAACTGGCAACACCAGCAACAGCAGCCAGCCAGTCTGTAATACAGTCCTCAACACACTTCGAGGAGTCGATGAGTGAAGTTTATGGATCCTGCCAGAGGAATGTGGAATTACCCCACCAAGGTTTCTGGGGCACAGAACGTAATGTATAACGGAGATGGGCGCTGCCTGACACGTGTTACGAGTGGCGACACGTGCCGAAACATTTTAAATAGAGAATACCGAGCTTTAAAAATGCGCTATATTCAACCTTTTCTAGAGTCCCCAAACCTCCCTTATATTCACATTGCATTTACAAAGCACAGCGCTGCTTTAGCCACTCGTGCAGTGGAGCTTACGTCCAGCCCTAGTCCGTGCGAAATCATCAAATACTCCCACCTTGGTGGTCAAGTGCAATGTCGCATATTTCCGACTCGCAGGAGACCGAGGTTTGGACGGCTTTATATACAGGGTGAAAAATTCAGATATATGAACATCTGTGGCTATGCTACCATGCACAGATACAGCATAAACTGCTTTAAACACGAGACAGTGCTTTCCTGTTAGAAACAAGCGGCTATAATAACCATGACACTGCCACTTGCTGTCCGTTTCAATTGCATAGGACGTTAAAGATCTGGCAACATCATTCGCAACAGAGTGGGCCCGTCGCATGCCGGCGTCGGGGTCCAAATTTGTTGTGGGGTAAAGTGTTGGTACTCCCCCCGACACACCGGCAACCATCTGGATTTGCAAGTCTAGTGCTCGGAACGTGATCCCAAACGCTAACGACTTTTTCAACGTTGCTTCTCTTTGTGCGCGCTCCACTGCGGCGCTTCTTGCGCCCACATTCCCGGTCGGATTTTCCCACAAAACAAATTCCAGCTGCTCCCCAGTTCCTGTCCGCCCCAGGCATCGCCGCACCTCGTAGCGATGAGGTTGTTGGGGTGGCCGCCTTGGGAGCCTGCACAGGTCCCGTTTTGGCCTTTGATCCCCACCACCCCCACCACAATAAAGGTTTTTAGAACAGATCGCATGTGTCGTTAACCCACCACCATCCGACACAGCCAATTAGTAAGGTTCGTCACGTAATCAAAACGTCAATTAGTTACTACTTCACCACTACCACCACCAAAAGACAAAGATCCCCCGTATAGCCTTAATAGATTGTTGGAGCAAGTGCTGTTAGCGAGCACCTATGAAGGTGCACGAGGGGGTGGGTGGTCAACACCATGCCAGACCGCCTTTGTTTCCTCAGTGGCGATGTTTATACACTGCACCACGTTACACATTTGAGGCCAAGTCGATCTAGGGAAGGCCCAGGATCGGTTCAGATAATCGTTACTGGTGTTGGTACTTGAGTGGGAATTTTGGGTCGCCGCATTCGTAGAGCAGCATGGTAAACGCTCCACCACCGCTGCACCACCGCTCCACCTACCACCATTGCCGTTCCTGCTCCAGCCGCTAGGGCCTGGGGCTCTTGGTGCACAGGGGCCCTGCCAGCCCCAGGAAGAACCGTGACATCGGCTTCTCCATTCTCCTCGTTTCCCCAGGTGTTGTACAAACTCTTGTACAAGTCGCAAGAGGTCATTCACGTGCTATGAAGAAGGCCCATTGCCTGAAAGGTCACCTATTATAGTTTTCTGTTAAGGCCACAGTGTTGTTATTGACCAATGGAGTTGTCTTTGACCAGAGTTGTCTTTTGTTGCTTGTGCACCGCTGCCAACGCAGCAGCAGCAGTCACATCACCAGATATAATTTGCGGAATCTTGAGACGCAGTTGTATTGCGATCCCGCGCACGTTCGCCGCGCTAAGAGGCGGCAGAGGATTTAAAAGTTTTTGAAGACGTCACGAATCCAGCACTCCGAGGGCTCCCACGGAGAGGCTCACGGACTGGCCTGTGGCCTGCAGTTGAGCAGACAAGCAGAAGGGGTGAGGGAAGGGTTCACAATGAAATGGTTCGTTTCAATATGCAGTGTCTGTTAGTTATTGCAATAAGTCTCGCAATTAGAAATCGGATATTGTACTGCTCTAATGTAAGCTGCATTGCGTTGAATACCCGGTAAGTAAGGGCGAATAGATCCCTCTGATAATAAATGTTTATGCTCATGACACAGAATGAATCGCGTGTGTGAAAATCAGTTCAGCAAATGTTACACTTCAAAATGCGTATTTATCGGAGAGGAAACCAATGAGCTATGAAAATACTTTTTCAGAGATGTCCACTGGGGGTGGGTCACCGAATTACATCAACAATACAAATCATGATACGAGTGCAAGATAGCGAAAACTAGTCACTAAAATATATATAAAGTATAGACATACAAATCTCACAAATACATAAATTCCTGCCGATTTCTTAACACCAAATGCAGGCTTGGGGCAAGGAAGCAAAATAACAACAAAGGTCTCAGACCACACCAAGACACTGGGACTCCTGGGACAAGCAGGGCAGATGGAACGTCTCGTGTGCATACACGCACCCTTGCCAAATTAAACGTTTAATCTTTAAGGACTCATTCAAGCGAAATAATGGAATAGCAACAATAATAACTCTTCAAGAGAGACGGGAGGGTGACTCGGAGGCGCCAGGAGGAGGAACCGCAGACAAGCCGGCACCAAATTCCCCCGCCAAGCTCTGCAGTCCTCTATATATGAAGGTGTTACCAGCCAATTAACCAGCATGTATTACATGTGGGAGGAAACCGAAACACCTGGGGAAAACCCACGCGTGCGAGGGGGAAACACTATATCCCTTATAGACGGAACAGGTGGAGTCCACTCTCTGCGTCTCCAGGCAAGCCAGGGTAGGGCTACTGCTCGACACCCACAAAAAAGGGGTTTCATGACATTTTTGGGAGAAGGAACGGCTTTACGATCGGGGCGTTGGCAATCCAAATGCTGGTTGGGGGGGGGGGGGGTTGACTCAGCCCATCATTCCTCCAGGGTCGGTAAAGCCAGTACCACTTTGTATACTCGCTCCCGCCATAGGAACACAGATTGTTCCCGTTGAATGACATTATGTATGAATCTCACTTGTATTCTTTTGCCAAAACACTCGTGTGTATTAGTGATTAATTTCAGCCTGAAACAGTCCGGAATGCTGCTCCAGCAGTGGTGCAATGGTAACACTTGCGCCTCACAAGCAGGGCCAAGGTTCGATGTCCGTCTTCGTGCCTTTCTGTGTGGAGTTTGTATGTTCTCCCCATTCTGTAGTGTGCGTGACAGTGTGAGTGGAGTTTGTATGATCTCCCCCTGTTCTACAGAGTGTATGTATGTGTTGTGCAGTACAACCAAGCGGAGATGAGGAATACTATAACGGCTGTTGCCATTTATTAAAACACTCTCGCACTCGGCATCCTACACCAGTGTAGGTGCACTCTATCTCGGTCCTTCACCCGGACTTCACCAGGACACTGAATACTATTTGGACCGACCCTCGGCTATCCCTTTGGCTCTCTCACTCGTCTGCCCGGAGCAGGGGATCAGCCAACATCAGCAAACACCACTCCCCGACGAGGAGAGAGACCCTCTTCCAACCGGTCCTTACCCTGGCTCCCCACAACGCCCCCGTCACGGGGTCTCCCTTAAGAACCCTTTGGGCGGCTCCTCCCCCCAGCTCGGCCCTGCCCACGTTCCCGAAAGTGCTTTCCGAAAGCCCTTTGCGTAACCCGTGACGTGACGCCATCCTTGGCCCCGCATGACTCTCAACCCGCTCGCACCTCCTTCCGCTCGCCCGAACATTGATTACTGACAATACTCCTCTACATATGTATGGGACGCTTTTCATCTATGGGACCCTTTTTTCCAGTGTCAAGATAATGACATTTTCTTTTATAGGCTTTACCGTTTCCGGCAAGAAAACACCAAAGTTCAACATACGCACACGTACATGCAAGCCCAAACCTGACATCGTTCTGGGAAAAACATCAAGCCAGACGTCAGGCCCTGCTCGTTTGCCCACCTGACGCGAAGACTTGAGCAACGTAGCGCGGCAGACGAGCGTGCCGCCCCCCTCACGGCCGACCCCGTGACAGCCGCCCCCTCCTGCCCTCACGCCGCCTCCTAGGCGCTCGCCCTCCCTCTCGAGCAGCACCCGCACGTTGGGCAGGAAGCTCCAGGCCCGGCCCAGGCTAGGCATTGAACGTCCTCCGTCCTCGCGCCAAACCCAGTTCGTCACCTGCGTGGAGATGGACGGGGTGGGGAAGGAGAGGGGAGGTAGCGCCGCCCCGGGGCCCGTCGTGGTTGTGCCACGCGGCTCATTCGACGCCCGTTTTCACGTCGCGTTGCCGCGCGTCATTTGGCACGATGGCCCGTATTGAACCAGTGGTCCATTCTCGAATAAACTAATGAATGAATGCACTTCCTGCCACTGCGGTGAGACCATTACCAGCACTGCCAACGCGTGCTCCTTAGCGATCGACTTCAGCTCACGGCCGATGTGCATCAGCAACGCCAGTCCTGGGGGTGGCGTTAGGGCAGGAGAGCAGCAGAGCCACAGGGTCAAAGGGCAAGGGTAGAAGGAATCACATTGGGTCCGAGATGACTGACGTGTGACCCAGGCAAGGTTCAAACGCCACGTGCCGCTGTGACGATGGTGGTTTGTGCCGTGGTCGGGAATCGTACCCAGGGGACAGAAACTTCTGTTCATTGTGCAACTCAACCGTTAGGACACGGCACCACACGTCGGCAGGCACGCATGCACGAGCACAGAAAGAAGGGGACAAACGTAGGACAGAGAGACGAACAAAGACAGATTTAGAATAAATGGACATATGGGCAAATTTATGTAAACACAGACAGCTGGAGCAACTGGACAAATGAAAAAGCAGTCACACGGACAGAGGCAAAACAAGCAAACATGGGTTGGTGTGAAGCTGCCCCGGGGCTCATTTATGTACTCCATGGTGATGAGATGTTAACTACATTGCCTGGTATACAGGAAGTCGTGAGTTTAATCCCTACTCCAATGCTTATATATTTGGAGTTTGCACGTTCTCCCCATGGCCGCGTGGATTTATCTTCGATATTTCCCTCAACATTTATAAACAACATGCATTTAGAGTATTTGACTGTTGTAAATTTCCACGTGATAAGTCACTTCGTTGAGCTATCATTTGTGGCCATAAAGAGCTACTATATAGATGATTGGACCTTACCTGAGACATAGCAATGAGGTACAGTGGTGTGGTGTAGCGGTGAGGCATAGCGGTGTGGTGTAGCGGGGTGGCGTAGCGGTGAGGCGTAGCGGTGTGGTGTCATGGTGTGGTGTAGTGGTACGGTGTTGTGGTGTCGTGGTACGGTGTTGTGGTGGAGTGGTGTGGTGTATTGGTGTGGTGTAGCGGTGTGGTATAATGGTGTGGCGTAGTGGCGAGGTGTAGTGGTATGGTGTTGTGGTACGGTGTTGTGGTGGAGTGGTATGGTGTTGTGGTGTGGTGTAGCGGGAGTAGCTGTGTGCAGTCGCGGTGCCGCCATCATCCGAAAGAATAGAACAGTTTTAAATGTTTTTGTCATTTTTTAGAGCGTCCCAAGATGTGATTTATCTGCAAAACATAACTGGAAGCCATGTCCATCGTTGCGAGAGCGCGCGCCGGGACACGTCGTTACCGTCGTGGCGCTCCGTAGTCAGCACGGGCGAAATCACGGCCGCCACGGAGTCGATCACCAGCAGGCGCAGAACAGAGGAATCCGCGCCCCCTGAGCCAGGCGTCACCGGCACCTGCTGCGGCACGGTGCACGTAGCCGCCCGGTCACTCGGCTGCACTGGGCGAGGCACAGGCTCCGCACGGCAGGACGGGCCTACTCAACGCGTTTGTCAGTAACACCACTTGCAGCCTTAAAAGAATGAAAAAAAATATAAGAAAGTTTTGGGCTCTGGCCATTCTTCGTAGCACATCCTATTTTTAAAATTATGTATATTTTTGCTATCAAATATGCAGTATTATTGTATGTGACGTGTTCTAGTCGCCTTATATTCGGTGATGCACGACCATGTCATTCCCAACATAACACATTGTTTTTTATGTGTTTTTACTGTAACCATGTTTCTGTGGTGTAACCAACTCTCGTGATTGTGGATTACTTGCCATCCAAATCTCTAAGAGGCGTCATACAACAACAACGGACGGCGGAGGAGCCATGTGCACAACGAGCAGAGCGCCCGGCGAATAAAACGCAGCAAGGCACAGTAGGGGGTACAGGTGGTGCATCTGCTAGCAATCTAAACGAGTCAAACCATGTTTGTCCCATGACCTCCTGCTAGCAGCGAGCCTTCGACATTTCATGTGGCCTCCAAATGCACCTAGCCTGGCACAAGCACCGTGGCGATGTCACCACCACGTCGTGGTGAAAGGCGGCTGTTGTTGTTGCGTGTGCTCGTGAGTGCGTGCGCGCGTGCCTGTGTTTCCAGCCGGGCCCGCAGGTCCTGCAGCAGATCCAGGAGAGCGAATGCGTCGAACACGCGTGCCACCTGCACGCGCTGCAGTGCCGCCACCTGCACACATCGACGACAATCACTCTTACGACAACAACTCGGCAGCACGCTGAGAGAGTAGCGTAATCTCGGTGCGATCCGCGAACCCCCCCCTCCAAAATGTTAAGATGCGAGCCGCGCCCGACCGTGCCAACGCATCGCTGAAACTCTGTGCTGTACCATGCTGTGGTATGCTGCACCAGACTCTGCCCTGCCAATTATGTTTTTGTTGTGCAGTGTTGTGCCGTGCTATGTTGTGGTGTGCCCATGCTGTACCATTCCGTGTCATGCCATGCCATGCCACGTTTTGCCACGACATGGCGTTTCTTGGTGTGGTGTGCTGAGACTGACTGTGCCATGCCATGCTGTGCCACGTTGTGCTGCCCGGCACACCTGGCTCGCCCCAGAGTCTGGCGTCTTCCCCTGCACCATGGCGAGCAGACGGGAGGCAAGGCATCCGGCCGCCCCCCCGGTCATCACCAGCATCACGGCTTGGCCCAAGTCACAGGCCACGGTGACCGCCACGCTCAGGCACACCTACATGCCATGGGGAGACACGCGGGGAGACACACGGGGAGGAGACACATGGAGAAACACACTCGGGGAGATACATGGGGAGATACAAGGGGCGACGCATGAAAAGACAAATGGAAACACGGGGAGACACGGGGGGACATAGAAAAGTACAGAGAGGTACGGGGAGACACGAGGGAAGACAGAGAGACATGGTTAACGTTCACACTTGCCCTTCACTGTGGCAGGCTGTGGTGTTGGCAGAGTGGTGTGGCTAGGAGTGGTGAGGCAGACTATGCCGTGGCAAGCTGTGGTGTGGCAGCATCTAGTGTAACAAGGTGTGCCGTGGCCATGTGTGCCGTGGCAAGGTGTGGCGTCTACGTGTGGTGTGGAATGTGCCATGGCCGGCTGTGCTGTAGCAGGCTGCGCCATGGCAGGATGTGCCGTGGCAGGTTGTGTCATGACAGGACCTGTGTCTTCCCTGTGGCCGGTCCTCCTGCCAGCTCAGTGAGCTCCCCCGTGTAGAGCCCAGAGTCAAGCAGGGAGTCCAACCTGAGACCAGACACACGGGAGGGGGGGGTCACAGCACAGTATAGCCCACACTCCCTGCTGTGTCACGCCCCCGTAGGCTGTCACCTGCTGCACGTCACCCCTGTGCTATGTGTCACCCACGTCATTCGTACGTCACCATGTCCATGTCATGTATGTGTGCCACCCCTGGCATGAGCTCCTTGCTACATGGGAACCCCGAGCAGGGACTTTTAATTCCTCACTCAGAAATTCTCCGGAAACTGCTGCTAGGCTGACTTAACAATAGGGATTATCGGCATAAGGCACTACTACTAGAATACGAGGTACGCCTCCTATAATGGATGCGGCATGCCGAAATTCAAACATCTGGGCAGCGTAATACAAGATGGATGCTACTGAGAGTCAACGTACAGATAAGAAAAGGTTGCACATAGAAGAAGACCTGATGCAGGCAGTACTGAGGAAACTGGTACTATTTGGACATATGTAAAATGGACAATAACAGGAAAATTCAAAGTGTTTTGTTCGGAAAAATGGAAGGAACAAGAAAAAGAGGAATAACCCAACAGTGAATGGCTTCATGACCACGTAAGACATTGGTGCCAGAAAGATGTGGCACTACTTGAGCATATTGGCACAAGACAGAAGAAAGTGGAAACAAATGACGAAATGTGCAGGAGACACCTATGGGCTATCTGCCCCATAGATCGTGATGTCGATCGTGATGATGAGAGTTAAAATTATTCTCGGAGGACAGTTTCGGACCGTCCCGGTCGCGGTGCAGCGCTGACCGCGAGCAGCCCGTGGGAAGGATAGCCGTGCACGACAGCAGCTCCTCGTAGGCATCCGCCGCGCTGCTCGGGAACGCGGCGAACTGAGCCAGCAGCACGCGACGCACAGCACGCAGAGTCTGCACACGCAACAGAGATGAAGGTCCCCCCGGTGTATAGCCTTCAACGGATTTCTGGGGCAAATGACATAAGCTAGCGGCACATGTGAAGGCCGGCACGCCACGTGAGGGGGGTGGGTCGCCAGCACCACGCCTGGCAGTCTTTGTCTCTTCCAATGCCGATGTTTTTTCACACATAACCAGCGATTCATTTAAGGCTGAGTCGACCTAGGCGAGGCCCACAAGGTCAGATATTTGCTGTGAGCTGGAATCGAATTCGGGTGGCTGGGTTTATGGCAAAGTGCGCTACCGCTCCCCATGCACAAAGATCCCTCGTATAGCCGAAACAGACTTTTTGGGCAAGTGCTGTTAGCGAGCACCTTTCAGGGCCAGCACAGTATACCAGGTGGTGAGTGCCAGCACCACGTCCGACCGCCTTTGTCTCCCCATTGGCGATGTTTACATATTGCACGAGGTACTCATTTGAGGCTAAGTCGACGTAGAGGAGGCCCAGGACCAGTTCAGATCATCGTCACTGGTGTTGGCGGTGAGCGGAAATCGAACTCGAGTCGCTACGTTTGTATCGCAGCACGCTAACTGCTACACATGCACGCACAAGCACTGATATGCACCCACATACACTCGCAAACATGCACGCACACACACACACTGTGCGCACGAATGCATGGGCTCTCACCTTGACCATGTTACAATGCTTTACTCTTAACGTTTGGAATGCATCCAACATTTTAAACTATGTACATTTGTTATTTTTTTCAATCTTGTAAAAATGTCCCCGAATTGTGCTATTGGTTTCAAATGATGAAGAATCCATTCACATATCTCACTCAGCAAGGTAAGCATGGCCCATGTAAGCGGATATCACAGAACTACTTCTGATATCCCTTCAAGTGACCTCCGGTCCACACAGCAGAGGCCAGCACCTTCTGTTACTCACTTTGCCACTAAGAATCATGCTTGTCGCATGGGCAGTCAAACCATTACCCGAATTCTAGTGCCTGAAATAACATTTTCAGTGCTGGGATATATCCACAATGCTGGTTTTAAAGGACAAAATGTAATGCGACGAATTGTTGTGCAGTCGTTGATATTTGGGCTGACAGCATCAGGTCCACTACCGCGTGACCAACCGGTTTAACCACAGGAGGATGGCACCTGGGTTCAACCCCAGGAAATCTCAGCGGTGCTCGCTCGATCTTACCTCAGAGCCACCCGGCACCTTTATTTGACTACTCCTATACCCCTTGTTGAATTTTGTTTCAACCGAGTATGGTTCTGAGAAATAAATGTATGAATAATGAACATTTTAACCAACTGTCCATTTTGTGAGGCATCCTAACGAGCGAAGTGACTGCAAGCGAATTCAAAGACAAAATTCTGCGGACGCTCTGCACGCGTGACGTCATTTGTTCCCGCTCGCTGGTTACTGTAACCACCGCATTGCTTACAATCACCGAGTTTACAAAGGTCGTTTATGTCGTTCTAGGTTACCATAAGGGTTCAAGTTGTATCGTAGTTATTTTATATTGGTAGATTCATACCTGACTATTCACCAATGACTCTCATGTATGGTAAAATTTCACACATTTATAAATCACCTCACGTCCACCCTGGGACACTGCACGCGGTTACCCCCTGGGCTCCGCGTACCCCGGCTGAGAACCACTGCTCTAGAGTCTAGAGAGCACGCGACTTGCTCATGGACTTAGCGACTTCTCTCTGGAGTTGATGGCAGCACCTTGTAGGGGATTCCTGTGGTCCAAGCCAGACTCTGGCTGTCCTGGGTCACCAACGCCGCAACTGCAAAGACAAAGATCCCCCGTATCGCCGAAACAGACTTTTTGGGCAAGTGCTGTTAGCGAGTAGCACCTATGAAGGCCGGAAACGTACACGAGGGGGTTGGGTGGCCAGCAACACGCCCGGCCGCCTTTGTCTCCCTAGTGGCGATGTTTACACACCGCACCAGGCAGTCCGTTGAGGCTGAGTGGACCTAGAGGAGGCCCATAAGCGATGCAGATCATTATTATTATCCGAATCGTCACTGCTCTTGACCGTGAGCGGGAATCGAACTCCGGTGGAGCCGGGTTCGTAGCGCAGCGAGCTAATAGCTACACCACCGCTTCCCACGGGAACACCACAACCACCACCACACATCGCTTGAGACACGCTCACAGTGCACGCCGCCAACCACTGACACGGCGCCCGCGTGTCCCAGCCTACCTGTGCTGATGTTGTTTCCCCGAAGCACAGCCACCACGTCGGCTGTGAGGCCCGGGCAGAGGCCCTGGCGGAGCCGAACCATTGCTCAGGAGGCCACCATCATCACCATCATCATCGCCATCATCGTCACCATCGTCAACACCATCGCTCGTGTCAACAACACTCGCCTAACTCACCACCACCGACCACGCTGATTCAAATGTGGCGCACGCAGGTGACGTCACCTGCCGAGGGCCGCCTGTGACGACATTCAGCGATCCGTTCACATGACGTCATCGGTCATGTGTGGCATCGTGGCGTCATTAACTGAAAACTGTCAACCGCCAATCGCCCTCATTAAAGTGTGGCTTCACATTTAGTTTGTGTTACCAGGTGAGACCTGAAACACGCGTTTACATAATTTAGATTTAGCTGCTAGAAAATTACACATTATAAACCATTTCGTTGAGCTTATCAGTTGTGGTCAGGTAGCTTCTGAAAAAGAAGCGAATTGCTCAGTGGGTTTGACGTTAGTCTCATATTTTTAAGGATTTGTTTACGTTTCCTATACTTTGCACTCCTTTTGTGTTTTGTATTATTCTAACGTTCTGACCTGCCCATACTGGACATCTTAAAAAAAGAGCTTTGTCACTCATCTGATTGCTCCACGATAAATCGCAGTTTTCTGTGAATGCGGGCGTCCATCTTTGTAAGGGGGGGCACGTGACGTCCCTACCCCTCATTTCCCTAACCAACATGGCCGCCCCTCGCTGCACCCTTCGACGTCATCACCGGGATTCGTCGTCTTCCGGGTCCAAGGTCGGTAGTTGCTTGATCGCGGCTTTGCGTTGCGCGGTTCGCCTAAAACAACGACGATTACGACAAACATTTACCACTGCGACCACAGCACCAATGACAATAGCTACAACAGCAGCGGTAATATATCACCGTGAACTAAATCGGGTTAATTTAAACATTGGGACGTAGTTCTGTTGTGTGCGTGTTGACTGATAGGCGCGGCGGGTATGACACATTGTATGCCAATCTCACTGGCCCCGGCCATGGGAGTGTGGAGTTTCCACCGTCGGCTCAGGGAAGCCAGCAGGAGAACGGCCCCGCTCAACGCTGCTTAGATCAGGGAGACACGTTCGCATTGATTGCTGTAATCAGACCTTGGGGTCCGTTTTAAATACGGTAGAGTACTGTACATACAGTTAAAGCATTTTTAGCCGGACTTACAAATTAAACATTTGTTATATTGTGAAAGCAAATCATTGCGAATCACACAAATATAATCGACCCCAGTGCTGACCGTAATGCTTTGATAAGTATGGACATGTACAGCCTGCGTTGTCAGTCCACTGCTGGATTACCTCCCACCGCCTTTGCGGGCTGAGTGGGCTATTTGACCATACTTCACCACGCTGGTCAGTGCGGGTTGGTGAAGGCGGCGGGCCGTGTACACGGGAGCACAGTGCAGTGCAGTTGACGTCTTTGCCGTATCGCCTGCTGCTGCCCACCACGTACGGAGCTCCGCAGCAGCCTATAGCACCTGATATGCACGGCGGTCACCCATCTTTATGAGATCGATTGCATTCCCCGATAATTAAGCATAGGCGATTGATTAAGAATAATGCACCGTTTATAATTAAGCCTATAATACTATATAATACCGACGTGCATGCTGTTATAGCTGCAGAATCCGATAAAATATTCCAATAATCGGTGTGAGTTTACTCCGGTATGCAATCACACAATGAGTCTTGATTGGCTGTGAACCGAGTGTGCTTGTCCAACGTTAATCGCTGAACTGCGGAGGCCACATTCACGAGCGCGCGTCTTGCCGTATTTTTTTAGCCAATCCACTGCTGGATGAGGCCCTCCGAATGCCGCTACGGGTCGTGGGTGGTTATTCGACCATACTTCACCACGCTGATTGGTTGTCACCCATCCAAGCACTATCCAGGCCCAAGCCGGCTTAGCTTCCAAGATGTGACGCGAGCACTCCAGGCGATTGGTCAAAGGTGCCACCGTGCTTGAGAGAGTTAAATGTTCCAGCACTCCTAGCTCATGAACATAATCGACAGGCGACACTGGCTCATGGCAATGCCTTGTCCTGTTTAACACGTAGACTTTCGCGACCAATATTCATAATAAAGATTGTTATGGGTTAGATCTCGCAAATATAAATGTGTCGTGAACCCACCACAACCCGACAGGCCAGTTAATAAGGTTTGTCACGTCAACAAGACTTGCCAATTAGTTACTGCTTCAGCACATCGTTGTGTTGGAAAGTAAACCCACAACATTTACAATTGAATACGACGTTTGATTACAACCAGCTGCATCAGGCGATTTGCCAGAATTGCCCTGCCCTGCCCTCCGCCAAGGGGGACCTGGAGTCATGGAGGAGCCCAGGGCAGATGCAGGGAAAGCAGAGATGGGAGAGCTGGAGGCTGGGGTGAGGGGCCTGGGTTTGGCCGAGAAGAACAAGAGAAGACGGGAACTCAGGTGAGATGTGTGGGGGTGTCAGCAGAACATACCCTGGTCTGACTCGCGGATTGACATGTGGAGTGAACAAGAAGTTCATAACGTGACGCACTAATGGACTGCCATACGGACGGATGTACACGTAAGGTGACGCAATCTTGTAGCGACACTAAGGCACTGACATGGCCTAACACAAAGTGATACACTCGTGGACTGACACACCCACGGACTGACACCCATGGACTGACCTGCAGACTCACACACTGGCGACTGATATCTCAACCGATCCGGGGATCACTCTTCACCAAGCCGCACAGACCTGTGTGGTGAAGCATGATCACACAACCCTCCCACGACCAGCACGGCATGGGAAAGCCTTCATCCAACAATGGATTGACACAAGGCAAATTAGCTTGTACAAACATAAATCCTTTTAGATTGATGTGGAAAATACTGTTAATGAGAACCTTTTAATTCCTGAATTGCATTTCACAGGGTTTGTGTCTTCATGCGTCCACACTGCCCTGATTACTGGCTCATGGAATGTTAATCTTATTGTGATGTAATAGTCGCAGCCCCCAGAGTCCTGTGGCGAGCTGTATGCCTAGCCACTGCAAACTAAAGAGCTCTCTTGCCATGACACACAGTGATACATGCTAAGAGTGACACTCACGGACTGACACGGATTGACACACTCGTAGACGGACACACTGACTGACATACAGACTGACATACTAAGAGAGCGATAAACTCACGGACTGCCGCTCACGAAGTGACACACTTACGGACTGCCACAACGACAGACATTCTCACGGAGTGAAACACCCACAGAGTTGCATGGAGTGACACATAGACTGACACACTCGTGTACAAAGGCGAGTGATATATGAACCGGTCCTGGGCTCTCCTCCGTTCACCAGCCTACACTGATAAAAGCATTGCCTTGTCAATGCAAATGATTAGCCGTGCTCTGCCCCTAGCAGCCTAATGGGCTGTGTTTGCATTTCGATGTACAGTGCTCTCTGGCTATGACAAATGAGTGAGCTAGTTTTTCCACAACGATGTTATTGGCTATCTTGAAAACTATTAGAGATTTAAATTCGTGTGTGCTGCTACCCACACGCAGAGGCTCTGTTCAAATCTGCTCTTTCATTCCGTCCGTGCCTCGGGACTTGTTTTATACTTGCGAAGAGATATATGAAGTAGTGAAAGATGATGCCGGTGGACAATATTGTCAGGGGTGACTCCTCCGCAGGTTGGTAGCCTGTTGTTCCAACTATGGCATGCTGCTGAGTGGTCTCTCTACAAAACATTGGGTGCATGCTGTGCGGCTACCATGCCCGGCTCTCTGTCTAGCCACCGAATCAGGTGACGCTTTGAATGGCCGGGTGAATAATTACACACTGACAATCTTATCATCATCGCCTTTATCGTCTCTCTTAGCCGAATGCTTAACTTTATTGCTTGATCTTAAGCTTTGAACATAAACCTTTCACCTCTGTACTGACCTAAGCTGACAATCATGTGGTTGACAGTAAAAAGAAACGACCGCATCCCCGCAATGTCTTGCTCACGCCACTGCTGGCGGAAGGGGCCTACACTAGAGGGAGCGTATTTTGGCCGACTCTACCATTCTAATCAGATGTCTAAGAGTTGGGAGTACCCACATTTTACCCCACCACACGCGACCTACTGATTGACTAACTGGTGTACCCATTTATACCGCTCGGTGGACATTGGTCGGTGGGGAGGGAACTGCCGCACAGGGATATCACATTGGTGATCTCTACATGGAAAGCACACAATGGCTCGCAGTGAGTACAGTTTAATAGTCTCAGCGGGCAGTGCTCATCTCCGTTGTTGGAAGCCTGAATAGAGCCCACAGCCGAAATTCCACATTTATCTGGAGGAGCCTAGTCTTATTTGTCTTTTGTATGGCTGATGCAGAGCAACAACTATAATTTCACATTCAGGTGGCCAAGCCAGATAAACGCATCAGGATTTTTCAGAGTGTATCGCTGTGATGTCTCCTTTGTATTTGTAGATCGGGCATTGCGTCGTTATACGTTGTACGGTCTGTTCTGGATGACCACAGTCACACACTACTAGAGAGTTTTTGTTTCCATTTGTGCATCAGGTATTGGAATCTACTGCTATGGTTTGTGCAGTGAATGCGGTTTAGGGTGGACCTTGAGGAGCTTCGTGGAAGATCAAACCCAGGAATCTTCTGGGTTTGGTCTTTTACAAGTTGTTTGTTTGTGAGGAGCCGAGTACATTCATTCGACAACTGCTGTTGGCTTTCCACTAAATGGTTGTCATGTTATTGACCATGGAGGCATGATGATGATGGATTTAATCGATTCCAAAACCGGGATTGGAACCTGCGACCTTCCAATTCAGAGTGAAGCCTCTGACCGCAATGCCAACTGGCGGATAGCATGAAACAATCTGGCACTTTCACCCAATCCTCGCAGACTATACCCGTCTCTGAACCACTGTGAAATTTCCAAACTCCACATTTCTGTGATGGGGCCCAGACTATAATGAACAAGGCGCTTTTTACAGACAGCATAAAAGAAGCATTGTCTCCTCTACTCATGCCAGCTTGATCTCCTCTCCTCCCGCTTAAATGCCCAATCGCTTGAGCCTCCTCCCCTCTTCATTGCCTACACAAGTCCCCCCTCCCCTCCCCCTGGGCCCTCACTAATCCCCTACAGGTGACTCCCACGTGGCGCTGATCAGGATTAAGATCACGATTGAATAGTTTGCCCCATCCGCAGACCCCGCACACCCCCACCCCCGCCAAACCAAACCCTGTGACTCGGTCTGCCCTCCACCTCGGATAAATCACATTGAACCCCCTGTATGATGGGTGGGCATTGTATGTTAAAGGGAGGGAGGGGTGCGGCTGGTGGAATCCTCATGGTGTGGGGAGGCTGTGTGGGTGACCGGAGAGCGACATTGTCTCGGTGCCACTTCTAACTTGACTCGCTTGCGAGGTGTAGGTTGTATGTTGTTGAGTCTATCCTACCTCTCCATATCTCTTTCTGTTCATTCATCTCGGTTTGTCTCTGTGTGTATTTCTTGAAGATTGTCCCCCCCCTCCCCGTATCTCTCGTCTCCTTGCGGCGTCCCTATCCTTAATCATTGTTCGGCTTTGGATTTAACGGCCGTATTCATATTGGTATCGTCAGTCCGGAGACCCGCATCAGTTCAACTAGATTCAGTGCTGCAGTTCTTTTCAGCAACATCTAGAAACGTCTTGATCACTCGTGGTCGCTCAGAGCGAGGTCCTACACTGTCCTGGTAATACCAGGACTTGTTCCGGCAAAACCCCCAATGCTCCAACACGGTCCGGAAAGATTCTGACAACTCCAGAATGATCCATCAGCGTTCACTGATAATCCTGATGACTGCAATTTGATCGTGGAAGGTCCGCATTACTCCATCGAACTTAAGCAAGATCCAACTTTCTGCAGCACAATCTGGTGATATCTACCAAGATCTCAATCAAGCACGACCGTGAGCGCTCCTACCCACGCAATCTGACTGTCAACACTCCTGGTCGATCCAGCAGGCTCTCAATTACACCATCGTGATCTTAGCAAGGTCTCAATCGTGCCAGCTTGATCCAGAAGATCGCAATTGCTACAACTCGGTTTTCAAAGACGTTCCTCACTTCAGCTTCATCTGGAAAGATCGGAGATATCTTGAAATCACTCCAGGACAGTTCTGTATCAGTCCATTACAGTTATAAATCAATCCAGCTGTAAATTCATCCGGCAATATTTACTTATCCAGAAAGATTTACTCCGCTCCTGCTCATCCAGCAATATAACCGATCACTCGAGCTGCATCTGGTAGGATCCTGACCAACTTCAGCACGATCACGGCACTCTGCCCAAAGCCATACCTCCACGCACGTCCGCCTGCCCGCCCGTCCGTCCACGCTTCTTCCTCAACGACCGCGGCGACGACGACCACAACCATGAACCGCGCTCAAAGCCTGCAGTCGCTGTCGACGAAACTTGACCGGCTGGAGCAGGCGGTCCAGGGCGTGAGCCTCGTGCTGCACCGGAGGGGGCGGGGGGCGTCCACCGCGTCGTCTTCGGCGGTCGGCACCCCCTGCGGCCGCCGCAGCCGGGCCCCGAGCTTGGCCTCTTTGTCCTGCGCCTACTCGCCGGCGCCGTGGCCCGGCGGCCCACTTGGCGGGGACGTCACGTTGGGCGCGAACGGCCTGCGCTCGTGGAACTCCTCGCTGGTGCTGTGCCGCGAGGAGGGCGGGCGCGGGCGCGTCGCCTGCGGTGGAGACGGGGAGCGCGACGACGACGGTGATAATTATTGCGATGGGGAAGAAGAGGAGGAGGCTGAGGTGGTGGGAGGAGAAGAAGCGGCTGCCACTTGGGCGCTCGACGAGCTGGTCAGGGCCATGCGGTCGTTACGGGGAGAGCCGGAGGTGCAGATGAGGTGCCGTGAGTTGGTTGGGCGAACGGATCGTCCGTTCTCTCATTCGTTTCGTTGTGACGTTACAAGGTGTCCCCTGGTGGCTTGTGTGTTCGTTGGTCAGGCTGATGTGAATTCCCCTGAGTTCTTGGCTCTTAAAGTCACACGTATCGTGGCTCTGTAGTTCCGAGTTTCCCATGGTATCGAGGAAATCCTTCTTCCTTTTTACTTACATTTTTTCGTGCCTGCTTTTGTTAAATGTTTAAATTCCTGATCCTAAGTGCCATGAATCTTATGCTTCTTGATTTTCTTGGAATCCCTGATTCCTTCTGGCATGAATTCTATGGTTCTAGGTTAAATTAATTTGGTGATATCTCTTATCCGTATTGCTGTAACATGATTCTTGGTGCCACGAATCCCACAATTGTTAGAACACCTCTTAATTCCTGGTACCAGGAATCCCGTAAATAAGTCGAATCCACGATACCTGGGAATACCTGATTCCATTTCCGGTAGTTGTAAAAGTCCCAAGATCCTCGTTATCTGTGTTGTTTGATTCCTATTGATGCCTGGTTCCCTGTGCTGAGAGCTACATAATTCCTGAATTTATTTTGTTGAATCCCAGGAGTGATGCGAAATCACTCAGTCTGTGGCCCCTGGTTCCAGCATTTACAGAATTCCCATCAGTGGTGGCGCGCCTCCCTTCACGTGTCGGGGGGGCGGGGGGGAATTGATTACAAGCTAAATTTGAATTAAGTTTTGGTTATACAGCATAATATTAAAGGTATCTAAAATAAAATCTTCATGGAAAATTATGAATTCATGATTTGCAATTTACTTTCATGAAAAATCTTTGCAATGGTCAATGAAATGCAACAAATTGTGTTTGTGATGCTGCTGCTGCTGCTGCGTTAGCAGTGGTGCACAAGCACAAAGTACCAAAGAGCAATTAACATCCTCATCTTAATATGAAGAAAAAAAATATACGTGATTATTACTACAGATGAAATATATTATAGAAAAAAAGTTTGGCTGGCTGGCGTGTGGACAGTCGGACAAGTGCGCAGGTGGTGACGTCACCGCACACATCCGTGTGATGACGCCACCCGCATCCCGCAGCGTCGTCGCGCCGGGTTCGTGTGTCACGTTGACGTCACGCCCCACCCCCTAACCCCCCCCAACCCCCCCTGACACCACCACCCTCCACCCTGGCCGTGCCTCCCGCGCGCAGTGCGCTGTCCGCTTTGTAGGCCGTGTTGGCAGTGGTGCAACGAGCAACAAAATCCTCAGCACATTCATCAATACGACTGTGGCCTTGAAAGGAATCTTGTTGTGAGAAGCGATGATTTGGCCGATGGCCCTTCTTCACCGCACGTAAATGGAGAGGTGATACAATGTTGGCGCTGTATTCCTACTGGCTACCATCGTTCTCACAGTCTGTCTAATGTCACTACATTTGCACCTCCGATTAGCACAGTGGTCTGTGTACGGTGCAAAAGAAGTTCAACATACATCTACCCTTGTATTCCTGGATACAAATTGGGTGTTTTTTCTTTCAAGATCCACAAGTTTGGGGGGGAGACGGGGTGCATCTTACTTTCTGCCACGTCTTTTAATGCGGAGAATACAGAAAACAATGGTGACGACGACGATGGCGAGTCTCATGATTCCCGGGTTCTGTGAGTGCCACGATTTTCCCGTTAAATCCGCGATGCGTATCGCCGTGTGACTCGTAGACTGCGCGTGATCACATGGAACGTGGGAACGGCTGAGCCCCCCGAAGAGGCAGATGCTCTGCTCGCCCTGGACCAGGAGGGCCCCCCACCACATCTCTACATCATAGGGTGAGCCACCCCCCCACCCGCCACACCTTAACAGAAGCAGAATCTTTATTTAGACCGGAGGAATCCGATGAGCTGTGAAGCTCTTTTTTACAGATGTCCAGTAGGTTTCACAGATGTCCAGTAGGTCAACGTGTGGTGCCTTGCTTGCACAAATGTGCCACCCAAAGCTCCTTTTACAAAAAAAATGAAAATCAAGTTGTGGCTGTGAGTTAGTTGTTCTATACAAGCGTATAGCGATGTGTTTTGAGTTCTGACATGAATGCCGTTATGTGTGGGCGATAAAATGGCTGTGCGTGTATGCACGGGGAGCGGTAGTGTAGCGGTTAGCGCACGGCGTTATGAATTCCGCTAACGACCAATAACAGCAGTGAATATTTGAACTAATCTTTGTTTTTTTCGGTAAAGTCACGTAGAAATAAGAAAAAATAAATTACATAATATACGACGTTTCGATTGCAAGCAATCATCACCTGATGATGATTGCTTGTGTTGCAATCGAAACGTCGTATATTATGTAATTTTATTTTTTCTTATTTCTACGTGACTTTACCGAAAAAAACAAAGATTAATTCCTGCAGTCACGAAAGCACCAAATCGAGTTTGAATATTTGAACTGTTTCCGGGCCTCTCCTAGGTTGACTCAGCCTTAAATGAGTACCTGGCACGGTGTGTAAATCATCAGCACGAGGGAGACAAAGGCAGCCGAGCGTGGTGTTGGCTACCCACCCCCATCATGTGCCATGCCTGCCTTCATAGGAGCTCTTTAACAGCACTTTCCCCAACAACAGTGTTAAAGGCTATACGGGGGTCTTTGTTGGTTTCTGTGCATGTGTGCACAGGCTGCAGGAGCTGAGTGCGCGTGTGGACTTGTTTCTTCGGGACTCTCTCGTCGACGACCCCTGGAGCTGCTTCCTGATGGACGTGCTGGCTCCGCGCGGATATGTGCGGGTAGGGCCCCCAGGCGGATAGGGCTCCTGCGTGGGTACATGTGGGTTGGGCCCCAGCACGCACACACGCACAGGGAGGCCCTCCCGGCACTCTCCAGACTCAACCCTTGCTGAGCATCCAAGAGCTGACGAGACGCGGCGTATTCTGGGTTAGCGTGTTGTGTTGCGAACCCAGCTATCCAGCTGTCCAAGTTTAATTCCCGCTCATGGCCAATAATGGTGCCGATCATCTGAACTAGTGCATGGTTTTCCCTCGCTTGACTCGGCCTCAAATGAGTACCTGCTGCGGTGTGTAAACATCGGCACTGGGCAGACAAAAGGTGGCCGGGCATGGTACCGGCCACACCAACCCTCGTGTACCATGTCGACCATCATATGTGCTCGCTAACGATGCTTACCCCAACAGGTTGTTTCTTGTCAAGGAGCATAAACCATCACGCAAACTCCACTCATCACAGCGGATTTTGACTAGCCATCAAACAAAGATGGTGGTCATCGCGAGCATTTTCAGATGCGTTTCTGCGGCCCTCTGGAACGGTCTTCTTTCCAATATTAGGAAGCCACTGGAGCTATGCATTTTTTTTATCCAAATTGAAAACGAATTTCTTTAGAACTGCTATTTGTGTTTAATTTGTTCTTTCCCGGCACCTCCGATTTGCGTGGTTGGCTATGTACGGTGCGAAAGGTCAACATACATACAAAGGCTACACGGGGGATCTTTGTGTGCGTGTGTCCGTGCGTACAGCGCGAGTCCGTGCGTCTGCAGGGACTGCTGCTGCTCGTGTTCGTGCAGAACTCCCTGCTGCCGCTCGTGAGGGATGTACATACGGCGTACACGCGTACGGGGCTCGGGGGCTACTGGGTGCGTACCTCGCTCCTCCAATTAGCACAGTTGGCTACGTATGGTGCGAAAGAAGTTTAACATACCTCCAAACATACCCTGCTCCACCACGAGCACAGACACAATGACAAAAGCCGTCGCTGCGTTTTTTTCTTCATGGTCTTGGCGCCGTCTCCCCCTACCTACTGTCTCATCTCACACCACCTCTCTGTCACATTAAACTACAACTATTAAAACTATTTTTATTTTACCCGGTAAGGCGCACTGAGCTATCTAGCTCTTTTTCAGAAGCGACCTGGCCACAAGCACGACGAAGTGGCTTATCATATGTAAAGTTTTAGCAGGGAGATGAATCCGTTCGGGTTGGGGAGAGTGATCTGTTCTAGTTGTAGTGATTAATCCGTTCCGGATGAGGAAAATGATCCGTTCTGGGTGGGAAGAGTGATCTGCTCCATTCCATGCCGTGAGAGTGATCCGTTCCGCGTGGTCCCGGCCGGCGTCCAGGGCAACAAGGGCGGCGTGAGCGTGCGCATGTCGCTCTGCGGCCTCTCCCTCTGCTTCGTCAATTGCCACCTCCCGCCGCACGAGGGCGGCCACCTGCAGCGCCTCGATGCTCTGGAGAGGATCTTGGACGAGCAGCGCTACCCCGCGGTGGCACCGGCGATGACGCCGATGGAGAACGACGCCAACGGGAGTGGCGGGGACAGCGGCGGCAGGGACGCGGCTGGCCGAGACGGGAACGGGGACGGCCTCGCGATACTGGAGCACGAGTGAGGATGCGCACGCCGGTCGGTGGGGTTGCAGTTAGCGCACCGCGTTAGGAACCCAGCGACTCGAGTTCGATTCCCACTCACGGCCACGATTGTCTGAATCGGTCCTGGGCCTCCCCGACATCGACTCGGCCTCAAGGAGCACATAGGGCGGTGTATAAACATCGCCGCTGGGGAGGCGAAGGCGGCCGGGCGTGGTGCTGGCCACCCACCCCCTCGTGCGTCGTGCCGGCTTTAATAGCTCTTACTTGCTAACAGTACTCGGCCCTGTTTAAGCTGTATGGGGGATCCTTGTCTTCATGGCAGTAGTGAGGGTGCTGCATATATGAACCCGCTGCTGCACGTTCGATTCCTGGCTACAACTGATATCAGTGGTACCCCACCCCCTTTCACCAACCTGCGCCAACTAGAGTAGGCGAAGTATGGTCGAATAGCCCCCACGATCCGCGCGGCTTAGGGACAGCCCTCATCCAGCAGTGACTGTACAAAAGGAGGCGTGCCAGCGCTTGGGGAGCAGCATGGGTGATGGTGACGGCGACGTCGTGGCGAGGGATAGTAACGAGTCGCGGTGTGGCGTCAAGTTTTTGATATCGGTGGAGAGCTCCGGGAGACGGGGAGTGAATCTTGGGAGGATGAGTAACGGTGGTTGCTGTCGTTTATTCGGGTGAAGCGGTGACTGGGAGGGTGAACTGCTCTTTCTGTTAAGTTTGTTGTCCTTGGGGTACGCTAAGCCAGGAGGCTCGACCGTCGGCCCGGCTGTCAGGCTCTTGTCTTTCACCTTGGCAGCCACCTCCGCTCGTCGTGAGCGGTCGGTGTATGTGTGAACGTTGAACCTCTTTCGTACCGTACGTAGCCAACCGTGCTAATTGGTGAGTGGGCGTCTCCGTGTCACACCTCCACAGCATCGTGCTCTGCCTGGGCGACCTCAACTTCCGCATCGCCGACCACGGCCTTCGCTTCACGCGCGACTCCATCGACAACGGCCGCCTCCACCTCCTGTGGGGCAAGGACGAGGCGCGTGGCCTCCTGAACATCATCCCCATCACCATCAACCACATCGCCAATATCCCCCTCATCACGCCACCACCGCCACTGCCATCAACCACATCACCAATATTCCTCTCATCACACCACCATCGTCAACATAACCGTCACCAACATCACCAAATACACCATGACATGTGAGGTGGTGAGGGGTGAATGGGTGAGGGATGGGCAGCAGGAGCTTACAGTCGAAAATGTGATGGAACAAACAGCAAATTGAACAACATGGCTTGGCTTGTAAACGATGAGTGGTGAGGCTACAAGACGCGGCAGCCAGGCAAACAGCCTGGAACCATGTAAAATGCACGCACGGACAAACGACATGACGTGCATTTTACTATAAATGTTTCGATGTTTTCTCACCCAAAAATGTGTTAATTTACAACAAACGTCATAACGAATCGTCAATTGAATTAATGTGTGTATATATACTCTCCCCTTTGCAGCTGAACATATCCAGGGCTAACGAGGGGTTCTTGCGCGACTTTCAAGAGGGGCCACTCTCCTTCCCCCCCACGTACAAGTTCGACCAGGGGACCAACACCTACGACACCAGGTGGGACCGAGCCACGTGTTCCTCCTTGACAAAGCTTTTTGTGCCTTGTCAGATGAAGCCCGGGGAACACCAGGACTGGCCATTCTCATCCCCCTCGGTCAATCGATCGATCGGTTGATCTTTTTTTACATGACAATGTCACCCTCAATAAAGTAGGCATCGATGTACATCACGGCAGAACGGGAACGGTACAGGGGGCATATCATACCCATCACGACCTGCGCTTCGACGTCACGGTGTACTTCCGGTTTAGTTTGAAGAAGTTGGTGGGGGGAGGGGGGACCAACACGGTGGGATTTTCCCTGGGCCCCTCACCGCCCTTATGGACGGCCCTGCCCTCGGTGTTAAAGCTGGGGTCACGTCTAGGCCATTGGTGCGTAAATAGCCACTTGACGTCAGTGGGACATATATCATTGTTTTTACATTGGCTCGGGGCTGCTGCCACCATAGTGTAGTAGTTGAGCGCCACTAGACTTGCAATCCGGACTCCATCTCTTGATGCGGCAGTTTAAACAATGGGGGGCGAGTTTATATAATCCCCCGCCCACCATGGCCTCTTGTCCACCCAGTAGCAGCCATATAAAGGAGCACGTCATGGTTAGTCGATCTCATGTGGCGAGGTAATGTGTGGGTTACTTCCAAGACACCTGGCCATCGTGGGGCTCATCGGAGCTCCCTCTTTCAGAGGCCCCTTCCGCCAGCAGTGACGCGAGCACGCAATTGGAGGGCTGTGCCTTTGCCTTTTCACTCTGATTTCGTTTTTTTTTGCGCGTAATCGGTAGCGGCAAGCGGCGCAAACCCGCGTGGACCGACCGCGTGCTGTGGCGGGTCAAGGGTGACTCCCACAATGCCCCGGGGCCAGAGGGTGAGGGGAGGGGGGCGGGCGCCGTTGAGGACCGTGGCGACGGCGCGGCCGCCCCGTCGCCCCGAGTCAAGCTGCTCTCCTACACGAGTCACATGGACTGCAACGTCAGCGACCACAAACCCGTCACCGCCGAGTTTCTGATCCAGGTGACGGAGTCGCGCGCCAGCTGCCGACGTTTCTCACTTGTAGGGTACAGCGTCGCATAACCGACTCGCTGGGGGGGGCGCGTGTCTCGCTTAGCGAGCGAGATACGTTCCACGAAAAATTGCCGAGTTGAATGTATGTATGTTGAACTTCTTTCGCATCGTACATGGCCAACTGTGCTAATCGGAGGTGCGGGGGAAGGACAACAAACGAAGCACAAAAAGCAGCTCTAAAGAAATGCGTTTTCAAATTAGATTTAAAAGTGCATAGCTCCAGTGGCTTCCTAATATCGAATCGAAGAGCGTTCCAGATGGTCGCAAAAGCGCATCTGAAAGCACGCGATGCAATGACCACCGTCTTTGTTCGGGGTACACTTCAGCCCCAACATTTTCCACTCTTGAACGAGTTTTCTATGTGAGAAGTACAAATTATGATTGTAAAATAATGTAATAAAACGTCAAATGTAACACCAAATGTGAAGAACCGCAGTGTTTGCAGGTGCCTGTCCTCAGCATCTGCAGTTCACACTCGTTAAGTTAAACGATCCAGTATCGGCGGATATATGATAAAGTTCCGGTATGCATCCATCCGTAAATAAATGATTAGTTGGGCCATGCACCAAAGACCGTGAAATCCAAACTATGGACCATAAAGTGAACCACGAGGTGGGGCCGCCCGCACCATGCCCGTCCGCCTTTGTCTCCCCAATACTGATATTTACACACCACACCAGCTACCTCAGGCAATCGTCACTGGCTGTGAATCAAACTCGGGGTCACCAGGTTCATAGAGCAATGTGTTAACCACTACGCTACCGCTCCCCCCCACCCTCGCCTCCTACATACAACTACATACACGCTTCCAACAATAAAGATCCCCTGTGTAGCCTTAACAAATTTATGGGGCAAGTGCTGTTTGCGAGCACCTATGAAGACTGGCACGGCACACGAGGGGGTTGGTGGCCAGCACCACGCCGCGGCTGCCTTTGTCTCCCTACTGGTCAAATATAGAGTGCTAACTTCCTTTTAAACCTGAGACAATGCTCAATGCACTTTGTAAGTTCACAAATTACGTAGTTTGTAAGTGTAGGCCATCGTGTTCTGGCATCACCCTCGTCGCCCCCCTACTGCAAACACCTGGCAGGACCCTGCTGCAAACAGAGCCATGAGACTCGCGGAGGCTGTCTCGTGTACACAAGCTTAGTAGTATTAGCATCAGAACATCATCAGCAGGCCAATGCACATATCTCCTTCGTGAATGGAATATTAAAGACAAGCCACAGTAGTGCGATCGTGGCCATCCAACCCAAACTATGGACCGTATAGTAAACCCACAGAGATGCACAGAGACACACAGACACACATAGACACAGTGTTATCGTGGCCGTGCAACCCACACCGTGGGACCGGCAGAGAACACTGCTGCGACGGTTGCCGTAACAGTGTGCGGTGGCTGCTGTGCGGTGCAGCTGGAGGGAGAGGTGGACGCCGAGGGCCCGGTGAGCGTGGAGGCGATTGGGGAGTGGAGCGCAGCGCGGGATGCCAAGCTCTCGCTCCATGTGCAGCCGGGCTTTCCCACAAACCCCTGGGACTGGATCGGGCTCTATGCTGTACGCGCACGCACGCACGTACGCTTTGCAATGGGTGTTTTCACATTTGTGTATTGTTGTAGGCCACACGTCAGGGGCCCACTGTGTAACACATGTTTACATGTGCTCGTGTTTGTATGTTGGTGTGTGGGGAGCGGGCCTGCGGGCCTTGCAATGAACAACAAAGACCTACACACACACGCAAAGACCCCTGTATAGTCTTACAAGCTGTTGAGTGAGCACCTATGTAAGCTGGCATGGCACACGAGGGGGTGGATGACCAGCCTTTGTGTCCCTAGTGGTGATGTTTACACACTTGCACCAGGTACTCAATTGATCTAGAGGAAGCCCAGGACCGGTTCAGATATTCGTCACTGGTGATGGTGGCCGTTAGCGGGAAATCGCCAGGTTTGTAGCGTGGCGTGCCACCACTCCCCACAGAGATGAAGATCCCCCTAAAGCCGTAACAGACTGTTGGGGAAAGTGCTGTTAGCGAGCACCTATGAAGGCCGGCACAGCACACGAGGGGGTGGGTGGCTAACACCATTCCCGCCCTCTGGCGATGTTTTTACACACTGTACCAGGTACTTATTTAAGGCCGAGTCGACCTAGGGGAGGTTCAGGAGCAGGTTCAGGTATTCATCACCGATGTTCATGGATGCGAGTGGGAATCGAACTCTGGTGGCCGGGTTTGTAGCGTAGTGGGCTACCACTTAACCACTGCGCCACCGCTCTCCACACACCGACGTACAAACACGAGCACACGTAAACATGTGTTACACGTGTGTTACACGTTTACAATTTTACACACATGTGTAAACAAAAAAACACAGAGAAAGATCCCCTGTATAGCCAAAACAGACTTTTGGGGCAAGTGCTGTTCACGGGTAGCACCGATGAAGGCCGGCATGGCACACACGGTGGGTAACCAACAACAAACCCGGCCGCCTTTGTCTCCCTAGTGGCGATGTTGACACCTCACTGGGTACTCGTTTGAGGCCGAGTCGACCTAGGAATGGGAGACCCAAGACCGGTTCAGGTCCGTAGCACGATGCGTTAACCGCTACACTATCACTCCCCACACACACGCGCGCACACAATGACACGTGCGTGCAGGTCGGCTGGCGTCACCCCAAGGACTACGTGTCGTACGTGTGGGCCCGCGACGAGGAACTCTGGAGCCTTTGCGATGACCGGTTGGTGAGTGCCCCCTCCCCGCCCCCCTCCCCCCTTAGCTGTTCGAGACGCAGGCTAGCTCCCTCCTCTCCCGTGGAGCGCGTTTCGCTGTGTGTCACGGACGCTGTGCACATGTTACTGTGCGCGTGTCACTATGTGTCAAGGTCGCTGTCTGCGTGTCGCTGTGCGTCACAGTCACTACGTCACGGTCGCTGTCTGCGTGTCGCTGTGCGTCACAGTCACTGCGTCACGGTCGCTGTCTGCGTGTCGCTGTGCGTCACAGTCACTGCGTCACGGTCGCTGTCTGCGTGTCGCTGTGCGTCACAGTCACTGCGTCACGGTCGCTGTCTGCGTGTCGCTGTGCATCACAGTCACTACGTCACGGTCGCTGTGCGTTGCCTCAGGTTCGCTTCGACTCGGAGCTGATTCCACGTGAGGGTGGCGAGCATGTGCTCGCGTTCTACAGCCGCAAGCACGGCATTGTGGGAATCAGCCGCCCCTTCATGGTGCGTACCGCGCACTGTACACTGGGCTCGCACGGTCCTCGTGGTTTCGGAAAGTTCGTCCCGGTCGCCTAAAGATTTTCCGAAAACTGCACTTTTCTTCCAGCTTAACATTTTCTGGCCTCTTGTTCGAGTGATGACGCAAAGGCCGGGGCTACCCGAGCAGCGATAATTGTGTGATTAATGAAAATTATTAGCACCCACTCTTTCAAATTCACCCTTGTTATTTAATTCACTCTTATCATTCACTAACATTCACTCTGTGGTTGTCGTTCTTTGATTCATTTGATTGATCTCTCGCTGGTCTCTGTAAGTCTCTCATTCTGCTGCTCTCATTCACTCCCTCATCACATTAACCACAATTTCACTCCATATCTTATTCGCTCCTTTCCTCATTCACTACCTCAATCCCTGTACCTGTTGTCTCATTCACGAAGTTCTAATTTACTCTATAATAGAGGTTGTTTTGGGCGAGTTCGCATAAATATATAAATGTGTCGTTAAAACCCGCCACCACCCGACACAGCCAACTAGTAAGGGTTGTCACGTAAACAGAACGTGGCCAATTCGTCACTAGTACAGCACTAACCGGTGTGTTGGAGAGCCAAGCCACTACATTTACAAACTGAGTACAACGTTTCGCTAGTAATTACAACTAGCTTCATCAGGCGACAGCCAGGTTTGTGAAGTCCAACTGTTTCGTTCCTTTCAGAGTATTTGGCTGCTCTAAATTTGCACGTAATAAGCCACTTCGTTGAGCTATCACTTGTGATAGCCAGGTTATGTTCTTTGGTTCTTTCGGTAAAGTCACGTAGAATGAGAATAAAATAATAAAATAACACAATAAAATTCTCGACGTTTCGGCCACAACACAAGTGGCCTTCTTCAGGTGAAAGGAACAAACCTGTCGGGACGACAGAGCTTCAATGAACGCTGTTAAGATTCGCAGCGTCTTTTAAATCGAAATATAGCCAGGTTACTTCTGAAACAGAGCTACATAGCTCCGTGGCATAACAAACATTTGTAAATAGTAACTCTCCCTGTCTCTCCCTTCTACCCCCCCCCCCCCACAGGTCTCCACCGCTCCCTTCTCCCCCCCCGACAGTCCCCCCCGCACCCCCACTGAGGACCGCTCCTCCTGGGGGAACGACTTCTGATGGCGCTCCTTGTTAACCGCTCCACTAACGAAGGGGCAGGGAGATGACGAGGTGGGGGGAACGGTCATCGTTGGTGAAGTATGGGGATCGATGGTAAATCTACCGGTCTCCTGCTCATCACCGGCCCGCACCTCCCTCCCCTCATCGCCCCACCTCGTTAGCGACCATCCCGCGTGCTTGATTGGAACCCGCGGTTGAACTTCGCTGCGGTTGCTACGCGGCTGCACTTTAGATCCATATTGAGGGGGGGCTTTGCGTGCCGTGCTGTGTGATGTGTTGTGGTGTGCTGTGTGTGTGCTGTGTGTGATGTGGTGTGTGATGTGTGTTGTGGGGTGTGTATGCTCGCTAACAACACTTGCCCCAACAGTGTGTGTGGGGAGCGGTAGCGTAGCGGTTAGTGCACTGCGCTACGAACCCGGCGACCCAAGTTCGATTCCTGCTCATGGCCACCACCAGTGACAAATATCTGAACCGGTCCTGGGGCGCCCCTAGGTCGACTCAGCCTCAAATTAGTACCTGGTAAGGTGTTTAAACATCGTCACTAGGGAGACAAAGGCGGCCGGGCGTGGTTTCTGGCCACTCACCACCTCGTGTGCCGTGCCAGCCTTCATAGGTGCTAGCAGCACTTGCCCCAACAGTCTGTTAAGGCTATATGGAGATATTTGTGTGTCTGTGTAGGTGCATGTGCTGTGGTGTATTTGTGTGTGTGTGCTATATGTGGGAGTTTTTGTGTGTGTGTGTGTGCTGTGGTATCTGTGTGCTTTGGTGCCGTGTGGGTGTGTGCGCTGTACTATGGTGTCTGTGTGCTGGGATTTGTGTGTGAACTGTTGTGTGTGTGTGCTGTGGTGTGGACCGCAGCGCGCTGTGTGTGGCGTGCAGTGGGATGACGTGGTGGTGGTATGTGTGAGCCGTGAAGTGTGGTGTGGGTTGTTAGGGTGTGGCGTGTGGGGTGGCACGGGGGTGTTGTGTGTTGTGACATGGATTGTTTAGCGGGTGGAGTGACATGTGGCGTGACTCGGACAGGTTTGCGGAGTAGGTGGTGGGACGTCATGTGTGGTGTGGGGTGGTGTGTGGTTAGGCTGAAACTAACACGTGTCATACGGTTCGGACCGTTGTGGTGGAATTATGGTGGTGCCACATACAGTGCGCGTGTGTGTGGTAATGTGGGTGGTATGGAGAGCGGGCGTGTAGCGGTTTCGTGCGCTGCCCTGCGCTATGAACCCGGCGACCAGAGTTCGATTCCCGCTCACCAGTGACAATTGTCTGAACTAGTCCTGGGCCTCCCCTGGGTCGACTCTACCTCAAATGAGTTCCCGGTTTGGTGTGTAAACATTACCACATGCACAGGTGAGCCAGAACGCTTGGGATGGGACGGTCATCATGTCTGTCTACCTGTGTGTGTGTGGGTATCTGTCGAGGTGCTGGCGACCCACCTGGTTTGCCGTGCCGACCTTCATAGGCATTACTCGCAACAGCACTTGCCTCAACAATTTGTTTAAGCAATATGGGGGATTTTTGGGGTGGGTGGTGCAACGTGCCGTGGTTTCGAGTGATCTGGTGTTACATGGTGACGTGTGTTGCTAGGTTGAGTCTGGTGTGATATGACGAGCTCGGTTATGACCAGGTGATGTTATGTTTTGTGTGATTAGAAGCGTGGGGTGGCCACGTGCTCTGGGGTTGTGGCGCGGTTTGTGTGGTTATATGGTTGGTGTGGTTTGATACGTGGTGTGGTGAGGATTGGTGTGGATTTGGTGTGGTTTGATACGTGGTGTGGTGAGGATTGGTGTGGATTTGGTGTGGTTTCATACGTGGTGTGGTGAGGATTGGTGTGGATTTGGTGTGGTTTGATACGTGGTGTGGTGAGGATTGGTGTGGTTTGATACGTGGTGTGGTGAGGATTGGTGTGGATTTGGCGTGGTTTGAGACGTGGTGTGGTGAGGATTGGTGTGGATTTAGTGTTGTTTGATGCGTGGTGTGGTGAGGATTGGTGGTGGTTGCAGTTGTGTGACGTGGCAGGGCCAGGTGTGACGTACCGAAGCTAACGATGTGCACTTCCATGACAATTATACGTTGTTGCTACACATGTTTCTAGCGCTCCCGGCACGGCACTAAGGAGTGACCAATGTACTAAGCTATTGTCCTTATGAATAAACAACATTATTACTCGACTGCCTGGTGATCGCTACATTATCAATGATAACAAATAAATCAGCTCGTGAAGGTGCTACGTGGATCAATAGTTACGTCGCAGGATCGCGCGAGATGGTGGCGGCGGCGGCTTTGGGAGGAGGCCCTCATCCAGCAGTGGATTGACCGTGGCTGATAACCACTGTTGATGGTGAAGAGTAAACGTTGTTGATGGTGTAGAGTAAACGTTGTTGATGGTGAAGAGTAAACGTTGTTGATGGTGTAGAGTAAACGTTGATGGTGTAGAGTAAACGTTGTTGATGGTGTAGAGTAAACGTTGTTGATGGTGTAGAGTAAACGTTGTTGATGGTGTAGAGTAAACGTTGTTGATGGTGTAGAGTAAACGTTGTTGATGGTGTAGAGTAAACGTTGTTGATGGTGTAGAGTAAACGTTGTTGATGGTGTAGAGTAAACGTTGATGGTGTAGAGTAAACGTTGATGGTGTAGAGTAAACGTTGTTGATGGTGTAGAGTAAACGTTGTTGATGGTGTAGTGTAGAGGTTGATGATGTAGAGTAAACGTTGTTGATGGTGTAGAGTAAACGTTGTTGATGGTGTAGAGTAAACGTTGTTGGTGGTGTAGAGTAAACGTTGATGGTGTAGAGTAAACGTTGTTGATGGTGTAGAGTAAACGTTGTTGATGGTGTAGAGTAAACGTTGTTGATGTTGAAGAGTAAACGTTGATGGTGTAGAGTAAACGTTGTTGATGGTGTAGTGTAGAGGTTGATGATGTAGAGTAAACGTTGTTGATGGTGTAGAGTAAACGTTGTTGATGGTGTAGAGTAAACGTTGTTGATGGTGTAGAGTAAACGTTGTTGGTGGTGTAGAGTAAACGTTGATGGTGTAGAGTAAACGTTGTTGATGGTGTAGAGTAAACGTTGTTGATGGTGTAGAGTAAACGTTGTTGATGGTGTAGAGTAAACGTTGTTGATGGTGTAGAGTAAACGTTGTTGATGGTGTAGAGTAAACGTTGTTGATGGTGTAGAGTAAACGTTGTTGATGGTGTAGAGTAAACGTTGTTGATGGTGTAGAGTAAACGTTGTTGATGGTGTAGAGTAAACGTTGTTGATGGTGTAGAGTAAACGTTGTTGATGGTGTAGAGTAAACGTTGTTGATGGTGTAGAGTAAACGTTGTTGATGGTGAAGAGTAAACGTTGTTGATGGTGTAGAGTAAACGTTGTTGATGGTGTAGAGTAAACGTTGTTGATGGTGTAGAGTAAACGTTGTTGATGGTGTAGAGTAAACGTTGTTGATGGTGTAGAGTAAACATTGATGGTGTAGAGTAAACGTTGTTGATGGTGTAGAGTAAACGTTGTTGATGGTGTAGAGTAAACGTTGTTGATGGTGTAGAGTAAACGTTGTTGATGGTGTAGAGTAAACGTTGTTGATGGTGTAGAGTAAACGTTGTTGATGGTGAAGAGTAAACGTTGATGGTGAAGAGTAAACGTTGTTGGTGGTGAAGAGTAAACGTTGTTGATGGTGTAGAGTAAACGTTGATGGTGTAGAGTAAACGTTGTTGATGGTGTAGAGTAAACGTTGTTGATGGTGTAGAGTAAACGTTGTTGGTGGTGTAGAGTAAACGTTGATGGTGTAGAGTAAACGTTGTTGATGGTGTAGAGTAAACGTTGTTGATGGTGTAGAGTAAACGTTGTTGATGGTGTAGAGTAAACGTTGTTGATGGTGTAGAGTAAACGTTGTTGATGGTGTAGAGTAAACGTTGTTGATGGTGTAGAGTAAACGTTGTTGATGGTGTAGAGTAAACGTTGTTGATGGTGTAGAGTAAACGTTGTTGATGGTGTAGAGTAAACGTTGTTGATGGTGTAGAGTAAACGTTGTTGATGGTGTAGAGTAAACGTTGTTGATGGTGAAGAGTAAACGTTGTTGATGGTGAAGAGTAACGTTGTTGGTGGTGAAGAGTAAACGTTGTTGATGGTGTAGAGTAAACGTTGATGGTGTAGAGTAAACGTTGTTGATGGTGTAGAGTAAACGTTGTTGATGGTGAAGAGTAAACGTTGATGGTGAAGAGTAAACGTTGTTGGTGGTGAAGAGTAAACGTTGTTGATGGTGTAGAGTAAACGTTGATGGTGTAGAGTAAACGTTGTTGATGGTGTAGAGTAAACGTTGTTGATGGTGTAGAGTAAACGTTGTTGGTGGTGAAGAGTAAACGTTGTTGATGGTGTAGAGTAAACGTTGATGGTGTAGAGTAAACGTTGTTGGTGGTGTAGAGTAAACGTTGTTGATGGTGTAGAGTAAACGTTGTTGATGGTGTAGAGTAAACGTTGATGGTGTAGAGTAAACGTTGTTGATGGTGTAGAGTAAACGTTGATGGTGTAGAGTAAACGTTGTTGATGGTGTAGAGTAAACGTTGTTGATGGTGAAGAGTAAACGTTGATGGTGTAGAGTAAACGTTGTTGATGGTGTAGAGTAAACGTTGTTGATGGTGAAGAGTAAACGTTGTTGATGGTGTAGAGTAAACGTTGTTGATGGTGTAGAGTAAACGTTGTTGATGGTGTAGAGTAAACGTTGTTGATGGTGTAGAGTAAACGTTGTTGATGTTGAAGAGTAAACGTTGATGGTGTAGAGTAAACGTTGTTGATGGTGTAGAGTAAACGTTGTTGATGGTGTAGAGTAAACGTTGTTGATGGTGTAGAGTAAACGTTGTTGATGGTGTAGAGTAAACGTTGTTGATGGTGTAGAGTAAACGTTGTTGATGGTGTAGAGTAAACGTTGTTGATGGTGTAGAGTAAACGTTGTTGATGGTGAAGAGTAAACGTTGATGGTGAAGAGTAAACGTTGTTGGTGGTGAAGAGTAAACGTTGTTGATGGTGTAGAGTAAACGTTGTTGGTGGTGTAGAGTAAACGTTGTTGATGGTGTAGAGTAAACGTTGATGGTGTAGAGTAAACGTTGTTGATGGTGTAGAGTAAACGTTGTTGATGGTGTAGAGTAAACGTTGTTGGTGGTGTAGAGTAAACGTTGTTGATGGTGTAGAGTAAACGTTGTTGATGGTGTAGAGTAAACGTTGTTGATGGTGTAGAGTAAACGTTGTTGATGGTGTAGAGTAAACGTTGTTGATGGTGTAGAGTAAACGTTGTTGATGGTGTAGTGTAAACGTTGATGGTGTAGAGTAAACGTTGTTGATGGTGTAGAGTAAACG